TGAAAGATATTCAAAGGTAATAAGTAGCAATAGTGGTAGAGAGGCGAAGGCATGAAATGCTCATTTGATAAAATGGACAATTTTCTGATATGTCGACGACAATACAGATCTTTCAATCAGAGGTAAAGAAATGGACAAGATGGTACATTTTCAGGAAATAACTAACAAAATCTTGCGTAATACGTAAACGATATATTACAAAAAATAAATATTAACACGTTGACATAGATACAACCCTACAATCAGTGGAGTAATGCATTCTCAATGTATTTATAAAACAGTTGTGCATTAAATCTATACAGTATTTGCTGCGAATGTGATGTTTAACTTTTTAACAAAACAGCTATTATTTTCTTTTTTTATTTTTCATTGCCCTACAGGTATCATCAGCCCCTATGCTTCCCCATATATCTTTCACATAAATGACTTTTTAGGTTCCATTTGTAAGAACAATGTGTGCATTCATGTGTTTTACCTGACACTGATGCAACATGCTCAGGATGTATCTTGATTATATGATTATTTAAATACAACTTGATGGTATTTTTCAAGTACAATGTGTGTGCATTTATAGATTTTACCTGAAACTGATTCAATGTGGTTAGGATGCTTTTTAACTGTATGATTATCTAAAGTTTTTCTAGATTTGAATGCTGCATAACATTCTGCCCACATGTCTAGTTAAATAACCCTTCATCGTTTTAAATGCGCAACATTTACATTCATATATTTTACTCGAAACTGATGTTCAAGGTCTTTCTTTATTATTATGATCATTGAAATTTTGCTGCTTTATTAACGTTTTACTACAGTGAATGCACACACTGAGTTTGTGGCTACTTTTTGCGCCAGGATGACACAACGTATCTCTAGCCAATGAACTTTTGAAGGTAGGTTTATAAGTGCAATGTGCACATTCATGTACTTTTACTAGAAACCTCAGTACAAAAATCGGGATGCTTCAACATATGCCTAGTAAACATATTTTTGGATGTAGTTTTATAAGAACAATATATGCATTCATGGACCTTACTTGAAACTGTTGTAATATACCCAGGATGGTCCCTAATTATGTGATCATGCAAATTTATCTTACTACTGAATGTTCTGTTGCAGTGAATACACGTTTCAAGCTGACATCCACCCTCTGCCCCTGGATGCTGCTGCCAAATATGTCTAGCTAAACGATCCTTAAAGATGGTTTTGAAAATACAATATTTACATTCATGTATTTTACTTGTAACTGATGCAATATACTCAGGATGTTTCTTTATTATATGATCATTCAAACTTTTCTTACTAATGAATGTTCTATTACAGTGAATACACTCATTTAGCTTATAACTACTTTTTGCATCAGGATGTTTCAACATATGTATAGCCAGATTACCTTTGATGGTAGTTTTATAAGTGCAATGTGTACACTCATGTATTTTACTAAAAACTGATCCTATGAAGTCTGGATGTTTATTAATTATATGATTACCTAGAAGAATTTTAGTTGAAAATTTAGCGTCACAGTGAACACATTTTTTGAGCGTATAGCTACTTTTTGCATCAGGATGTTTCGACATATGTCTAGCCATCCTAATTTTGAAGGTAGTTTTATAAGTGCAATTTGTACATTCATGTATTTTACTAAAAACTGATCCTATGAAGTCTGGATGTTTATTAATTATATGATTACCTAGAAGAATTTTAGTTGAAAATTTAGCGTCACAGTGAACACATTTTTTGAGCGTATAGCTACTTTTTGCATCAGGATGTTTCGACATATGTCTAGCCATTCTATTTTTGAAGGTAGTTTTATAAGTGCAATCTGTACATTCATGTATTTTACTTGAAACTGACGCAATATGTTTAGGGTGTTTATTAATTATATGATCACCTAGATTTATCTTGCTCATGAATGATCTGTTACATTGAATACACACATTGGGCTTACTTGCTCCAGTCCCGGGATGTTTCAGCATATGACTAACTAGATGATCTTTCTTGGTAGTTCCATATGCACAATGTGCACATAAATGCATTTTACTAGAAATAGATGCAGCAAAATCAGGATGTTTCTTAAATATATGACCATCTAAGCTTCTCTTTCTTCTGAATGTTTCATTACAGTGAATACACACATAGGGCTTATGACTTCCTCGTGCCTTAGGATGTTTCTCAATTTTATTGATGCATTCCTCACTAGTTTCTGTACAAGCCTCAGTGTCCAAACAGTTTTCTAACTTTAGTTCTTCCACAGCTTCAGATTTTGTCCAGGGTTTAGTAAAATCGTCATTTCCTGTGCTAAAACAGGATTATATCCATTCTATACAAATTGCATGTTAGTGGAGAATGACTGATAAAAGCTCAGGCACTTGCATCACATAAATGCACAATACTTAAATTACAGCTGACACTCCTAAAGTATCAAAGAGTATTTACCTGGTTGACATATTTTCTGTATCTGCATCTGTGAACTTATATTCATCATTCTCATTTTTAATAATCAGTGGGTCACAGCTTTCTGCAACTTTGTATTTATTATGTTCATGCTTTTGCAACTCTATTTTCTCATCTTGCATTTTGAGAACTCCCTCACCAGTCCCTTCAAATCTCATTGCCGTAGGGTCAACATTTACTATTGTATCACATCCATTATAAAATCTGAAGCAGTTCAAATAATGAAAACCATATTTGTTACAACATTTCTGAGACTTACCTATCCCAAACAGTGTCTATTGCATTTGTATCAATAAGTTGGCCATTTTCATTTTTAATAAACACTGGAGTGACTTCAAATTCCTTGCTATCCAAGTCATTTTCCTCCTTTATTGCTTTTTGAATTTCTGAAACTTCCTCTTCCGCACTTTTGATAAGTTCATGGGCCATTTGGGCAGATTCGAATTCTTTAACGGTCAAGAGGTTTTCCGGTTCCATTTTTTCGTTTTGGTCACTCATAATGGAAAAAACACGCCTAAACCTCTTTACAAAAAACAAATATACACAAAAAAACCTTCAACAAAACCAGCTAACCTCACATCCACACAATAAATAGAAAACGAAAACCTAACCTTATTTACCGACGTAAATATAAAATTTCGCCAGTGTTGCCAAATAGTAATGAGATGAAAAAACGAACATTTAAAAACTGTCCTGAAACACGTCCAAATGCGAACTGACATCAGAAGGAGAAATGTGAGAATTTAAAATATAGACTTCTAGTAGCCAACAAAAATTTTACTATGAATACCGCCACCACCTTGTAATGGATTTACTACTCGTTGCGTAACGCTGTTCTAGTCTGGTCAAGATCCAATATTCTTTCAGTTATAAAGGATGTCACAACGTTCAACAAGGATTTGAATTAAAAAGATCTACAGAAGTGGAAACAGTGCCTTGGAATGTACAATACGCGGTGTTGTCAAACGAACCAGTGATGCAATATTGCAGAATTTGTGACGATCCTGACCTTTCATCTCGACCTAAACTGGAGCGCCGTTAGGAAAGATCGGAAATTAATCCTAAACAGATTCGGCACAATTCACAAATGCGTACGCTGAAGGTAAAACCATTGATTGGACGTAAAGAATAGACTAACGAATATTTTCAATATGCATCTTAATTCAAAGAACTGGTATAACATATTGGTAACACGGCAGATTACCGCGTCAGCGTAAGGATGAGCTTCGCTATCCAGTCGGCTTCTATCTCTTTTTTTTTTCTTCTAACATATACAGGGTTTGTCCGGAAAGTAATAGGACTCATTTTCTTCCGCCATGACTGTACTTCGGAGCGTGCGCGCACCGACTGGATTCGGTAGAGAGCGTTCTTAGCTAACGAATGAGCGGCTGGTCAGTTGGCTCCGAGCACTTGGAGAGTCAGGACAGGCATTTTCGCACGACGTGTTTCTGTAAGTGGTGCAAGCCGAAATTGCAGCGTTCGTTAGAACAGAGGTACGCGATTAAATTCTGTGTGAAACTCAGTAAATTTGCGACAGGGACGTTTGATATGATCAAGCAGGCTTGCCCAGGTGTTGCTTTAGCAAGAAGTGGTGTGTTTCGGTGGCACCAGGCCTTTTTGAGGGCCGGGAAGAGGTCGCTGATGAAGACCGTGCTGGAAGACCTTAGACTTCGACAAACACCGATAATGTGACTCGCGTGCGCAAAGTTTTGAACTCAGACCGTCGACTAAGTATTCGTTTAATTGCCCAGATGTTAAATTTACCAAAATCTGGGTCCGACAAGACATCGCAGCCGACTGGAAGTTGCACCACGACAACGCCCCGGCTCACACCGCCTTTCTTGTGAACAGCTACCTGAACAAGGCCGGCATCCCAACGCTTCCGCAGCCGCCTTACAGCCCAGATGTGCCCCCCCTCGGACTTTTTTTTGTTTCCTCACCTGAAAAGGCCGATGGAAGGCAAGCATTTTGAGACGACAGAGGGGATCCAAGCAGCATGCACCGCAGCTCTCAAGGCTATTCCGGACAATGCGTTCCGTGACGCCTTCAACGCTTGGAAATCGCGTTGGCAGCGCTGCATCGACGCAGAAGGAGCCTATTTTGTAACGACTGGCTGAATAAATTTTTTTTAATCGACTCAGTCCTATTACTTTCCAGACAAACCCTGTATGTGCCTATATATACTTATCGCTACTAGTGAAAAAAGTGCAGCCAACAAAAATTGTGCTATGATAGCGACACTAGTGTATAACGGATTTACGATTTCTCGTTACGTAACGCGTAAACGGTTGTGGCCCAGTCGATAAAATCTTTTTTATGTTATAAAACGTATACACTGAAAGATATTCAAAGGTAATAAGTAGCAATAGTGGTAGAGAGGCGAAGGCATGAAATGCTCATTTGATAAAATGGACAATTTTCTGATATGTCGACGACAATACAGATCTTTCAATCAGAGGTAAAGAAATCGACAAGATGGTACATTTTAAGGAAATAACTAACAAAATTCTTGCCTAATACGTAAACGATATATTACGAAAAATAAATATTAACACGTTGACATAGGTACAACCCTACAATCAGTGGAGTAATGCATTCTCAATGTATTTATAAAACAGTTGTGCATTAAATCTATACAGTATTTGCTGCGAATGTGATGTTTAACTTTTTAACAAAACAGCTATTATTTTCGTTTTTTATTTTTCATTGCCCTACAGGTATCATCAGCCCCTATGCTTCCCCATATATCTTTCACATAAATGACTTTTTAAGTTCCATTTGACCGCAGTTTTGTAAGTGCATTGTGGGCATTTATGTATTTTGCTTGAAACTGTAGCAATATGCTCAGGATGTGTCTTAATTATATGATTATCTAACTCCCTTTTGATGGTGGTTTTGTAAGAACAATGTGTGCATTCATGTGTTTTACCTGACACTGATGCAATATGCTCAGGATGTATCTTGATTATATGATTATTTAACAGGTTGAATGCCGCATACGACCGCCTGCAAATAATCCCACCATGCCATGGCGGTCGTATGCGACCGTTCCACACTTACCTTCAAAATTCATTTATGCTGTGCCAACGGTCTTTGATAGGCATATAATTATTATGGCAGAAGACCGCTGTGGCATACACGCCTAGCTTAAGTTAGCGGTTTTCGGTGTAGCTTACAAGCGAAAGTGAAATGTCTGAAGTCGTTTTTTAACTTTCATTGAAAAATATATATAAAAAACATATGCAAGGTGGAACCCCGGGGAATTTAGTACAAAACAAGGCTATTGAATACCTCGATTTACATAAGGTGACTGAATATTATTTTAATAAGTGTAGGTTGAAAAAGTCTAAACAAAAGTGAGGTTCACCTTCGCATGATGCACAGTAGGTGATGACTTTTTTTACCCTGCCTTTTAGAATTTCAATTTGCACTTTTTTAGCATAGCGACCTCGGCAGTATTTCTTCACTTTATCGAAGGCGCCTATTTTCTTCGATATAGAATATCTTTTTGAGGCTATTGAGGTCTGGTGTGGTCGGGATTTCGGTAGATAGGTGTTATCGTAATTCAGAGGTGATAATACCAGTTGCTCACGCAACTCTGTTATTTTTCACTGAACGCTACGATCAACAAAAACAAACTAACCTAATTGCAAAGTATTTTTATTTCATGTTTTTGACCCGAAGTTCACAAATTCAAACTCGCAAAAGACTGCTAGGACGACCGCTTGGTACTAAGGGAATGATAATGTCAGTTATCCCGCGGCGGGCGTATACGACCGCTGACTTATTTTTACCAATATACAGGGTGTCCGCAAAGTTGGGGTTTTCCTTTTCAGAAACAACTACCCTTGAAATAACAAAGGTAATGTGCAGTGAAACGAGGGCGACCAAGTAAAAAAAAATAAAGGAAAAAGTACTCGCTCTCCAGTTGACGAGAAGGGCTAAGTACGTCTCTGCCCGAAATCATACCGCTCCAACAGAAAATGAAATCAGCTGATGCACTACCGAGCAGACGCACCATGCCAGCCCAAACATTCACCGAAAATGTTTGTTGAAAATGTGCCGGACGGACAGCGTGCGGATTTTCTACTGACCAAACATGAGTGTTGCGAAAGTTATTCACCCTATTACGCGTGAATGTAGATTCGTCTGTCACCAATATGCACTTCAAAAAGTCCGGATTATTGTCATGTTGATGCAACAACCACTCACAAAACCGCTCTCTTGCTGGAAAATCGTCAGGTTGAAGGGCTTGTACACGTTGGACGTGAAACGGATACAGCCCCTCTTCACGCAGCGTTTGCCACACTTTAGTTTTTGATACTTGCACTTCTCTAGCCACGTCTCTAGTGCTTGTTGAGGGAATCTCGTCTACGCGATTACCTCTACAGGCGAAAAATCGGGATGCTTCATATGCCTACTAAACTTATTCTTGGATGTAGTTTTATAAGAACAATATATGCATTCATGGACTTTACTTGAAACTGTTGTAATATACCCAGGATGGTCCCTAACTATGTGATCATGCAAATTTATCTTACTACTGAATGTTCTGTTACAGTGAATACACGTTTCAAGCTTACATCTACCCTCTGCCCCTGGATGCTGCCAAATATGTCTAGCTAAACGATCCCTAAAGGTGGTTTTGAAAATGCAATATTTACATTCATGTATTTTACTTGTAACTGATGCAGCATACTCGGGATGTTTATTTATTATATGATTATCTGAGCTTTTCTTATCTTTGAACACTGCGTCACAGTGAACACACCCTTTAGGCTCATACGCACCTGTATGCTTCCGCATATGCCTAAGTAAATCAGTTTTTGAGGTCGTTTTAAATACACAATATTTACATTCATGTATTTTACTTGCAACTGATGCTGTATGCTCAGGATGTTTCTTTATTATATGATCATTCAAACTTTTCTTACTAATGAATGTTCTATTACAGTGAATACACTCATTTAGCTTATAACTACTTTTTGCATCAGGATGTTTCAACATATGTATAGCCAGATTACCTTTGACGGTAGTTTTATAAGTGCAATGTGTACACTCATGTATTTTACTAAAGACTGATCCTATGAAGTCTGGATGTTTATTAATTATATGATTACCTAGAAGAATGTTAGTTGAAAATTTAGCTTCACAATGAACACATTTTTTGAGCGTATAGCTACTTTTTGCATCAGGATGTTTCGACATATGTCTAGCCATTCTATTTTTGAAGGTAGTTTTATAAGTGCAATCTGTACATTCATGTATTTTACTTGAAACTGACGCAATATGTTCAGGGTGTTTATTAATTATATGATCACCTAGATTTATCTTGCTCATGAATGATCTGTTACATTGAATACACACATTGGGCTTACTTGCTCCAGTCCCGGGATGTTTCAGCATATGACTAACTAGATGATCTTTCTTGGTAGTTCCATATGCACAATGTGCACATAAATGCATTTTACTAGAAATAGATGGAGCAAAATCAGGATGTTTCTTAAATATATGACCATCTAAGCTTCTCTTTCTTCTGAATGTTTCATTACAGTGAATACACACATAGGGCTTATGACTTCCTTGTGCCTTAGGATGTTTCTCAATTTTATTGATGCATTCCTCACTAGTTTCTGTACAAGCCTCAGTGTCCAAACAGTTTTCTAACTTTAGTTCTTCCACAGCTTCAGATTTTGTCCAGGGTTTAGTAAAATCGTCATTTCCTGTGCTAAAACAGGATTATATCCACTGCAGCTTTTCTAACATATTTGACACATTGTTATAAATTTAAGCACCATGTTAGTATGACAAGCTAAAAATATAATAATATAAAACACTTCCTAGGTTGCTTAAATAAATCTATTAAACTACTTGATACATAAATTCAACACGTAATATGACATCAGTGTAAAGCTTCTAAATCCTTTGAAAAGTCAAGTTCATCAAATTTCCGAACTATTGTGGATAGATAGATATGTAGATAGCTATTCTATATGAAGAATACAATAATTCTTAACGACAAAGCTTACTTAAACTAAAGTACAACAAATGAAAATATACGTAGTGCACAAGCCCAATGGATGCAGATTTTTCCAGCGGTAAGTATACTCAGTGACATTAGAAGCGTTACACCCAGAAAAAATAATTTCTTCAACTTGATTTTTTGGCAATGAAGTAGTCTTACGTCAAGAATGAAACGATAACATTCTCACGAAATTGTATTGACAATAAGAAAAAAATACACTACTGTATACGACTAGGCATACTCAAAATCAACGATAGAGGAATATTACGTCATAAATTGTACTGAAGTAATCAATGGACGTACGTCGATGATAAAATCACGATGACAGGAACATAATGACAACAAATTTATATTATGATTTTGCGATGTTAGGTTATTTCACTGATTATTTTTATTTTATTTCATGGTTTTGAATGATACCTTAATAATAATTTTAGTGGGGACTTTTTGTTTTGAAAAAAAAAACAGCTATGAGTAGAATCCCTTAAGACAGGAACACCAAAGACCAAAGTATTATTCGAAAACAACCTAACCTGCTTTAACATAACCTAACTATTTATCTTTCAAATATGATCGATTATGCAACATGAAAACATCGTCTATCTTTGTCGGATACATGCAAATTAGCAATACAGTTTGTTTGGACAATAAAATTTTGTTTGACTCTGTCTAACATATCTGAAAATTCATTAAAAATATTCACAAATCGCTGTCGTTTATCTTTACTACAGACTAAAATGATGACGTAATAGTCATCTTTCGTGATCTCGACTATACTAGAATGTTTTTTTGTTCACAGCGGAATACATATATATTTAAATTAACAAGTCGTTTGGTAATATCAAGGAGGCACCTGTAAATTTTCAGACCATATGAATTCTAGAGTTTTTCACAAGTGTTGATTCAAGTACTATTAATTTAAGATCTTGTTTTTGCCTAATATCGTCACCTATATTTAGTAGCAGTAGTACTAGTAGTATTGCTTCATGCTTCAAATGGCAAGTCACAAAAAAATAAAGATGAATGTAACATATGTATACTGTCGAAAGAAGGGATGTAATAATTATAACTGGTCTTTATTAGGACGAAGTTTAGGTATTCTTCCACTTAACCCTTTTGGAAAAAGAAAAATTTACAAACTTGTTATACAGTGTGTCTGGTGGTGTACAATTGCAATAAAAGGTAACAGCAAGTCCAATTAACACTTTTAAAAAGTTTTTTGCACAAAATGGAAAAATCAGGAATGTTCATAATAAAATGGTTCAAACGGTAGAAAATACATGAATAAATAAATAAATGAGACACAACTAGTATCAAATATAGATGAAAAACAATGAGAAAGCGCCGCAAAAGAGTACTAGCTTATGCCAGCGTTTCCATTTCGGATGTGTGGTCCGCTTTTAGGGAATTACCGAATTCTAGATCAAAATGCAATTTTTCCTCTCAGATCCTATCATTTCGGGGAGGATCAACGTATTTGTATACTTCATGAGACATCTCAAAACAAAACAACCGAATTCCGAGAAGTGTATGTACTGTGTTTACCATGATGTCATTTGATGCACGCTGCAGTCATTTGTAACAAATCGCTCACTAGATTAGTGTTCATGGTCGACACATGACTAGTAGCCGCTACCGTTTACATCTATGCACTCATATTCATCTATATTATTTTTAATAACTTGTGGTTCACAATTTTCTATATCCTTTTGCAACTCATCCTCATCTGGCATTTCAAGAACTCCCTCACTACTCTCCTCAAATCTCATTGCAGTAGGGTCAAAATGTACCATTGTGTCATACGCATTATACATTCTGAAACAGTTCAAATGATAAATAACATTTTTTTACCAAATTTTAGCAACTCACATATCGAAACTGGTGTATGCAGCATCAGGATGTTTCAACATATGCCTAGTAAAATCCCTTTTGATTGTAGTTTTATAGGCACAATACGGGCATTCATGAACTTTACTTGAAACTGATGCAATATACTCAGGATGTTTCTTAATTATATGATCATCCAAGTCTGTCTTATGCTTGAATGTAGCATTACAGTGAATACACGTTTTACGCTCATAGCTCACACTTTCTGCGTCTGGATGTTTCTCCATATGGATAGCTAGATGACCTTTTGTGGTGGTCTTATATGTGCAATAATTACATTCATGTATTTTACTTGAAACTGATGCAACGTCGTTAGGGTGCTTCTTAATTGTATGATTATCCAAACTTTTCTTAGACTTGAACGTCGCGTTACAGTGAGTACACGTTTTAAGATCATAGCCACCTTCTGCACCTGGATGCTTCCCCATATGTTTAGCTAAACGATCTTTTAAGGTGGTTTTGAATTCACAATATTTGCATTCATGTATTTTGCTTGAAATTGATGCAATATGATTGGGATGTTCCTTAATTATATGATTGTCTAAAACTGCCTTACTTCTGAATGTGCCATTACAGTGAATACATGATTTGAGCTCACTTTCTGCCTCTGGATGCTTGGCCATATGTTCAGCTAAATGCCCCTTTAAAGTTGTTTTATATTCACAATATTTACATTCATGTATTTTCCTTGAAACTGATGCAGCATGTTCAGGATGTTTCTTCATTATATGATCATTCAAATTAATCTTGTTCATGAATGTTGTATTACAGTGATTACACACATTGAGCATATTGCAACTTATTGCATCAGGATGTTTCAGCATGTGCTTGGTAAGCTCGCTTTTGAGGGTAGTTTTATAGGAGCAATGTGTGCACTCATGTATTTTACTTGACACTGATGCAATATACTCGGGATGATTCTTAATTATATGATTATCTAAATTTTTCTTCCACTTGAATGTCGCGTGACAGTAAATACACGTTTTAGGCTCACAGCTCCCTTCTGCCCCTGGATGCTTCCACATATGTCTAGCTAAATAACACTTTGAAGTGGCTTTAAATGGGCAATATTTACATTCATGTAGTTTACTTGAAACTGATGCAATATATTCAGGGTGTTTCTTAATTATATGACTATCCAACTCCCTTTTGATGGTAGTTTTATAAGTGCAATGTGCACATTCAAGTACTTTCCTTAAAACTGATGCAATATACTCCGGGTGTTTTCTAAGTATATGATTATCTAACTCCCTTTTGATGATAGTTTTGTAAGTGCAATGTGAGCATTCGAGTATTTTTCGTAAAACTGATGCGATATGCTCAGGATGTTTCTTAATTATATGATCATCTAAATTTGACTTATCTATGAACGTCCTGTTGCAGTGAATACACACACTAAGCTTACAACTACCATCTGGACCAGGGTGTTTCAATATATGCCTAGTAAACTTATCTTTGATGGTAGTTTTATAGGAGCAATGTGTGCATTCATGTATTTTACTTGAAACAGATGCAATATACTCAGGATGTTTATTAATTATATGATTATTTAAAGTTCTCTTATATCTGAATGACTGATTACAGTGAATACATTTATTTTTCTTATGGCCACCTTCTGCCAAATTTTTTTTCAAAATGTGATCATCCTCATTTTTGTCAGTGATTCCTGTAATTTCACAGGTCTCAGCGCCCAAATCGTTTTCCGGCAGTTCTTCAACAACTTCACATTTCATCCAAGGGTAAGTAAAATTATGCTCATTTGTTATGCTAAAACAGGATAATATAATTTTCAGTCTTATAAAGGTATTTGCGATGTGTGTAAACCAGGGGGAATTTCAACTATATACCCATGTCTAAAGCATCATCTAAAAAAAACCAATCCATACTACTGTATTAAATATGCATAGTAGTTGCACTATTTGGCAAATTGTTGTTTTCAAAAATAGAATTTGCATGGTTTTGTAGCGGTTTAGCATATAACAGTGGTGAAACAGTACCAGGCAAGACTTATGTAAAAAATGATTATTAGAATATAGTGTTATTTAGTGCATTAAAGTGGTGTAGTGAAACTTTTTGAATGCAAATGAACATTTCTACATAAAAGAGTTGTTACCAAGTACAAAATGGATCTGTAACAAACAACAAACCAAAACAAAATACGGCTCTGTCTACCTGGCGTTGACGGATCCGTCAGAATTATGTTTACTGTGCTGATATGGGGAATTTTGAAGTATTACTATATAACCAGCTGTCATTCTACCGTGATGGATACTCGTGAAATATGGTATGAGATAGGCAGTTTGCTGGTTAGTCAACCCTTAGAATTTAGAGGGAGGAAAAATTAGGAAATGAGTTCTAAAGTCATTATCTCAAAAAAAGTTGAATTCAGGCATGGGGCTAACACATAAAAATATTTAAAATTCTATAGCCTATTCCACGATTATCCATCACGAGGGAATACTAAAAAATTAGAAGAAGTAGAAACATCTAAGCTGATGAGAAATTTCATTTCAAATTGTGTGGTATACCCATGAAACTCTCTTAGGCCTGGTTTTTCAATCACAAGTTAACTGCAACTTGACCACTGACCAGAAGTTAATCCTCAAAAATGTTTTGCAATATCAAGTTTCTGCTAAACTGGTACTTCAGCCAGAGAACCATGAATGGGATAACTATAAAGTTGTGATCAAAAGTTGTCATGGCTGTCATGAGACACGAATACCAAACATCACAAAATGTATAGAACTTGCCAATTCAAGTATAAAGCAGTATTGCTGCATCAATGGTTTATAGATTGTTAACTTCATGCTTCAGAAACAAATTCACAGGCAACTGATAGTTAACTTCCAAGTCATAGTCACCTAACTTAACAGTTAACCAGCGATTGAACAACCTTAGTGAGTGCAACAACTGTCAATTCATTCAAGAATAAACTGGATAAGAAACTAGAGAAGGCAGGTTAGCATGTTTCCTGCTTGACACAATAGTGTCATTACACTTTTCTGCCTACAGTTGTAGTGTATAAATAATAATAAAGTTTGATCTAAAAACACGTCAGCGCCGACTAGCGGGGGCAAAAATGACGTTGCTGCCATTCAACAGCAGAAGTAATAATAATAATATCCATTAAACATGTGTACAGTTCAATAACAGTGAAATAAATTTTAATAGAATCACTTTCTACAGATCACATAATTTCACAACATGTAACTTACAGTGGATGCTCCACCACCTCCCAAACCATAAACAAGAATATAAGTGGCCACTACATGAAATATAATATAGAATATTCACCTGTTTGAAACATTTTCTGTGTTTTCATATTCAACATTTTCTTTTTTAATAATCATCACTTGCTCACAAATATCTGCTACTTGGTATTTGTTATTATCTGTATGCATTTGCAACTCTTTTGTATCATCTTGCATTTCAAAAACAGTAGGATCAAAATTTACCATGGTATCACATCCATTATAAATTCTGAAAGTTAAAATAATGAATTACAATTTTGATAAAATAGCCGATTTTGGAGGCTCACCTGTCTGAAACAGTGTCATCTGTATCAATCGAATGGTTTCTCTCATCTTTAATAAATACTTGGGCGATTTGACTGGCTTCATATCCCTTGCTATCCAAGTCATTTTCCACCTTAATTTTTTCTCTCTGTGAAAACTCCTCTTTCTCATTTTTAATTATACTTTCAGGGGTCCCTCTCACGCTCATTCTTCAGCATCCAAGTGATTTTCCGGTTCTATTCTTTTATTTTTGAACGTTCATAACGGAAAAAATAAAAGATCTTCCACAACCTCAACAAGCTCCCCAAAATGCACCACCATAACAAATAATAAAAACTACAAAACATATAAAAACTATTTGACACATAAGAGACCTACCTTTCTTATTCGTTTGCATTTAAGCTTGCGCCAACAGATGGCACTCAAAATCACCAGAATACAGTGCGTAAAATTCCCTAGATTTAAACTGAATATGAAGAGTTCTTTTATACCTACCATCTAAAGTTACTCACATATTTACCATTCACGAACAATCGCAGAAAATAAAATACGTCTCATGGACGTCTTATGTTTCGAGAAGATTGTTCAATGAAGTGAATGTTTTGCCCTATATATGGTAATTAAACATTAAGATACTTTAAATGTGGTTCAAATATCCACTATTGTACGTATTTTGGGTCGCCAAAACCGAATCCGTATCGTTTCACATGTATCTGATCCCGTTTATCGTGTAGATCCAATTATTTAGCGAAAAATTGCGTTTTTTGCGTGCTAAAAACCCATTTCTATTATCGATGGCTACATGTAAGCAAAACTTTATACAAAAGGTAATTTGGGGCGCTGAATATGAGTACCATAGTGGATGAATTCTAAAGTGTCGTCGGACGTGATTTGGAGTGAAAAATTGGTAAAAAAATTAGGTATATCCGGGGCTGCCCGTGAATCCTAGCACTGAATTGACATCCAATTCGAAATCTACGTACCCAATTTACCTAGAAAACAAGGTTCCTTTAGAGTTTAGATCATCAGATTTTTTATTAGTTGTTTTTTGACAGAGTAGAATTCTTACCAGAATTTCGGAAACGAGACATTGCCAGACTGAATAGGCTCCGGATATTTTGAAAGATGCTCTAAGCCTTGTTTGGTTTTCTGGTAATTTGGCAATCGCTTCCACACTGCTGCGTGCACTGTGCATGGTGAATACCAATATCATCATTTACGCGGGATTGGTTGGATGATGTGGGCCTGAATGAATTTCTTTCAGGGGGGAGGAACGTCATTTAATTTTTTGTTATGCACGTTTCATAGCTAACTTTTATCTTTAGAAGTGCTAACTTGTGCCAAACATCCTTTACGAACTGAGGACTTTTGACTTAATTGACGCCATTTTTTTCGTGGTTATAGTTTTCCAAAGTTTTCGCAAGATTTGAAATAAAACACGTAAGTCTCTCTTAAATATTTTTTATTGAATCGTACACAAAAATACACACTATAGTTAAAACCAACAAAAAATATCGCTTTAAAATGAATTTCAGGTTCTGCGCATCTGTCATCTTTCTTTGTTGCTGTCATCATGACTGCAAACAACTCTGATTTTGTCAGTTCGGACGAGTTGCAAGCAGAAATATTGGATGATAATAAACCACGAAGTAAAGAACCTACTAGGAATCAGGTTTTAGCACTGTATGTGATATGTCGTTATTTGTTTGCAGTAGTTTTTCGCGTCGACTTTAAAAAATTTTGTTCAAGGCGAAACTTCATTTTCGATGTTGTCAAATACCATGGCAGGAGAATCAGCAACAAAGCAAGAGCACGTTGTTATGAAAAATACGAATAATAGGTCGGAACAATAAGATGAATAAGTGTTTATTGTCCAAGAAGGAAATTAATGCCTGTTCACAAAAAAGAAAACAATTTTTGCTCCATAACATTACCGCCTATTTGAGGGAATAGTTTATGATAGAATGCATGTTTTTTCGAATGAGCACAATATTCCAACTACTAACCACTCGACAAATACGACAGCATTTTCATTGCATACGTGTTGCACGCTTCCATTTCTCTTTCGTACACATCGAAATTTAAATGGGATAAAGACTTTGGCCAGCATTGAATATTACCTCCATCTCCAAAACTGTTCATTTTGGAGACCTTTTATTAGGGCATCATAATGTGCCACATACTACAAATTCAGCCAAATCTGCCACATGTTTTGTATAGACTTTTTCACGAGTATCTATTATTGTAGAATGACAGCCGAATATTTAGTGTTATTTCAAAATTCCCCATATCGACAAATGACGCATCATTCTGACGGATCCGTCACTGCCAACGGTTAGAGAGTTAATAATAAAGTTACTTGTTGATCAGCTGTTCAGTAGACGTCAAAACGTGATGGATATTCGTGAAATAGGGTATATGGTCGTCAATGTCCAACCAAGCACTACGCATCCAAGGGCTGTGGAGCTGATTTATCCAATTGGAGATGTTTCAGCATATGTTGATCAAAATTATATTTAAATATGGTTTTATATGCACAGTCCTTACACGCATACATTTTACTGGAAACCTCGGAGATACATTCAGGATGTTTCTTAATTATGTGCCCATCTAACATTTGTTTATTTTTGAATTTCGCATTACAATGAATACATATGTTGAGCTTAAAGGTTTCTTTTGATTCTGGGTGCTTCAACATATGCTGATTAAAACAGGTCTTTATTGTTGTTTTATATGTACAATGAGTACATTTATGTATTTTGTTACTAACTTCAGCAATGAAGTCAGGATGTTTCTGAATTATATGATTATCTAGACTTTGTTTAGTTTTAAATGTTGTGTTACAGTGAATACACATACTGAGCTCACAGCTACTTTCTTCATCAGGATGTTTCAGCATATGCTGAGCAAAATTATATTTACCTGTAGTTTTATATGTACAATGGGTACATGTATATATTTTGCTGGAAACTTCAGCGATAAAGTCTGGATGTTTCTTGATTATGTGCCTGTCTAGCCTTTGCTTGTTCCTGAATGTCGCGTAACAGTGAATACAAGTGCTGAACTTAAAATTGTCCGCCGCCTCCGGATGCCTCAGCAGATGCTCGTCAAACCGAGTCTTTTGAGTAGTTTTATATGTGCAGTATATACATTCATGTATTTTACTAGAAACATCAGCAATAAAGTCAGGATGCTCCGTAATTATATGATCATCTAGATATCTTTTTGTTTTAAATCCAGAATTACAGTGAATACACTTTTTGAGTTCATAGCCTCCTTCTGCCCCAGGATGTTTCAGCATATGTTGCGCTAAATTGCCTCTCAGGATAGTTTTATATGGACAATGTGTACATTCATGTATTTTACCCGGAACCTCGGCAGAAAATTCGGGGTGTTTCTTAATTATATGATCGTCTAACGTTCTTTTATATTTGAATGTAGTTTTACAGTGAACACAGGTTGTCTTTAGTTTACGGCTACCTTTTCTCCCAGTATGATTCGACGTATGTCTATCAAGCTTTTGTTTTGCGGTCGTTTTGTAAGTGCAATATGTACATTCATGTATTTTACTTGAAACTGATGAAATATGGTCAGGATGTTTCTTAATTATATGATCGTCTAAAGCCGCCTTACGTGTAAATGTTTCATTACAGTGAATACAGACTATCAGCTTATAGGTTTCTGTACCAGAATGTTTTGACACATGTCTATTCCACCTATCTTTTGATGCGGTTTTGTAAATGCAATACTTACATTCATGGATTTTACTTGAAACCGATGCAATATGTTCAGGATGTTTCTTGATTATATGATTATCCAAATTTGTCTTGCTTGTGAACGTCGCGTTACAGTAAATACACACACTGAGCTTACAATTACTTTCTATATCAGGATGCTTCAGCATGTGTTTTGTCAGCAGACTTTTTTTGGCAGTTTTATATGTACAATATATACATTCATGGATTTTACTTGAAACTGATACCATATGTCCAGGATGTTTCTTAATTATATGATCATCTAAATTTATTTTATTTTTGAAAGTTGAGTTACAGTGAATACACGTTTTAAGCTCGCAGCCACCTTCCGCCCCTGGATGCTGCCCCATATGTCTAGCTAAATGGACTTTTGAGGTGGTTTTAAATACACAATACGTACATTCAAGTACTTTACTTGAAACTGACGCAATATGTTCAGGATGTTTCTTTATTATATGATCATCCAAATTAATCTTATTTATGAATGTTGTATTACAGTTGATACACACATTGACCTTATAGCTACCTTTTGCACCAGGATGCTTCAACATATGTATAGACAACTTATCTTTTAGGGTAGTTTTATAAGGGCAATGGGTACATTCATGTATTTTACTAGAAACTGATGCTATGAAATCTGAATGTTTTTTAATTATATGATTATCAAGATTGATTTTCTCTGTAAATGTAGCATTACAGTGAATACACTTCTTGAGCTTAAAGCCACTTTTTGCCCCAGGATGTTTCAATATATGCCTAGCTAAGCAATATTTTTTGGTAGTTCTAAATGCACATTGTGAACATTGATGTATCTTACTAGATACCTCCGCAGTAAAATCAGGATGTTTCATAATTAAATGTTGATCTAAAGTTCTCTTTGTACTAAATGTCGCGTTACAGTGAATACATATTTTATGTTTAGCAGTGGGATGTTTTAAAATATGATCATTCTCTTTGTTAATGATGTTTTTTCCATTAATTCCTGTAATTTCACAAGTCTCCATGTCCAAATCATTTTCCAACTTCAATTCTTCAACAGCTTCACATTTTATCCAGGGTTCAGAAAAATTGTGATCATCTCCTATGCTAAAACATAATATAAACTGCAGTATCCTAAATGCAAATATATTTGACAAACTTTATGTGTGTAAGCTGAAACATGCAATCTCAAAAAAGTAGTAAAATAAGGTAAAACCATCGGAATAAACATCTCCAAGGTTGCTCAAATCCATTTAACTATTAAGCTGTATTTAAAATACAACTTTACTAATGTTTATATAATATAGTCTTTAGTTTAAAAGGGTGTCTCAACAAGAGCGCCGGATTTGAATTTGCCGCGATTTTTTCGTATAAATGGTATGGTGTTAACATGATGGCATGGAGCAGTATTCAAACGAGCATCGCTTATTAATTGTGAAAACTCACTACAAAAATGGAGAAAATTACGCGGAAACAGTTCGCAAATTACGTACAATTTTCGGTCGTACTAATGCGCCAAGTGAGTCGACAGTTCGCCGTTTAATTACATAATTTGAGACAAAATTCACGTTGCTGAATGTGAAGACCACTGTTCATCGCCGTCCTGGTCGGTCGCTCGAAAATATAATCCCAGTGCGGGAAAGTGTGGACGAGAATCCAGGCACTTCCATTCGGCATCGTGGCCAAGAATTGAACCTTACCAGACCCACTCTGCAACGAATTTTGACAAAAGATCTGTACTTGAATGCATTCACAATTGGCCATCAAGATCGTGCGATCTAACGCCAATGGATTTCTTCCTCTGCGGCTACGGGAAGGAAAAGGTGTATGCAAACGCAAGAAGTCAAGCCAACGGACCATGCGCAGCGCCGTGAATTCCTTGATTGGGCGCTGGAGCACCACAAAATTGATGCGGATTTCTCGAAGAAAATCATGTTCTCTGATGAGGCACATTTTCAACTGAACGAGTACTTCAAATAAGCAGAACTGCCGAACTTCGGGTTCTGCAAACCATCGCGTAATAATCGAACAACCAAGCATCCGCCGCGAGTTCCGCTTGGTGTGCATAGTGGAGTGGCGGAGTGATTGGATCGTATTCCTCCGAAAATGCAGCTGGAACTGTGGTAACTGTTAATGGTGTGCGGTATCGCGAAATGTTAACCGAGTTTTTATGGCCCCAGTGGGATCGAATTGATGTGGAGGATAAGTTCTCCCAACAAGACGGTGCGACCTGCCACACAGCACGCGAAACAAAGGTGTTACTGCAGACCAAGATTCCAAACCGTGTCATCTCTAGGTTTGGAGATCAAAATTGGCCACCAAGATCGTGCGATCTAATGCCAGTGGACTTCTTCCTCTGGGGCTATGTGAAGGAAAAGGTGTATGCAAACAAGCTACAAACAGTTGAACAGATGAAATAGGGCCACAGTTGTGCAAAAACATTATCCAGAATTTTAAGGAAAGACCGGATGTCCTATTTCATGTTTAATCGCAACTATTTCTCTTCATGTGCAAATATAAATACTTGCTTAATTTGAAAAGAAATGTTTTTCTTGAAAATCAATTCTGGCACTCTTATTAAGACATCCTTTACAATACAGTTTTAGCAAACATAAATACTGGATATATGAATATTAACATTTGTCTTTTTGGTGTTCAAGTCTCTGTTTTGTATTGTGGTATCAATACAATATGAATGTAAAATACAACTTTTTTATATAAATCTGTTATTGGAGAATGCATCTTAGCAAAAACTAGGACACTTGCACATAATTTCACAAATATCTAATAGCAAATTTATATAACAATTCAGCAGTTATAGAAATGACTAATACTTATGAAGCTGTTAATACAAATTGTCATAAACGTTAGCACTCTTCATAAAGCTGACCATGAAAGATCACAAGTTTTAAGGTGGATGCCACATGATTAGTATTTACTAATATCCATCATCATCAGGAAATGTAATAGCTACTGACCCTGTATCCAGAACCTCTGTAGTTATTGATATATAAGGAGATATATATATATAAACACATTGATACTAACAGAATAATTAGTAAATACTGATGGTATGGGCCATACTAAATATGGTTTTCCAAGTGTTGTATAAGCCCTGAGTTATAGCTGACACCCTCCGGATTCCTGAACTATTGAAAACTATTGTATACCAAAAATTTGAATCTAAATGATCACCTGCTTGAAACATTTTCTGTGTTTTCTTTTTTGAACATATATTCGTTTTCTTTTTTAATAATCCTTTGATCAAAATTTTTAATATCTTGGCATTTATTATCATCCACCTCTTTTTTCAGTTCTATCTTTTCATCTTTCATTTCAAAAACTTCTCTAGTCCCTTCACATTTAACGGAGGTAGGACAGGAATTTGCCTTAGTACCACGTGAATTATGAACTCTGAAACAGTTCAAATAATTAATGTTCACAAAACAATTCATTTCGAAGAGTCACCTATCCGAAACAGTGTTTGCAGTATCTGTATTGTTGAACTGGACACCCTCTTCTTTGATAAAGCATCCATAGGTGGTTTGCGCGAGTTCAATTTTTTTACTGCCCAAATCATGTTCCACCTTTATGTTTGCTTTTTCCATCTCCGTAGCTTCTTTATCATTCTTCGCAACTGACTTTCCAGTTTCACTTTTTATGTATGCATTAAAATTTTACAAAAACCACAGTTAAAAACCTCAAACCAACAAACCCCGGCAAAGGTGACAACTGACAACACAAAACATATACACTGACATGTGTTTTGTGGCCTACGCCACAAGTGTTGACGGTTACGCTTAGTGATGGAATGTTCCAAAACTAGGTATTAGAATAAGCATATATCGATTCAAATATACTATCGAAACGAGCATGTCCATTTTAAGACAACCTCACTCCCCGTGTATGATTTGTGTTTGTGCTCCACACTCCACAAATGCCTCAAGTGTAGGTGTTTGTGTCATACAAATTGGGGAGAATAAAAGAAAAAAATAATTGCTAACACTGGCAACGGCGCATACGCTAGACCTCGTTGGTGTCGGTGCCGGTGTGTTTGTGGTATGTTTTGTGGTCGGTGCTTTCGTTTGTTGTGTTGTATTGTTATTGTTACTAAGGTTATGTTAACTTATTTTGAATTTTGAACAAGGTTTTCGTTTTGGAAGATTCTTCTAAGAGTTAAAAAAAGGTTAGATGATGATAGAACCTTTAAAAGATTCTACAGAGAACAAGCCGGTGGTGAGTAGTCAACAGCAGCCACACTATCTAATAATACAGGAATACTAAGGAAAATGTGGGGCTATAGGGGCAACATGAATGTTTGGAGATGCTTTGACACTCTCCCAAGAACCATGTGAGGCATAGGTTGTATGCCCGGTCATGAGAACTGCCTTTAACGGCGAGGCAATAGTATAGTAAATTTATTTTGCATGTCATATGAAATTTTGCGTCTCATGTTTATCCAACCTGTAATTTGCTATGGGTGTTGGATAGAGCTTGTGATGCTTTGCACTTTAATTTTTCGGATCGGGTTATATTTGCCTGTTCAGCACCCTAATTACATAAGCATTCTCATATTTAACAGAAACCTTGTGGACAGATTGTCTTGGAAAATACTGCACCTGTTGAGAATACAATGAAGATTGAGTGGGAAGAAGTTGAAATAGATGCAAAGAAAAGCAGGGGGTCATTTGGGGTTGATCAAGTAGCTTGGGAACTAGTTAAACATGAATATGAAAACTTGGATGACATTATTTTCCATAGGTAAATTTAATTGTTTTCACTCATCCTATTATATTCTGTATTATTTCAAAAAAATTATCTTGAAGCATCCACTATATAGTAAAAAATAAAAAAATTACAAGAGAGTACTGTCATATTAAAATCAGTTTTTTAACAAGCAAACTTTCTTCAGCTTGTGTTTCATTCATATATCTCAATAAAAAAAACCTTCAAAGCCTGAATGTCAGGAATTCTTTTGTACATAATTTATATCAAATCTCCTATAGTCGAAATCACGAAACATGACAATTATGTCATCATTTTAGTCTGAATAAAGAAAGAATTTTATTGTCTAAACAAACTGTATTGCTATTATGCATGTATCCGACAAAGATAGACGATGTTTTCATGTTGCATGATCTATCATATTTGAAAGATGAGTAGTTAGGTTATGTTAAAGTAGGTTAGGTTGTTTTCGAATAATACTTTGGTCTTTGATGTTTCTGTCTTAAGGTACTCCAATCATAACTGTTTTTTTCAAAACTCGGCACTAAGATTATTATTACTTAAAACCATGAAATAAAATGAAAATAAAAATAATCAGTGAAATAACCTAACTTTGCAAAATCATAATATAAATTTGTTGTCATCATTCCTGCATCATGATTTTATCATTGACGTACGTCCATTGATTACTTCAGCACAATTTATGGTATGACGTAAAGGTCATCTTTCGTGATACTGACTATATATTGCCAACAATGCCTTAACAAAAAGACATAGCAACATCAAACATTGATATTCATGGAGATGACAGAACAGTCACCAGTATCAACAATGAAGATGATCTGAAAAGGTTTTTAACTTTTTAAAAAAGTACCTAATTATCATGACCAAAATGTTTTGAAATCACCTATTTCAGAATAAAAATTGAACACACCTATGCTAAGACTTCGATAAAGTGCAGCAATGAAGAACATTTCAAAATGCAAAATATAGAAATAAAGTTGGAAAATGATTTAGGTAACAATCAATTTGAAGTCTCTCAAATCACCAATGAATTTATCATTAAGGATGAAAATGATCAATTTATTGATACATCTGCTGCAGAAACTGTTCCAGATAGGTAATTCTTAATTTTCAGCTTTTTCGTAAATATTTCCTTTCATTATTTGAACTATTTCAGAATCTACAGAGAATGTGATACAGAGAAAAATAATGCAAATGCTTCCTTTATCAGAGATCCAGAAGTTAGTTATAAGCTCAACACATGTATTCATTGCAACACAACATTCGAAAGTAAGATCAATTTAGATGATCATATAATTAAGAACCATCTTGAGTTTATATCATCAATTTCAAGTAATGTACATCAATGTACACATTGTACTTATATAACCACTTTAGAGACTAGTTTAGCTGAACACATGCTTCAGCATCCTGCTGCAGAATATAGCAATGAGCGCATTGTGTGTATTTACTGTAGTGCAACATTTTCAAGCAAATTATGTTTAGATGATCACATACTCAAAAAACATCCTGAGTCTATAGCATCAGTTTCTAGTAAAATACACGAATGTACAAATTGCACTTATAAAACTACACTAAGAGAAAATTTGAGACAACATATGTTAAAGCATTTTGATGCAAAAAGAATCTATAAGACTGGTGTTGTGTGTATTCACTGTAATGCAACATATTCAAGGAAAATATATTTAGATGATCATATACTCAAAAAACATCCTGAATCTAAAGCATCAGTCTCTGGTAAAATACACGAATGTACAAATTGTACTTATAAAACTACATTAAGAGAACATTGGAGACAACATGTGTTAAAGCATATTGATGCAAAGAGAATCTATAAGACTGGTTTTGTGTGTATTCACTGTAATGCGACATTCACGACAAAAGTACGTTTAGATGATCATATACTCATGAAACACCCTGAGTTTAAATCATCCATTTCTAGTGAAATATATGAATGTGCACATTGCACTTATAAAACCACATTAAAACATAGTTTGGTTAAACACATGTCGAATCACTCTGGAGCAAAAGGAAGCATCAATTCCAGTGTATGTATTCACTGCAATGCAATATTTACAAGGAAAATATGTTTAGATGGTCATATACTCAGAAAACATCCTGAGTTCATAACGTCAGTTTCGAGTAAAATACACGAATGCGCATACTGCACTTATAAAACTAATTTGACTAATCCTATGTTGAATTATACTGGAGCAGAAGGAAGCTGCAAGTTCAGTGTGTGTATTCACTGTAATGCGACGTTCATGCGTAAAGTACATTTAGATGATCATATACTGAAAAAACATCCGGAGCACATCAGTCCATCAATTGCTAAGAAAATACGTGAATGTACGGATTGCACTTATAAAACTACAATAAAACATAATTTTACAAGACATATTTTGCAGCATTCTGGTGCAAAAACTGTATATAAGAATAGTGTGTGTATTCATTGTAATGCGACATACTCAAGGAAATTAGGTTTAGATGATCACATACTTAGAAAACATCCAGAGTTTGCAGCATCGGTTTCTAGTAAGATACATGGATGTGCAAATTGCACTTATAAAACTACATCAAAAGATAATTTTAGGAAACATATGTTAAAGCATTCTAGCGCAAAAATCTATAAGTCTAGTGTTGTGTGTATTCACTGTAATGCGAGATTCAAGAGAAAATCACGTTTAAATGATCATATACTCGTGAAACACCCTGATTTTACAATATCAATTACTAGTAAAATATATAAATGTGCACACTGCACTTATAAAACAACTTTAAAGTATAGTTTGGTTAAACACATGTTGAATCATCCTGGCGCAACAGGAAGCATCAATTTCAATGTATGTATTCACTGCAATGCAACATTCACAAGGAAAATGTGTGTAGATGATCACATACTCAGAAAACATCCTGAGTTTATATCATCAGTTTCTAGTAAAATACACGAATGTACAAGTTGCACTTATAAAACTACATCAAAAGATAATTTGAGGAAACATCTGTTAAAGCATTCTGCTGCAAAAAAAGTCTCTAAGAGCAGGTGTTGTGTGTATTCACTGTAATACGCTATTCTCGAGAAAAATGTGCTTAGATGATCATATACTCAAAAAACATCCTGATTTCATAGCATCAGTTTCTAGCAAAATTCATGAATGTGAATATTGCGTATTCAAAACTGTCATAAAAAGTCATTTAGTTAGCCATTTGGAAAAGCATTCAGGTACAGAAGGTATCTGTGGACGTAAAACCTGTGTTCATTGTAACGCTATATTCGCATGTAAGTCAAATTTAGATGATCATAAGATTAAGAAACATCCTGACTTTATTGCAGAAGTTTATAGTAAAATATATGCATGCACTCATTGTTCATATAAAACCTCGCGTATGACATGTTTTGCTCGACATATGCTGAAGCATCCTGATGCAGAAGGTAGGTACAAGTGCAGTAAGTGTGTTCACTGCGGCGCGACATTAACCAGTAAAGAAAATCTACATAATCATATAATTCGGAAACATCCCGAGTTGTATTCCTGACGTATCTTAAAGGCGCGTACACATCTGGCGAACGCATGTGGCCGAAGCTCTTCGATCGAATTCATTCGATGATTTCGACGTTCGATGGAAAATTTGCTCTGCCGTCCACATTACGGTGAACGAATTCGTTTGCAGTCATTCGTCGAGGTTCGCGGGTATTTTTGTAAATGGTAAAAAATGGCGTCCGATGATGAGGATATAATTATTGCAAGTGCGTTGTATATTATTATTAGTGAGGCGGAGACCGAAGCATTGAAAGAGCCCCCAAGAAACGACGAAAACGGCGCTGGTGGACATCATTGTTCAAAAGCAGAAGTCGGTATAGAGGGATGGACTTAATTAGTGATCTAAAAGCTGAAATGGAATACGGACTTTTTGTAAATTTTTGTAGAAAGTCTAGTGTTTTTTGGTATAAACTTGTCCATCAAGAAAAGCATTTCTTTGAAAGCGAACCATCTAGATTTAAAAATTGTGTCGGTTCCTGAGCCAGTTTTAAACGAGCTATCTTGTTTTTGTCTCTCACGTCGGAATGATGTTAATAAAGATTCCATTTTCTTTTTGACCTCCCCTGTATCGCCTTTCATAGTTTTGCTGATGTCGTTCCAGGCATCCATTTTCTTTATTTTATTTTTGTAATCTTTATGCACTGGATTCCATAAAACTTCCCGTTCTCGATATAAACCAATAAGTTTTAAACAAGAGGAATTAGTCCACTCCATTATCGCTAAATAGAAACTCAAAACAAAATGACCACGATGAGACACTTAAAAACTGAAAAGCGTACACACTAAACACAGCCAAACGAATTCGTTCTTCAATTTTCTTTTGATGTACCGCCCAGTGACCGAACTCTCGCGAAGGCAAACACATGCGTTTGTTAGGTCGTACACATTTACCGACGGCGTTCGGTCGAAAGGCTTCGGCCACATGCGTTCGCCAGATGTGTACGCGACTTTATAAATATTCGAATATTCGCACATTGTTCATAAAACGATTGTCAAATTTTCATCATCATTGATCAGCGTATTCGACCTGGTTGTATACGTTATTTAATGGTACTACTAAAGGCCATATCGGCCGTCGTTCCCATAATTGTAGGGCGCCTTTATAGCCTCCTTGATTTTCATAGTTTATTCTCTCCTTCAGACAGGCTGGGGTATTTCTATATTTCTACTGTTCAGTGTCAGCATGAGGTTATGTTTTCTTTTTGAATCTTGATAAATTTCAGGCAGATAAACGGATGATAAAAATCAAATTTTATCAGCCTGAAATTTAAAAAGAAAATATAACCTCAAAATAGAGGGCTGAAACGAAACAGTCGAAATCTCGAAATAGGTACCCCTACCCCTGCCTTTCGGAACTTTTAAACCCACCTTTATAGCTGTAACATTACTGAATATACGTCAAATAGGTAGGCATTCCAAGACATACAGTGCTTTTCAAAAAGTCTTCTCCCATGATTGCAACAACTAGCAAGCTGAAATACGGAACGTTGAAATTGATAAATAAACACTAAAATTTTCATCTTATTTTGAAGCTCCTAAACAGTAGTTTATAAAATGGCGGACTGGTGAGCTGTCACAGTTGAGCGTATTTGTACATTAAACTTTTCCTTTTGGAATAAGTACTTATTTTATCTGGGACATAAGACATAAGTTTTTGACAATTTCTCTAAAAAGAAGATTTGTCATCATTCTAGTTGTTTTAGTTTGATACTATGTTACATTTTTCTTGATTAGTTGAATTAGGTCATAGACCATGTTCTTTTATAAATTATGTTGTATTTATAAAAATAAAATACGTTTGTTCATACCTGTTGCTGTTTTTATCAGGCTAAAAAATTAGTAAAAAAATACCCCCTAAAATGCTAAAAACAAATGGCGGATATTAATAAGCAATGCAACCTTGAAATTCCCATTTCTCTTCATAGCATTATTAAATCTTCACTGTACCCGGGCTGTTGTTATTTTTTGAAAATGTACCTATACTTGTTTTTACAGTTTACGATGCTATACTTAGTAGGGGTTTAAGTTTTTTATTTTTGTGTGTAGTGCACTATGGTTGAATAAAATGTTTGTCTTCAGAGGTTTTAGTACATTTACTCACTTTTCTTGGATAATTAAGGAAATTATTGGTATTTCGAAACTTTTGTATTGAAGATTGGTTTTTGATGTACACGGCGAAAAACTATTACATTAACATATCCGTATATTTTTCGCCGGTCCGGTATCGCGGTATCCTTGGACAAAGTTTGGAGCAGCTACACACACCTCAGATGCAAGTACTCATAACTTTCGACTTCAATTAGGACTTACGAATTTCAGTTGACTTGGCAACGCTGCGTGCTACTGTAGTGAGTTCTAGGGATGGGCGGTTATTGAAGAAACCGGTTATAGTTTAACCGATTTTGATATCATTAACGTTAACCGGCAAAAAATTTAACCGGATGTACGATTAACCATAAAATAACCTTTATTTTTGTTCATCAAAGATTTAAAGTGTCATTAGCCATGTTTACATCGTGGCTAGCTAAGCTCCTAGATAGCGCATAGCCCACGGTGTAAACGTGCACAGAGCGGCATTTATGTACAGACTGACTCTTATAGTTATGAAATAATAAACGTGAAGTTGGCATCTTTCAAACGTAAAATTTTGTCATGAACCGTGGCACAAGAAGGCGTGTTGTGACCACAGAATATATATTAGAACCCAGAGCGGTTATGCCGCATATGGGGCAATGCGTTAGAGAAGTGGTCAAGGATAACACAGCCGTGATATTCACTACGCACATATTTACTGAGATTTGTGTAGATATAAGAAGAAAAACGTTCCTTGTTATTGCTTTTTTTAACCAGTTAACTATACATTATGAAATAACCAGTTAATTGATTAAGAAAACTCGGCTATTCAACTAACCGGTTTTTTTGCCCATCCCTAGTGAATTCTGAGTTCCACTTTTCCCGTCACTTATCATTGTGCTTTAGTGATGCAAAGTTTCGTTACTTTTTAGGACTTGTAAGGACTCGTTACTTTCGAACTTTGGACTCGTTAGTTTAGTTACTATTTGGACATTTCGTTTAGAACCTAAATTCTATATATTATATCAAATTATTACTTTGGGATTGATCCAATTATTATTTTTTGTCTAATGCCTTGCCTATTAATTTTTTTGATATTTGATACGTAGAAGGTACTTATATTTTAAACTCGTCGTTGTGTGACGTCTGGTTCGTTGGCTGTACGCTGTAAATAGTTTTTAACAAGTGGCATACCAGATGGGGACCGTGGAGGAACCACTCTCCTCACTGTTCACTTTAGTTGAGTAGCGTCTCCTGCCTTCACAGTCTGGTTACTCCCCTGCCCTACTTAACAGTCTGGTTACTCCACTGTAAATGGTGTTCAACAAAATACTTATAATAATAAAACATACCTGAAACTAAGTTCTTTTTGCACCTAGGCATATTTTCGTCTTCCACCCGCCGTTTTGCCCTTTCTCCTTCCAATGAAAGAGTCGGATGTTTAGTTTTCAAATGCTTCCTTAAATTGCTAATGTTTCCATTTTTATGCGAATAAATATTTTTACAAAGATTAGACTTTGCATTAGCTTCCGATATATTGGTGAAATGCATCCAAATAACACTTCTTTTTGATTTTGCGATTCTCCTGAACCGGACGCGGATGATTCCATATTTTTGTACAAATAATAATTATATTATTGCTCGAGCTTGTACGGCAACGTCCAAACCAGTAACAACCCGCCAACCGCTAGCTCTCACAGTCAAATGAAAAGTATACAGGTGTACACAAACATTGCCAACCTAAAGCTCCGCAGTCCGCAACTCGTTTGATAGAAGAGTATCTAAAGTTGCCTAAGCCTAACGATATTCGCATCATTTCATTTCCACCCAGTTTACATCCAAGAACCAAGTCACTTGCTGCTGGCGCTGGCAGTACTGGCTACATTAGATCCCAGTAACGTTTGTATCTAAAGTAATGTATAGTGTAGTAACTAACAGTAATTAAAAAGTATACATAGAAAAAGACCGTATCGCATTCAAAGTAACGAATTCAAATAAAAAGTAACGAGTCTTTTCAAAAAGTAGGACTCGTTACATATAGTTACTCATTTGTAACGATTATTTTCTAAGCGTTACTTAATTATTTTACATCACTATTGTGCTTGACATTTTAAGCAAATTATAAACTTTAGAAAATGCAACGAAAACGAATTTCAAGAGAAATATTAAAAATGCAAAAGAACCCGCCTCCAGGCATTTGCATATTCGCCAAAGACGACAAACTGAGCCTGTTAGAATCGAAAATCAAGGGACCGGAAGGCTCACCATACGAAGCCGGTATTTTCACATTAGAGATCCAAATTCCTGAGAGATACCCTTTCGCTCCACCATCGATCAAATTCACGAACAAAGTTTACCATCCGAATGTGGACGAGAACGGACGAATTTGCTTGGACTTGCTGAAGATGCCCCCTTCAGGTGGTTGGAAACCAACCATAGGAATCGAGGGTCTGCTCATAGCCGTTAGGATGCTCCTTGAAAGTCCCAACCCAGACGATCCTTTAATGTCAGACATTGCATGCGAGTACAAGCAAAATATTAAGGAATTTATTAGGAAAGCTAAAGAGTGGACTGAGAAACACGCCACTTAAGACTGCTATGAATTTTGAAACATTGTGATTTATCTATTAAGACATGTAACTAGTGATTCTCACTTTGCAAAGGTATAAGTTAATGCCTAAAGGACCCTCCAGGCAGGTACTTATTCCAAAGACTAATGCATTTTGGTTTGGAAAACTAATGTGAATGTATGTGATTGTTTCCACTGAATTGTACTTTTATCATATTTAAGCCATGAAGAAAATATATGTACTTTTTTAAAAAATTGTTCACATCTTTTGTATTTTTACTTTTCTCACGACAGTTAGTGAGGAAGTATTGCAAATTGTAGTAAAAAAAATTAACCATGTTTTTTGAATGCTACATGACTTGTACCGCACAAAAAACATGTTATTGATTTCTGTTTGTTCCATCAGTCAGCTAATCCTGGCCTCTCTATACCTTGGAAAGCATCACTCAAGATTTTGTTGACATTCTCAAATGTACTACTACAAAGGTCAAAATAGCTTTGTGGGTTTCGAAAATTTTTGGCGGTCCAGCTACTGACGAAAAACAAAAATGATAAAATTTGCTCAAACTTCATTTTTCAACACTTCAAACTTCCAATCATGTTATGAAATTTCTTGGTTTGAAAATTGATATGTTTGTATACAGGGTGACTTCGAAGTTGAGTCATTTATTTTAACAGTGAGTAGATCTGATCAAAAGAAATGTTTTTTTCCTTTACCATTTTTCTGGTAAAATTAAAGTAACAAAGTTATAGCCCTTTGGAAGTTTGAGTACCGCCCTGTCTCAATAATGATATTATGTTCTCGTGTTTGGCAACAACAGATATAATCCGCCTTATCCGTTCATCGCATCGGAAACAAAAAAGCGAAAGAATTTGGAACGATCTTTTTACAATTATTTTCTTCAGTTGTATACAGTCAGTATCAGTCGGTAGTCGGTAACGCGTAAGTGAATAATCGTGTCTGTTGCGAGGCTCAAATCAAAAATGGCACATGTTTACGAAAATGCTGAACTTGTTGACATGGTTCTTATTTACGGGGAGTCTTTACAAAATGCTGCCGCGGCATCACGGATCTATGCGGATCGGTTTCCCAATCGAGTGCAACCAACCCCTCGTGCCTTTGTTAATGTAGTGCAAAGAGCTCGTGAATCAGGTGACTTAAGACCTCACAGAGGAGATCATGCCGGTGCTCCAAGACCACACGATCAAATAGAACTAGAAGAACAAATTTTAGAATTAGTAAGTGATGATCCAACAGTAAGCACCCGACAAATTTCAACTCAATTGGCGATTAGTCAGTATAAAACTTGGAAAACTCTACGTGAAAATCAGTTCTATCCGTTTCACATACAAAAAGTGCAGGCCTTACAACCGGAAGATCATGAACAAAGGTTTGACTTTTGCAATTGGCTTTTAAATAAACATCAAAATGATGACAATTTTTTAAATCAAATTTTAGTGAGTGATGAAGCCCTCTTTACTAGAAACGGAATTATTAATTCACGTAATTCTCACGTTTGGGCTATTGAAAATCCCCATGAAATAAGGGAAACCAATTTTCAACAGCGATTTGAACCAATCAACCTGTGGGCGGGAATTGTTAATGGAATTTTAGTGGGGCCTTTTGAATTACCAAATCGCTTAACTGGTGAAAATTATTTTGATTTCTTGCAACACAATTTGCCTGGTTTACTGGAAGATGTGCCTTTAAATATTAGACAAAACATGTGGTTTTTACAAGATGGGGCACCACCCCATTATGCAAGAAATGTGCGTGAATTTTTAAATAGACAATTTAATAATCGTTGGATCGGCCGTGGCGGTTTTGTACCTTGGCCGCCAAGGTCTCCGGACTTAAATCCTTTAGACTTTTGTTTGTGGGGTTGGCTAAAAACTCTAGTGTATAAAACACCGGTTAATACACGCGAAGAATTACGTGCTCGTATTGAGGAAATGAGTACAGTGATCAGAAATCAACCAGTGATTTTATTGCGTGCTTGTAAAGAGACATGGCTAAGACGCGCCCAGCTGTGCGTCGAGCAAAACGGAAATCATTTCGAACAGTTTTTGTGACATGCTTTTGGGCGCACAGGTCCGCACTGAAATACTTGTCGGGAGGATACTTTATAAAACAAGGTAACATTTTTTTTTTAATTTTTTTTTATTTTTACACACATATTTTGGTTTATCTTCCTTCTACAATCATTATCTGAAAATTAATGACTCAACTTCAAAGTATATTAGATTTCTGGCATCAGTGAACGATATTCTTTTATTAAGAAGTTTTTGATCCCAATTATATATATATATATATATATATATAAATATATATTAGATATAACAGTCAACCTTATTTTCCATGCATTTTTGTATTTAAACAGAAATATGACTTCATTATATGGTGAAGCTGGTGTATTAATATAAACAGATATTAGTCAATTTTCATTTGATTAGATGTCTCAATTTTTTTGTACATGTGCATAGATAACTTTTTCAAATCATAATACTAGGTTTAGAAACAAAACCTCAACAAACTGAACATTTTAAGTTGATGTCACAATCAGAGGTGGAAAGTAAATATTCTTGACATTTTCTTTCAAAATTATACTTTGGAAATAGGATTTTAGGCATTTTGGAACATCAGTACAGCAAATTAAGATAGAAAGACATATTTAGTTGGAGTCTTATTATTATAAAACATTGTTACATTTCACTATCTTAAATTCACATACAGATCACAGAATAATAAAAATAAAAGATAAAATCATTTGGATGCTCTTCTGGCTGAATCCACAGATTCTACAACCACCTCGCTTTTTATATGTAAGCTCCTTCTATTGCTTGTCGAAGCATCCTGCTTTGTTTTAATATCCTCCTCACATTCTTCTGCAAAACTGCTTCTCACTGCCTCTGCAAAGGCATCTGGGTATTGGTTATTGAGTTTTGTTTTGATGACTCTTATTTTCTTGAAAATGTAGTCTAGGTCTTTCTTCATATCTGCCAATAGGTGAATGTGTTTTTTGAACTCGGGAACAACTGTTTTCAACCTTGAGGCAGATAAAGCATTACAGTTTGTTAGCATCTCATTGGTTTTCTCAAAACGTTGCAACCTGCAAAGAATCAGCGGATATTGACGTTGTTTTCCATATAAAACACGACGTGCTTACATCTGTTTTTGGGCCCGAATCATAGATTCAACGTCTTGTTGATCAACAATACCAGCAAGGCCTTGTACAAACACTTCGGGGGCTGAATAATTCTGAAAACACTCGATACTGAAATCGCTTTCTGGCGTACCCTTGCTCTCTTCCATTTCGCACAATCTATTCAGTTTCGGCCGAAAATATTTGCAAACATTCAAATCTTATCAGTTTTGTTGGTGGAGGAGTATTTTTTGATTTTGTTTACCCTAAAATGTCAAATGTCAACTCATTTTCAGGTTATCTATCATTTGCGTATAGAGATGGGTGGAAGAGAGTCGAGTATCCATCACGGTAGAATGATAGCTGATTATCTAGTAGTATCGCAAAATTCCCCGTATCACTACAGGACACATAAATCAAATTCAAGCGGATAACCAAATGGAAATGGTATTTACCATTTTGGCTTGGTATTTACCAATCCGTTCAAGCGATTGTAGTTATCAGTTTGGTTATAAGATCCGTGACGTCACGAATCAGCTGTTATATGTCATAGTTATCACCGCAAAATTGTGGTATTTACCCAACTCAAGAGTAGTTTTATATTTCTGGTTATTATTTGAAATGTGACAAGTTAGAATTTTGCCGGGTATTGGATATTGTTATTGTACCTCAGCTTCATTTTTGAGAAAATTGATACAGGCTGACTTCAGTTTTACCATAATGTGGAGCACCTTATTAGTTATACTCATTACGGTTGTTGGGGACACTTTAAATGTAGTTATATGCTTAACAAAGTATCCTGTGTAGCCATAAACCACAAGAATATTAAAATATGGCCATATAAACTCACTAGATGATATCCACCTGTATACGGTTTTGCTAATTTCTTTTATCATCATTTCTGCTGAATCAATAAATGTTTTCTTTGACATGCGGAAAAATTTAGAGAATTGAAAGTTATCATAGCTACAAAGCCATGGTTCCATCATTAAAAAAAATCTGAAAAAAACATGTCTCCCATGAATATTATGAAAGGTTTCTTATTTAAACTTTCCATATACAGTTGTAGACGAAAAAGCACCGATTATTAAGTGATAATAAAAATAATCAGAGATTATATACGCGCTTTTCTAAAATAAACAACTTGCAACAAAACCGCGGTTAAAACCAACGCGTTCAAGCGATTCGAGTAACTGACGTCACCATCCCGTGTGTCATCTTGAACCATATTATAACCGCGGTACATAATACGGAAATTTTGGTTATCCGCTTGGATTTGATTATAATTCTGATGTCAGGTCAGCTAGTCAGAGCCGTATTTTATTTAGAAAAGTTGATTTGCATAAAAAACGCTACAAACAAGTTTTGTCAACGTCGCAGACTAACACAAAAATGTCAATTGCTGATCAGCTGTTCACCTCTGTAGACGTCAAAGCGTGATGGATACTCGTGAAATAGGGTATAAATATGTCTATCAATCTTTTTACCGTTTCCTGTTTGTCTCATTTCAAATATTTGAATGATGTAGTGTAGGGCAATCTTAGTATTTCAGATGTGCATCAAAGCATAAGCCATACAAAATGTGGTATTTATCTCAAGTTAGAATAATAGTTATGAAAAGAAGATGCATGTAACAAGAGCAATTGGCAACACTGTTCGAAGAAGGTCGCTTCGCGCGGCCGCGGCGCGATACTTGATTCACTTTCGAATCATTTTTCATCAGAATCGCGGCCTACTAGATCGTTGTGCTTTCGCGGCAGATACCCGTTGATTGCCGAAGAGAAATTATCGGCCTTTTGGAGATGCCGGCAGAAATCGAAACAAACGGTGATATTCATCAAGATGTGCTACAAAAGGAAGTGCAACTTGAAGAACCTATCGTTGCAACGGTCAAGAATGGAGCGGCCGCTGGCCCAAAGAAGGTTCGTATTTAGGACAATTGATATTGATAAATTTTGAACAAATGAAAGAAAAGTGAAGCTAGAACAAAATAAAATTCAAAAATGAAATCTTGTAGATTCAACGCATGAATCCACTAAATAAGATTTTCAACGACTTAAACTTTGAAATATGAACACGTATACCTATACGATAAAAAGTATGAATATTTTTAACACATTTTAGATCTGTCATGGGCATATTTTTAAGTAGGTATTATATTGTGTGGACGCGCCAAGATAACATCTTCGTTTTTTGTCGTTACCAGGTTGAACAGGTATCAATTTTAACAAAAATTAATTCCATGAGAATTGCTTACGGCACTATATGCCAGTAATTTACCGTAATTAACTTATTGAAGAGTGACCTCTCCAGTTAAGTTTCTGATTTTAGCCCCGACATTTCGCACAGTTTAGTCAAAATCGGAATTTTTCTACACGCCCAAATACATGCGGTACTTTTAAGAACAGACATACAGGGTGTGTTTTAGTCCCTAATAGGTAGGCAGCTTAATGTTAAGAAATTCCGTTATTTGGGAGGTAATTTCGAAGACGTTTTCATTTTTGATGTGGTAGTATTTATTTTGAATTTTAATTTCTAGAATATGGCAAATAACTGAACAATTCAGTCTTTTATACCGAAGTAAAGCATTAATGCAATGACCAAAACCTTGAAAATCTACAGGGTGTTTCATCTGAATTTTTTGAGACAAATTATGTTTTGCGATTAAATGGCTAGAAGCTATTTTATACACTGAAAACCAAATACCACTGACCTCGTAATGTGTAAGAGAGGCGCTGAAGCTGCAAAAATCTAGCGGCAATAATCAATGACATGGTAAAGATCCACTATTTCCCATCAGCGTGGAAGACCACTGAAGTTGTAATGATTCCGAAGAAGGTGGGTCGATATTTTTCCAAGATTATCGACCCATTTTCCAAGTAATAGTGCGTATACTTGGCTATGATTCTTTATATGTACATTTCTTAATAACAGAGCTATCAACCGAGTACAAATTAAAAACTCATCCTGTATACACCTAATACTGGAAGACAAAGATATATGGAAGCTCTTGAGTGTTGTTCTGATTACGGTAAAACTAAATATATCTTATGATGAAGAGGCAGAGAAAAGAAACATATCGTTATAAAAATAGAAAAATACTTTTTGTTTGTACGTTGTTTCCGTTTGTTAGTATGGGCTTTGACCCTATATTTTTATCTATATTCTATTTCTGACATACTAGGATATCGGCATCATCCGACGACGAGGCGGGGGAAATGTTTTCAACTCGATTGTTATGTTTATTGGATGCAAAATTGGATTTGACCTTGAGCATCACCTTCTAGGTTGTTTCAAGATCAGCTTTTGTTTTTTCAAGCGGAAGGCAACTTTTTTCATACCGTTAATAATCTAGATGACCGAAAATTCTGCGTCCGAATATGTATCAAAATTTAAGATCAAGGTCAAATGTCGGTCAAACCTGTTCGAAAAATCAAGGCCAGCCCTTTATCAATGTTTGAAAAAGGATTTCAATGTAGACCCTGGATTTGACCTTGACTATCATCTGCAAGGTCATAATAGTACCTGTAAGCATATGTTAGAATGTAATGAAAAAAAAGCAGTTTTCCCCGTTTTTACGCATTTGATTCCGACCTTGAGAATAAACCTATAAAGATTTACCAGACCTGAAATTAGTAGTTATGAAAAGTCAAAAGATGCATTCCTTTCCGAAAATATTAAAAAATCACCCTTATTTGGGGGTTGAAATGACCCTGACCGAATTTTTCTCCACTAATTTTCCAGATTATTTCGAATTTAAATCCGCCATTTCGGTTTTAAAAAAAATGTTGTCCAGACAAATCTAGATACACCTCAGATGTCAAAATCAAGCCTCTTATCTCTAGCCCGTAGAATAATAACCTCAAAATTGAAATTTTTGATAAAAATCCTGTATTTAGATTTTATTCTAGAAACACCTCATATAGAACGGTTTTTATTTTTTTACTCAAAAATGGCGCATCGAAGGAAAACAATTTAAGAAAGATCATTTGTTATAAATTGAACGGGAAATTCAAAAATAAATTTTATTTGGCAAAATACCCATTGGCGTACTATTTTTTTCTAAAAAAATATCAAAGTCAATACCCGTTCCATTTTCTTCCTAAAAGTTCAACACCCCGAGTTTTTGCAAGGAAGCATTTTTGGACCACAGTTTATAAACCAAATTAAAATTAATTTGTCATGTAGATTCACACCCTTAAATATTCGCATATCGTTATCTCTATTAAAATCCGTCATCTATACTTGAATTTTGACTTTTTTACTAAATTGTAGAGAATTCATTTTGCTATATGATGCTATAAGTGTTTCACTCAGTATCTTTGAAAAGTTGAAGAACATGAGTGAGGCCGAAGACATGTCAGCTGAATCCCACGCATTCGCTTTAAATATAGTTTTTAATCCCCCGAGAAATACATGTAGAGAGATGACGTGTTCTCGCTCCTCGCTCGGATTGCGGTGACTCACGAAAAATCACAAACACGCATAGAACGCGTAGACAGAAAAACGCGCGTTTCTAATTTTAGGGAAATCCACTTTCCTTTGCTTCAGTCGATTTTCGTCGATTCATCAATTATTGCTGTATTGTCTCTATAAATACACATTAGAGACGTTTTTAGAGGAGGCTGTGATTTGTACCTTTTGTTTTGGATTTGTTTATAACTGTATACGCTTATATCGTGCCGCACTAGGAATTATAAAGATGTTTGGGGTGAGTTTTCGACCTAGAGTAATAATTGTTTTTCGGAATAAATGCACCATTTTTTTCATTACAGTCATTTTTGTATTCCCGTTTATCTGTTAGGATTACATAATAATTTGTGCATTTTGCATATATTTTGTTGACAACTCTGAGTTGGAGCCATCTTTTTTCACACAAAAAATTGGTGTCAAGTAGCTTGACTCGCCTACGCAACGCAGTTCATAAAGGAATATGTTCATCACAAGATAGACCCTATAAGAAATAAGTTAGTTGTTTATATGTATAACAAAGAATTTACACGGATCAAGTCATTGACATGACATCCTTTTAAAGTACGTCTTTTTTTCGTCATAAAAATGGCGTCAATAAAGACGTAATTTTTTAATCAATAGAAAACACTTTAGCATAGTGTCCAATCTCGACTTATTTTGAATATAAAAATAAGTTGTACTTTTATGTCCACCGAATATTGGGCCACCCTGTATATTCGGAAGGGGGGAAGTCGATCATCGGCAAGATAACTTTTTGTGATCAGTCGCTAAAGCTTTCTGAAGAGCGGGGGTAACACATCTTCCCAAGGGGGCCAAATGCTGAAAACAACAATATCTTACGTAAAATCATGCTAAATATGCAAATTTTACTAGAGGGGTTAAGATCCCTCTGGCCTTATGGGAAGCGGCAGTATTTTATCAGTCCTGATGCATACCGATTTGAATAACCAGCTGAGAGGCAGCCAAAAAAAGCATCAGATTGAGGTCAATGTCCACCAAAACCAGCATTAAAAAGCTCTGCGGTAGCCGAAGAACATTCACCTACATTGCTATTTTTGGTACGAACATTGAATTACCGTCTGTCTATGCTATAGATACATGCTCTTGTAACGAGTTTGCTTTTAAAATTAGATAAAACCCCGATCAAAAATTGATCGGTTAACGGTTATAGTTGATACCCTTCGTGTTCGAATTATGTATGCGCAATTATCTATATTAGGATAATTAATAAATGTTCATTTAATTGATTGTGCATATCTTTAATATTAGCAATATAATAATATACTTATACATTTCAATATTGATTTTAGAGGAATACGCACAATCAAATTACCAATAATGCAAACTTACAATTACACTTGCATGGATGTTTTTTTCTAATTCAAATTCGGTCGAAAAAATTTTCGAACTAGTAAAAAAAAACAATTTTTAAGCATTCCGTCATTTGAATATGTGGATATATTTTTTTTAATATGCAGTATTAACTGTATTGTCAATATACTTTTTGGATCTTTTAAGGTGTGGTCTGTATGTTCGACCGACGATTGCAGTAGATGTCTGCCTTGCAGCAATTTCCGATTATTAGTTCTCCAATTTTTGCAAACACCCGCCACATCATATAATCACCGATGGGTATCATAGTTATAATATGGGATGAAAGATAAGTAACAAATTGTTGTATAAAAGTTTCACAACCGCTGTTACTTGGTGAAACCACAATTAATAACTATACTAAATTCTCAACCGATTATCAGTTCCTTTCGTCGTTTTCCCTCTGTATTTACGATGCACTACAGGCGTGCAGTGCAGTGCGTTGTTTGACGTGTTCTGCCTGTAGATAGCCAACGTGATTCTGTATTTCGGCGTCTATAGTTGAAATCACGAAAGATGACGATTACGTCATCATTTTAGCCTGTAGTAGAGACAAACGACAGCGATTTGCGAATATTTTTAATGAAGTTTCAGATACGTTAGACAGAGACAGGAAGAATTTTATTGTATAAACAAACTGTATTGCTAATTTGCATGTATACGACAAGGATAGACGATGTTTTCATGTTGCATCATCGATCATAATTGAAAGATGAATAGTTAGGTTATGTTAAAGCAGGTTAGGTTAGGAAAATAAAAATAATCAGTGAAATAACCTAATTTGGAAAATCATAAATTTGTTGTCGTTATGTTCCCGACATCGTGATTTTATCGACGTACGTCCATTGATTATTTCAGTACAATTTATTGTATGACGTAATAGTCATCTTTCGTGATTTTGACTATAAAAAGAAATATCATGACGTCATCCAACGAATTAAAATAGATTAGGGGCCAAGCCTATATGTTTACATTGCGAAGTTTGTCATTAAAATTTTGTTGTTTTAGTGATGATCATATCATTATGATAATGTGTTGTTTTTTCCGAAACTTGTGACAGAGTATTTCCATTGTGTATCTAAGGCCCGTATCGTCAGTCGTCCCTACAATTGTAGGGCGCGTTTATGGCCTACTTGATTGTCATATTTTCTACTTCTCCGTGTCAGCGCTCTATTTTAAGGTTATGTCACAAACATCTATTTGCATCAAATTGTGCTTGCTTTTGAGTTATATCATGTTTTATCAGCCTGAAATTTCCTACAATTTAAAAAGTAAACATATCTTCACAATAGGAGAGCGCTGACGCTGACACGGGACAAGTGTAATCTAGAAATTTTTGAAGGAGAGAAAGGAGTATGACAATCAAGGAGGCCTTAAACGCGCCCTACAATTATAGGAACGACTGACGATATGGGCCTAAAATCTACTCGTATTTGTATTACAAAAAAATGGCGTCAAGTAGATTGACTCTGCAGAGAAAGGATTGCGTGCTGTTTTTATAATCTAATCGCATTTATATTATTGGGCTTCATTTCGTACAAAAGTGCAAAAAGGCGTTAATAGTAACGTTTTTAAACTTAACCTTTGATACAAAAAAAATAATATAATACTACTTTTTGTCTTTAAAGGGTTCAAACGAAGATTATGACTACCACTAATTTTTTCAATTTGAGCAAGATCTTTATTAATTTTATTATTAGCTGTTTCCAAGTCATTACTCGTAAATGAATAGAAAGTCTGAGTATCGTGTGCAGAAAATTGTATACTGCACGCTGTTACCTCTGTTTCTAATTCTGAGATACCTCCCCGTGGCACACCAGTACAATTTTTTTGTGCGGTAGAGTACTGTTGATTTAAAGGAATTTTTGAAATCGATTTTCAAGGTAGGTTTGAATTTACGAAATAGGTTTTCTATAAAATCCATAATAACTACATTTAGACACAAGTGAATGATTAATTGTATCAAATGCCTTAGCAAAGTCAAGAAGTATGTGAGCTACTGCTTTTTGGTTATCAAGCGCCATTGTTATATTGTTTGTTAAATCACACTACCGAAGCAGTAATATGACCTTGTCGAAATCCGGATTGTTGAGATGGAATAATTTTGTTAGAATAGAAGTACCTGTAAGTGCAAAGCTGCTCGTAAACAACGCTTTCAAATACTTTTGAGGAAATAGGTAGTAAACTGATAGGTCTCAGTTGACCATAATTTGTAGGATCAGACGGCTTAGGTAGCGGAAAGCGGAATAACTACAGCGTGTTTCCACTGATCTTGGAAACATCCCCTCTCTAAACAGCATGTGTTAAGTACACATCAGTTTCAGATATGCATAGTAATATCAAGAACCCTTGAATTTTCAAATCATTGACAGGCAAATGTAAAAAGTACTTGACTTGTTATCAGATTGATAATAACTTATCTTGACTTGATTTTAACTCGAGTCAACTAGCTTGAAAATCAAGCGAAGTAGAAAATCCCAGCTGAAACACAAGCTATTGTTGGGCTTAACCAAAAAGGGAAACTTTCTGCCACATGTGCCAGGCACTTTTGTAAAATATTTCAGATATCGAAGTCGTAACTTGTTTAAATGGACATGTACCTTAAGCTGGTTTCCTTCGTCTAGAAGCACTTGTACGCCTCTGGACTACAGAACAGTCTGTGCTTTGGAGAGGCTACTTATTAACCAGAGAATCAGTTCGAAACCCATAATGTTAAGTGCAGATGAAGAATTTAAGAATAATGCTCGCGACAGCTGTCTAGCACCCAGAGAACAGCATACAAGCAGCGGTTTGTGTTACTGAAGCATCTATTAACAGTTTTAAGCAACGTACGTGTCATAGACCAGGATATTTATGATTTCAGAAAAATTGATTGTATACAGGGTGTTCGAAAAATAGACGAGATATAAGAGGGTGATTCCTTGTTAGAAAATAAAATAAAAGTTTCTATAAACATGAGTCCGGGAAGACAGAGTTTTCAAGATACTGGGTGATAATTTAAAAAAATCTTTTATCAGTAATATCTTAAAAAGTATTTGCTCGATTCTGTTGAAATTTGGCAATATTATTTGTTGTATTAAGAAGCTAATTTAGCCCTGAACAGATTAAAATTATTAGGTGCAGTGGGGCACCTTGGCGAATGTTATTGACAAAAAAATGTACGCCATGCCTGTAACTTTAATATTTGTTGTTTGCCTCTTGTATTTTTTTCATCATCACTTCGTTTTAGAGAAAAAAAAATAAATCCGTTTTATTGGATGTCGCTGGACAAAATTGGTTTATTAATTTTTGACAGAAAAATCTCAACAATAAAAAGTCATGTCTGCATGGAGGTTTGTCATTGGCGCATTGTGATAAGGGTGTTCGTTCTAAGAAGCACTAATGCAGCAGACGATATCGGCATTTTTGGCTAGTTTGCCTGGACTATCATTGAAGCATTTCCAAACGGTGTGCGCGTCATTACTACGAAATTTAACGTTTTAATCCGTTTTATTGCTTGCCATTTGGGAGAGGCTGATGCTTACATTTACAGTCATTGTAAATGTTCTAAATAAAACGATTACCGTCGAGTTTATGAGGTCGAATTATACCAAAAATTTCCCGTATATCAAAAGATTAGGTTCGAGTGAAAGCATTCTGTATTTTTTCTTTTGTATGAATTAGATTACACGTAGAAAAGATGCTATCAGATACAGGGTGTACCTTTTTGAGGACCATTTCAAAAATAAATTTGATGGTTTCTTAAAATTTAAAAACACCAGCATGTAGTGCCTAGAAAGTGCCAATGGAAAAGTGCCTACATTATTTTTTGATATTTCTCAAAATAAAAACGATCTGGCCTAATTTTAGTTTCTCTAAAATACCTCAAAAAGCCATCAAACATTTCTCAAGCGCCTGCAAAATACGCCCCAAAGAACGCAGGCTTTCCTAATTTAACATAAAATGTATCTTCCATGCGTAGAATCCTTAATATCCTGACATCCTGTATAAACAAATATCAGATATATAAGTCCTTTCACTGAAACAAAGCAGTTACGTCATATGCCAACCTTAATGCAAAAAGATCCTAAATCTAGTAGTTTTAATTAATGTGGCAACCATGTGCATCACTGTCATTATCTGACGTTGACGTTGAGTTAGAAGGGGGTGGTGGAGTTGCTATAGGCGAATGCAAATTCGCTGGGCTGCATGAATGCTTGGAAGAGCTAATGGTGTATGGCTGGCCGGTCTAGACTCGCCCAGTGGGGGGTCATGACCCCCTGGACCCGCCCTTGATTGAGAATTGGCCGTGGTCAAATGTTGAATATGACAAACAACAAGTACCCAAGTACTTCTCTATTCGTTTGTTTACGATGAATTAGCTATTATTCATTGTCTAACAATTTGATAATAGACTTCCGTTGCATTCTATATCGGCTTTTGATATAATACGAGTGAATCAGACTCGGTATCGGTTCTTATCTATACAGGGTGTTCCAGAAGTCGACGTCAAGCCGGAAATGGGTGATAGGCCAAGACATAATAGTTATCAGGAGAATATAACAAAAATCTGTCTTGACCTTTTCAAATTATAGGCTTTAAAAAAATCGGAAGATGCGAAGTTGGTTAGATGAGGTAAAGTAGCATAAATTTAGGTAACGAAACAAATCGTACTTTTCGTATTGATTTTTGTAGAGATGAGTTTTTGAGATCCCAAATGGTGAGAATCGAAATTGAAACACCGGGTATATGTTGTAATTTTGTGAATGAAATAGCTGTCAAATCGGCAGCTTAGGAAGTTAAGAAATTTTATTAGCAATACCAGACGATGAGACGTATCCGCTGTGCCCGTTGTGTCCCACAAAGTTTACCGTGACATTTACGCTTTTGCAATTTGCAATGCTTGATTTACCGTATATTCAGTACATAGTTAATTTGTATTTGGTCGTTATCTTTTCAGATGCAAATGAGCACGAGTGTTGATACCGCATCGGTCAGAGCTGCTTACGAAGATGTGAGATCCGACAGTACGGACACACAGTGGTACGTTTTTATTTCAAGCTTTTGTTTAACATGACCTGTTTGTCTGTGTATGTTAGTATGTGTGGGACTAATCTTGAATCTTGGAACTGAGATTTGAACCTTAAACTATTGAGCTGAAATTTTGTGCAAACGTACCCTACGAAATTAATCAACTGCCGCAATTTTGAATCCAATATGGCCCAGGCTACAAAATGGCGATGTATCGTTTGCATAGTAACCCATGTGGTGAATCACATTAAGCAAAGTGACGTCAAGCTTAACCCAATATGGTGCCGCCGAAAAATTGCGTTTTACATTTTTGAATTACCCCTTTGATATGGGTATAAAATGAAAGGGATTGAAGGGACAAACGAAATAAGTAAAGTGACGTCATTCTAAATCCAATATGGCGGCATCCGCGAAATGGCGATGTACATTTTTCATCGCCACCCCTGTGGGTATCAAATTAAAAGGCTTGATGAGAGAAACGCAATCAGCAAAGTGACGTCAAGCTTAATCCAATATGGCGGTCGCCGAAAAATGACGATTCACATGTTTTGGTCACCCCTATGATATTTATGTCAAATGAAGGGGCTTGATGAGCGAAATGCAGTAAACAAAGTGACGTCATTCTAAATCCAACATGGCGGCCGCTTCAAAATAGCGATTTACATTTTTCGTCACCCCTGTGGTATGGGTATCAAATTAAAGGACTTGATGAGAGAAACACATTAAGCAAAGTGACTTCAAGCTTAATCCAATATGGCGGTCGCCGAAAAATGACGATTCACATGTTTTGGTCACCCCTATGATATTGGTATCAATTGAAAGGGCTTGATGAGGGAAATGCAGTAAACAAAGTGACGTCATTATAAATCCAACATGGCAGCCGCTTCAAAATGGCGATTTACATTTTTCGTCACCCCTGTGATATGGGTATCAAATTAAAGGGCTTGATGAGAGAAACACATTAAGCAAAGTGACGTCAAGCTTAATCCAATATGGCGGCCGCCGAAAAATGGCGATCAACATTTTTTGGTCACCCCTATGATATTTGTATAAAATGAAAGGGCTTGATCAGGGAAATGCAGTAAGAAAAATGACGTCATCCTAAACCCAATATGGCAACCGCCACAAAATGGCGATTTACATTTCCCAACGTCATCCCTGTGTCATGGGTATCAAATTAAAGTGCTTGATGAGAGAAACACATTCAGCAAAGTGACTTCAAGCTTAATCCAATATGGCGGCCGCCGAAAAATGGCGATCAACATTTTTTTGTCACCCCTATAATATTTGTATAAAATGAAAGGGCTTGATCAGGGAAATGCAGTAAGAAAAATGACGTCATCCTAAACCCAATATGGCAACCGCCACAAAATGACGATTTACATTTCCCAACGTCATCCCTGTGTCATGGGTATCAAATTAAAGTGCTTGATAAGAGAAACGCAATAAGCAAAGTGACGTCAAGCTTAATCCAATATGGCGGTCCTCTAAAAATGTCGATCTACTTTTTTAGTCAGCCCTATAATATGGGTATCGAATGAAAGGCCTTAACGGGAGATACGCAAAAAGTAAAGTGATGTTATTCTAAACCCAATATGGCGGCCGCCACAAAATGGGGATTTTCATTTTTCATCGTTACCCCTGTGATATGGGTATCAAATCAAAGTGCTTGATGAGAGAAACGCAATAAGCAAAGTGACGTCATTCTAAATCCAATATGGCGGCCGCCGCTAAACGGCGATTGATGATTTCCAGGGTCACCGCCATATTTATTTATTTATTTATTTACAAATTTAAGGGATAAACCCATTCGGTTACAGGTTGTGAAAGTACAATCTTAACCTAATAAAATTCACACACATCATAAATAAAGTATCTTACATATGAAAATAAAGTTTGACTATTTACTAAATTAAAATATTAAAACGTGCATAAAAAAGTTACAAACAAATACTAAAAAAAAAAAACTGAACAACTAAACAACACAGCAAACATCACCAGCAATTAAGACATTTTAAAACTCTAGCTAAGATTTCTATCTTTAAGGAACTTTTTGAGAGAGCATAGTGAAGTATTAAAAAGGTCTATATCACAGTCATTACAATTTCTCATTATCCTATCCATGCTACTATTCGAGCCATACAAAGTTCTATGCCGACAAGGTTCAGAGGATCTTCGTTCTCTTAAATGCCTAGGAGAAACATAAAAATTTAGCTTTAGAAGCAGGTCTGGGCAGTGGTAAACACCATGAATTAATTTATAAGCAAAAACAATATCTGCTGAAGCTCTCCTGGCTCTTAGGGATCCAATCCTTAACTCCTTTTCAAGAGCATTATAGTCTAAATTCTCAATAGAAATGTGTTTTTTGTAAGCTATATATCGTAAAAATTTTCTCTGAACCCCGTCAAGCATGTCCTGATAAGTTACATAATATGGAGACCACACGCTGCTGCAATTTTCTAGATGAGATCGCACCAGTGAAGTATAGAGAGTTACTAAAGCTCCAATGTTAGTAAATTCAGATGTATTTCTTTTTATGAAGCCCAACATTTTTAAAACTTTATTTCTTATAACCTCTATGTTCTGATAAAATGTTGCTTTGCTATCAAATATAACACCCAGGTCTTTAACAACATTCACATTTTGAAGTTGGGTATTATTTATGTGATAACTGTTGACTATATTATTGTTAGACTTTGAAAATTGAATGTATTTACATTTGTCTGTGTTAAGAATCATTCTATTTTCTTCACTCCATTTAACAAATTGATCAAGGTCACTCTGAATCTTTAATGTTGAGTTATTATCAGAAAGAGGTAAATAGATCTTGACATCGTCAGCATAGATAAGAAAAGAACAGAATTTAAAACATTGGGCTATGTCATTGACAAAAATTATAAATAAAATGGGTGCCAAGTGCGCACCTTGTGGTACACCAGACAAGACAGCAATTGGATTTGAGAGACAGTTTTTAATTTTTACAAATTGCTCTCTTTCAGAAAGATAAGATCTTAACCAGTTCAATAAACTTCCATGCAATCCGTAACAAGAGAGCTTTTCAATGAGAATATCTATATTCAACTTGTCGAATGCTTTCCCAAAATCTGTATAAATTGAGTCAACAGATTGCCCATTTTCCAATGCCTCAACTATATGTGAATGATAAACTAAAAGGTTAGAAGTTATAGATTTTCCTTCACAGAAACCATGTTGCTGTGCAATTATAACATTTTTAAATTTTTCCTTCAAAAAATATGGGTATCAAATGAAAGGGCTTGATGAGAGAAACTCAATAATCAAAGTGACGTCAAGCTTAATCCAAGCAGCCGCTGCAAAATGGCTCCTACATCCCAAGTTATCAAATAAAAACGTGGTTAAAAAATCTCACTGTAATCATTTTTAAAAAAATGAGAATTTCGTTTTTCGTCGCTTTCCTATTTTCTGGTAACTTGAGTACCTACCTAGTTAAAAGTTCAGTGAGTGTTGTGTGAAAAGTACTGAAGCAACCTGCCTAATTTTTTCATTTTTTTTGTCGCTCATAATGGAAATCCCTGGAATTCCATATGTGCTTGGCTACATATCTATTTGTATGCAAAAGTTAACATACCATATCAAATTAAACAATACAATAAACCACTCAAATCCATATTTATCTTTACCTTCAATAAATAAATGAGTCAATATGCGTCACACTACTTCAGAAATTACGAGGGTTTTCCAAAATTACTATACTTACAAACATGTTTCGAAAATTAAAAAGTATTCATTCTACCATCTGAGAAAACCTGATAATTGCATAAAGCCCTAAGAGATCTGCTTTTTTGACTGCGGATACCAAAGATAGAGTAATTTGCAAGAGAAAGGAAGAAAATGAAACTTTTGGTGCCTCCCGCCAATACGAGCGAAAAACTAACGTTAGATTCGTGATCTACGCACCACATTTATCCAAGAAACGACGAGTTTTTATCGAGGTAGCAGATACCTATATGAATTTTGAAAAATTTCATTTAATATGTGTGCCTTCAATCGTTTACGTTTTCTCTAAACAAAACTTGCACGTTCACCATTTTTTGTTACCAGCGGATTATGCGCGGCACTCTGTGGTGACCCAGGGCGATAAAAGTGAGCCGACGCTCACCCAGAAACCAGAGTATACTTTCCCGCAAGGGTATTACATATATTGAAAAGTGACATTGTTTTTTTGTGACATTATGTAGGTTTTTCTACAAGATGTTAACTTAACACTACGACACGTTGTGAACTCGTTTTGTAGTTGTACGTGTTGCCTAAACGTCAAGAGGCTTCAGTTGTCAATGTTTGTCTCTGATGTGATGTGAAATACTAGGAATGTATGTTTATATGACTTTTTTGTGTTATGTCCACAGGTTCTAACACGTTTTTCATTTCCTCGTGTAGATAATACAATTCTTGTTGCAGGGCCGTATTCAAATTTGATGGCGCCCGGATAACTTGCGTGGACACAGGGTCGGACTTTGACAAATTCAAAGAACACTTCTCGGAGAACGAGCGAGCGTTTGGGTACATGAGGATCCAGACAGGTGATGAAATGTCGAAAAGGCAAAAGTTCATCTTTATCACATGGATCGGACCTTCCGTGAACATACTACAGAGGGCGAAAATGTCCACTGACAAGGCTGTGATGAAAAATATTGTTTCGGTAAGGTCGATTCTCTGGGTCAGCTTTTTACATTGCTAAGTACAAACACTCTTTGTGTAATTTTTGTAAATCGAATTGTATGGGCCTGTTTGGTTGACTTGATCCATTTTTTTTTGTTATACATGTTCGTAGCCAACTTTTTCCTCGGAAGGGCTAACTTGCATCGAACATAATTCTTTAAAGGCTGATGACAGTGTGCAATCAACCTACTTGATGCCACTTTTTTTTAATTTTTCGATAAGGTCATCAAAAAATTTTTCGGTGGAAATGGATGTAAATTGACTTTGTGGTCGATTCAAAATATTCTCAATTTGTTTCAGAACTTTGCTGCCGAGCTTCAGCTAGACCAGATTTCCGAAATCGATCTCAAATACTTCATAGAAGAACTGAATAAAGCAGGAGGTGCAAACTACGGCACCGGCGTTAGAGAGAACTGAGTCATTATTTTATTACATATAACTAATATATTTTATGTATATATAATTTTTGTACTACCATGTATATGTTTAATAAATACAGTAAATCAACCATTTCATATTAATTCTGTGTATGTATATGTCGCAAAAATTGCGCAGTTTTAATAAATACTTTGGCTAATGTGACTACCGTAGCCTGTCAAAGTGACAACGTTGTATTAACATAATAATAAAACTGGCCGGTGAAAAGATCTGCCTTCATTAGGCTTGTGCCGTTCTCTGCAAATTATGCAAGAAGTATCATGTCCTGAAATCGTGAGTGTATCGCCTCAAGGCGCCATCGAAATCAATCTCAACGGTCGAAAGTCATTTAGAATCATGCCCATATAGTACCAGTGGTACTTTGACAGTGTTGCCATATTGGGGGATTGTCCCCTAAATTTAGGATTTTCACGTTTGTTGCGATTTGTTCTTAAAAACCCAAATCTTCTTTTTGTCCTTGGGGCTGTTGCTCATGTGGCAAACTAGCGACAGAGAAATTAAAAGTAGCCAAATTTTGGAACTAAATATATTGGTAACGGAAATGCTGTTCGCGCTATAAAAGCGACCGCGAAACTTGATGCTTGGAGTACCAGTGGTGCTTTGACAGTGTTGCCAGATTGAGGAATTTTCCCCAAAATTTAGGATTTTTACGTTTGGTTTGTTTTTAAAAACCCAAATCTTGTTTTTGTTGCTCATGTGGCAAACTAGTGACAGAGAAATAAAAAGCAACCAAAATGTATTGGTAACGGAAATGCTGTTCGCGGTATAAAAGCGACCCCGAAACTTGATGCCTGGAGTACCAGTGGTGCTTTGACAGTGTCGCCATAATGGGGAATTTTCCCCCAAATTTGAGATTTTTACGCTTGGTGTGGTTTGTTCTTTAAAACCCAAATTTTGTTTTTGTCCTTGGGGCTGTTGCTCATGTGGCAAACTAGCGACAGAGAAATAAAAAGCAGCCAAATTTTTTAAACTAAATATATTGGTGACGGCAATGATGTTCGCGCTATAAAAGCGACCTCGAAACTTGATGCCTGGAGTACCAGTGGTGCTTTGACAGTGTTGCCATATTGAGGGATTGTTCCCCAAATTTATGATTTTTACGTTTGGTTTAGCTTGTTCTTGCAAACCCAAATCTTGTTTTTGTCCTTGGGGCTGATGCTCATGTGGCAAACTAGTGACAGAGAAATAAAAAGCAGCCAAATTTTTGAAACTACATATATTGGTAACGGTAATGCTGTTCGCGCTATAAAAGCGACCCCGGAACTTGATGCCTGGAGTACCAGTGGCGCTTTGACAGTGTTGCCATATTTTAGGATTTTCCCCCAAATTTATGATTTTTACGTTTGGTGTGGTTTGTTCCTAAAAACCCAAATCTTGTTTTTGTCCTTGGGGCTGATGCTCATGTGGCAAACTAGTGACAGAGAAATAAAAAGCAGCCAAATTTTTGAAACTACATATATTGGTAACGGTAATGCTGTTCGCGCTATAAAAGCGACCCCGGAACTTGATGCCTGGAGTACCAGTGGCGCTTTGACAGTGTTGCCATATTTTGGGATTTTCCCCCAAATTTATGATTTTTACGTTTGGTGTGGTTTGTTCCTAAAAACCCAAATCCTGTTTTTGTCCTTGGGGCTGATGCTCATGTGGCAAATAGTGACAGAGAAATAAAAAGTAGCCCCATTTTTGAAACTAAATATATTGCTTAAAGGAATTTTTGACACTGATGACACGAATAATGGTATATACATGTGGTAGATGAACCGACCAATTTAACTACAACAAAATACTGATTATGATAAACACTGAGTGTATGTGTATCAGATATATATCCATAATTGATAAATAAATTGATATGAATTTGTTACTTAAATTTATTAAAACAATGATTGGTCGAGTTGTATATATTTTTTAATATACACATACAACTCGACCAGTACGAAACAGATATGATGCTGATATATTGGATGTACAAATATTTACAGTATAAAAAAATTACCAACTATAAACTATAAGAGAATGTGTATTTGATCTTAAATTATAAGCCTTTTACTAAAACATTTTCAATAAGTAAATGCCACCTAAAAGCAAGAAATAGTAAAAAGACCAACAGCTAACAAGGAAATAAATATTAATGAAAATGAGAAAAAAAATCGTGTATCAACATTCCATCGATACGAATTTTTCTTCATTATAATCAAAATACTGCCCAAAATTTTTCTAGTTCATAAATTATCTCATTCTTAAAAAAATATAAATTATTTTTTTTAATTTTAACACCTAGTTAGAACACTGTTTATGTAAAAAGCTCGTAAATGAATCTATTAGAAAGAAATATAGTAAAAATGGCACTTACTTACACGTTACATAACTTAATACTGGTTCTTAATAATTAAGAAAACAATGTACAATAAAATTTGGCACATCTTGTTAATAGTAAAAATTCATTATTAAATAAATCGAGAAAAAATCTGTACATATTTTGCTGGAACAAAATCATTTGATATAGTAACTGAGCTATTTGTATGAATAATAATGTATGATATTTTGTACTTACCACAAAAATAGCTCTCCGTAAAAATTAAATTTCTCCTAGATGATGTTTTCTTTGATTCTAAAGATATGTCATAGATTATCTCAGGAAATGTGATCTACTGTTTAGTTCAGCAACTGCCTCTAGTCTATAGCACGAAAATTAACAGTATTGCTGGATAATGAATTGAAAACTGATAACAATTCGTATTTATAAATAGTGTCAATCACACCAATGTACAAGGTCTGTCGCAAGGTAAACAGGACTTTTGAAAGATATCCGATACACGTAGCGCCATCTATCATTGGATAGGTACATTTTTCATATATACCCTGTCAAAATTTCATGATAATCGAACCAGTTCACGCGGAGCTACCTGCAGCGACTTTTTTTGCAGATTATCTGATTTAATAACCTGGATAAGAAAACATTAAGAAACAACAACAAAAAATACCCATTGCCATTTGCATTCATGTGATCAATTTTACGAAATGGTATCAATTCTCGCCATGAAATCGCTCTAATATATCTTTATCCTTGGCAATAAAATTCACTAAATTTTAGCTCCTCGGAGCAAATATTTACCTAACGATTGCTTTTAAATGATATGGATAACATAAACATCGTTTATTGCGTTGATAATTACCTTTTTTTTATTTGTTCTAGCAAAACATGTACATCATGTTATAAGCTTGTCGTTTGAGCGTGTATATTGTTTCTTAAGACAGACCGGCTCATAACACATCGAGTTAAAACGTAAAATATGATTTTAGGTTAATGTAAATCTAACCTAATGTGAATCATCAACTTCCATCGAAAACTTACATTACAAAACTTCACCAACAAGTTGGCTGACGTCTATAAGCGCCTGAGTAAAGATCAACTGTACTGGTATTCTCCTTATTCCTTGTACAATCTGCGAAAATCAAAAGTCCGCCAGTATTGGTCTACCAAACAAGATTAAAAATCGCGTTAAAATAAACTGATATTAACATACTCTTCAGAGCTTGTAGAGCAAGATTTTAACTTTATTTTAAATACTTGGCGACCAGAAAAATTATATTATTTAACAGGGTATTTAAGCAATAAATCGCTTATCGAAAACGGTCAACTGAAATTTTGAAATGCTCTACAATAACGCTAGTTCCCAAAAGTGAAGCGATACGAGACCAGTAAACGTGTTACCAGATATTTGAGTCCATAGTACATGACCAATTAATGCAGTTCATAGAAGAAAACAAAATTGTAGTGGAAACACAGGCAGGCTTTCGCAAAAAATATTTCGCAGAAACGGCTTTCAACACCATGCCAATATATATGTCGTTCAGTCTTGATTCCTACTCCATACAAATCCTTATCTCTCCCACCTGCATCACACGCAAATTTCCATGTCGTCCAAGCCCGTCAAGTGATCGGTGGTGGCCAGTTTCAAAAGCGTCTTTTTGACGCGCAGCGCTGGCAAACGGACGTTAGGATTCTGATGCCAACATTCGCGCATCAGCTTACCCAATCCGCTCAACAACTGAAATTGTAAAAGAAACCAAAATCACAAACATCCCAACTAGCAAAGTAGTGGTATAAGCTTTTGGTAAAAGAACCGTTCGGCCATAAAAGCTCTCTATTGTTGTTGCCTGAACACAAAAATGCTGGCTTAATGTTGTGTGGAATGCAGATTTGCTTTCTGCAACATATTTGCTCTAAAATGAAGTGTTTAAAATATTCTTATAGCATAGTTATACAACATCTTATAGGGCAAATTTTTAACTGTCGCATAAACGTTTATACAACTATTTTATACGGCATATTTGCACGTTAGTCAAAATGGTTGTGTTGTGGCATCCATGGTAACGTTTATAAAACAAACCCGAGCCTTGTTGTTTTGCTGTGCAATTTACTACTTTAGCCAAAAAATTGCTCCCAACGGAAGCACTTATACTACTGTTATTTAGTAACTGTTAAAGGCTGTACATATGCTAAATATGTTGGTAAACAACTTCACCATAACCTAACTTTCTGCTGTCATATTTTTGTAAAATGCTAAAATGCCATAATCAATGTTTTAAGACGCATGCATATTAGTTCAAAAGGTTTTATCAACTGTTCAAACAGAAGATATAGATCTGGTACGAATTCTGGGTAAATCATTCGACTCTGTCGGTATTTCATTTCATTTGTCAAATTGTTGTATATATACCTGCAGGCAAGACCAAAATATTCTAATAACCTAAAGACAACATGGACGATGCCATGATTGTACACAACCACCCGTCATATTGGGCAAACATTTATTCCTCTATTTAATATTAAATAATTATGTTTCAGTTCGAAATTACAGATATAAAGTGATAAACATTAGTGTAATTGTGTCTAAATATAGGATTTGTGGAAGATTTAACGCAGATAAGTTCAGTTTTCCATCTTAAAAATCTAGACATACTTTTGATCATTGTCAAAATATGAATCAAATACGAAGCCCGTAGAAATTGAGTAACTAATTTGCTCGATAATCACAATAAAATTTGCTGCGCAAGTAATTCAATAGCCCTATATCACAGTGTAGAAGTTTATCATATACCTGTGTATGAAATTCACAATGGCCGGTATGTAAGTAAACAAGATGACTGTAATGTGTTAGTTATATATTCTTCACTTCGTCTATACAATACATAAGAAATAGTTTGGTTGCAATAAAGTAGAATCACGTAACAGAATAGTTGTATAGTTGACAAAAACTGAATCTTGCACTGACGCAAATGTCCTATAGCGGCTGCAAGAGGCTTACACTTTTGTTTTATAACTGTTACCTGCAGCCCTTATACAACCTCTTAAATGACTGAAGTGTCTTATTAGGTGTGCCCATTCCGCTTGTATAGCTGTTCTAAGAGGGTTTTGCCAATGTTCTTACAGTATACAATGCTGTTTAAGGAATACTGTATAATCATTCTTGCAGGAGTGATAATTGTTAGTTGGGATCCCTATCAATATTATGTCGAAATTTATAAAAAATTAAAGTTTCAATATTAATAATTAATACATTTCACACTTCAACATGTCCTTCAATTTTTAACGCTCTACATTGATTGTCATCGCCTTACCGTATCGCTGGCCCATCGATTCGGCAACGCTGGCCTTCTCTGGTCGACGCACACCACTTTGCGCATGTCCTCGAAAGAAGGATCACTGGGCACCGAGTCGTAGAAGGGCGGTTTGTACTCCTCCACGATTCCGTTGCTGATGGTCCGTCGGCAAATCTCCCAGAATACCAAACCTAAAGCGTACATGTCGGCGCGGCGGAAGCTGTCAAAATTGTCTGTGCGCATACTGGAACAAAGGAAAATGTAAAAAGATTATATGAGACTTTTAGGCAAAGTTAAAAAACGTCAAAACATGAGTTAACTCTTGTGGGCGAACTGACAACACCAAGGTCATTCTCTCCAGGCAAAGTCGAGAAAACTGCCAGCAGATTTCAAAATAAGAACAAACGAAATCCCCGACACATTTCTTATTGCAGTTGCATTCTCAGCATTCTTTCGGTAGTTCCTCCAGATCTCCGGGCAAGTAGGCGGCGCAACCATCTGACAAACGTCACCGGTGTTGACAGCGTTTAATGTGCAGCTCCCACTTCTTCAGTCTTATGTGTTTTGTGGGTTAAGGCCAGGCTGCCTGGATAAATGATGACATACAATATATTCACTGAATCACCGCAGTAACGTCACAACGACAAATACGAGGGTGGTCCCAGAGGTACCCGCCCAACGAAAAAAGCACAAAATTTTTGTAAAAAAATGTACTTATTTTTCAACAATGTCCTTTGAGCTCTATACACTTTTCCCAGCGAAGTTCGATACCCTTTTTATAATAAGAACTGTCTTGCTCCTCAAAATAGCCATTAACTGCCGAACATCACTTCTTCATCGTTGGAAAATCTTTGACTACTGAGCCATTTTTTTCAAGTTTGGAAACAGAAAATAATCCGAGGGGACTAAATCTGGTGCATAGAGTGCATGAGGTAGCAATTCAAACTTTAATTCGTTAATTTTGGCCATTGCAATAACCGATTTGTGAGCTGCTGCATTGTCTTGATGAAACAACACTTTCTTCTTAACCAAATGCGACTGTTTTTGCTTGATTTCATCGCTCAAACGTTGCAATAAGTGCGCATAATACTCGCCGTTGATAGTTTTACCTTTTTCAAGATTGTCAATGAAAATTATCCCACGCGCACCCAAAAAACCGTCGCCATAACCTTGCCTGCAGATGAAACGGTCTTCGCCTTCCTTGGAGCCTGTTGTCTCTTTTGAGCCCATTGTTTTGATTGTTCTTTTGTCTCGGGTGTGAAGTGATGGACCCATGTTTCATCCATGGTTATGAAACGACGCAAAAATTCTGCTTTGTTGCTTTGAAACTTCGCTAAACACTCAATTGAAACATCTTCACGACACTGTTTTTGCTCGATTGTGAGCCAACTGCAGCCCCCATCTTGCACACAGGTTTCTCATGTTCAAATTTTCAGATAATATGCGATGAACCGCACTTTTTTAAATGCTTACTATGTCTGCTAGCTCGCGCACTTTCAGTCGACGATCATTCAGTACCGCTTTGTGAATTTTCTTCACCATTTCTGGAGTGGTCATCTCATTTGGTCGACCACTGTGATGCTCGTCTTGGCAGCTCGTACGGCCTCGTTTAAACTCTGCTACCCAATATTTTACTGTTGTAAACGAAGGAGCAGACTCACCCAGAGTAGAATCCAGTTCAGCTTTTATATTGGTTGGGCTGAGGCCTTTGAAATAAAAGTATTGTACCACATAACGATGACCAATTTTCTCCATTTTCACAAATTCACTGAAAACGTACAGTATTGATGGCTGCCAAACAAATACTAAACAACGTGGCGTCTTCAAACTTGACACATATGCTTTATAGATTGCATACTTTCTAATACAATGATACTGTTCAAACAACTATCTCCATGGCTAGGTCAGGCCGGGTACTTCTGGGACTACCATCGTAATGACAGTGACGCACATAGTTGAAACGTTAATTAAAACTATTAGATCGTAGGACGTTTTACAAAATCTAGTTTATGTCTTCGATGCTTAAAAGGACACCTCAAAGTTTTAAAAAAAACTGTTTTTATAAAATAAGATACCATTTGGGCATCTATTTTTTTCCTGTGAAAAAAAATTGAAAAAACAATGCAAAGTAATATTTTTTTTAACAAAATATTACTTAGCAACGTGTTCTTCGATTTTTTTTTTAAATTATACGCCCTTATAATATTACTTATTAGAATTAGATATTTTAATCTTCAGTAACTAAAGTGAGAAAAACCACTGGGGTGAGAGATGAGTTACCGAAAACAGCGGAAACAGAAAATAAAAAATAAGCTAAAAAAATATAATTCCTACCTTTCGTCCAACACCTCTGGGGCCATATACCGCCTAGTACCGACTTTCGGATTGGACCCGATGTCCAACTGATCAGTAGATTGAGAATGCATTACAGCTAATCCAAAATCTGCTATGCAACATGTGCCGTTGCTCTTTACCAATATGTTTTTACTCTTGATATCTCTGTGAGCTATTGCAGGTTTACCCTAAAAAATACACCACTGTATCAAACAGCGTCAAAAGTTCACTCTATGCATGTGGCACAACAACTTCAAAAAGAATGAACAGTTTTGATCCTATTTGTTCATTAGATGATTTCGGGTTCCGTATTAAGCTCTATCTCCACCGAACTGGCGGTCGCATGAAAGTTATTATTGCTAGTGAATCACTGTTTAGCGGGAGAATTGTTAAGGAAATAGCATTATTATGGATTTAAACATACACAAACAACAAATTACAAAATTATTTAATCAATAGAAGTCAAAGAGCTAAAAAAAAAATCATCTTCTACTAAATCATTCAGAAAATTTTATTGAATTGAACATAGTTATTCTACTAGAGGAATATGGTATACGGTAGTAGCAATATAAAAAACAAATCAGTATTTAAAGAAGGATTAAGCAAATTAAGTAATGATATCAAGATGAGTGTCAGTTTGAAAATTTCTATAGGAAAATTGAAAAAATATTTCATTGAAAACCTGAATTCATAGTAGTGAAATTTTATATAAAAATACAAGAAAAAATACTAACTTGAGTTCCGAATATTTCTGTGTGAAGATGGACGATGCCATTGGCAATGGAAAGACACAACAGCATCAACTGCTGATGAGATAGAGATGTATAATTCAAGTAGTCGTACAGGCTGCCCAACTGATGGTAGTGAGTTATCAGCCACAATTGAGTGCATGAGTTTCTGGATGTCATGTCTGATCCTATATATCCTAGGATGTTTTCATGGCGAAGGAGGATTGTGCTACAATGGTATGGTCAATTATTAGATTTTTCTATCCTAAAGCAAAATTTTTTAAAATCGTATACGAACCTATAAATTTCAGTCTCTCTAGTCCAACTTGCTTCATCCCTGGAGAAGAATATTTTAACAGCTATACTTTCGCCATGCCATATTCCTCGCCATACTTCTCCATATCTAAACAATACATAACCATCACATATTATTTGACAAAAAATATGTCAAAAATCTGATTTTGAAGCAACCTTGGAATGGTACTAATGCATATTTTCAATATATACAGGGTATTCCATAACTTAATGCCATATGCAAACATGTCTTTTTTTAAATATATTTGATTGCGTATTTGGACAGACCTTCTAAAAACAAGAAGTTTGATATCATATAACATACGGATTTGATTGTTAATTGTTCTCGCAGCTCCGCCTTTTTTGAGGATATTCAGATAAATTTTAGTTCACATAAATGTATAATAAACATAAATCGAATATTGCTTCATTGCAAGGGAGTTAGCTTCAGAGCAATTCAGTTTCAATATAGTTTATTTCCATTTGGACTAAAGATTTTCTTACCTGCCCTTTCCTATACATTCCAATAAAGATATCTGCTTGGCTAAGGTTCGTTGTATGAGCAAAGGCAGTCCAGATCCACTTCCTGATGTCATAGACTGTTCCAGGTACTCCCTTAAGGTGCTATCACCAGCTGCAGTGGCACGCAACAGTTCATCTTGGGCATAGTATGTGTCCGGATCAAGTCGATTTTCATTGCACAACCTAATACAAAGTTATATCACAAATATTTTACTTAGATTTTTATTCCTAGTACTATTAAATATCTCCAATATTTCAATCTGTTAATTTTTTTCACGTTCAACGTTGGACAATTCCCTCTTGTACTATCAATTATTTCAAATGGTTTGAAAAGCAAAGTACCTATTCCTATAGTATCTCCTAAGGAAATACAGAGCCATCAACCCCACTGCTCCAAAAGCAGCAACAGGACCCAATACTGCAGCAGCCATTTTGAGCACATAAATCAGCTGCTCGGTGTAAGGTCCTCCCACTTCAGTGATTGGTTGCAAAGCAGGTAGTTCGGGGAAGTCCCCATCGTTACAAAAATCGCCGGCGCAACACTCGATCTGAAATTGCCCCCCTGCGTGTCTTTTGCGTTGGACAGACAGAGAAGGGGAGCGGCAGTATAGGGGCAGCTGGTCATGGTCTGTTGTACAGCCTCTGGTTACACTTTCAATGCCTGCAAAGACGGAGTCAAACAGATGTCACAGTTAGCTTAGTTATCTTTATTTATTATCTATAAAAACGTCGCCATTTGCGACTTGTGATCAGCAAACCCTTTATTGATTGGTTAGTCTGATTTAAAATGACAGGCATTTGTTCTTACCATCAACCTGTCAGTTCAATGTTCCAGCTTTCCAACGTCGCAATGTGTACGAACACGAAGCGCGAAAAGTGTGCAAGACTTATGTTAGACAGAGATAGAAGCACCACGTTGCCCAGCAATACGAGTGACGAGGCCACGTACGCAGTTCCGTCTTACCATCGACACACTCTTCCTAATATACTTACTGCACTCTTCTCTCTCGTACAAACTATTATTATTATTATATGAGTAATACTTGGATTTCTTTGCAGATGGTTTGCTAAAAACTCGAGAGTGACCTAACGAAAAAGACATTCAAACAACAAGTCATGAGTTATGACGTCACTGTGAAGCGCCCCAAAAATGCAGCGATTAAATTAACGTCAGTGGAATTGCAGTTTTAAATATTTAATTAAAAATATATACAGTAATGGACAAAAGTATCTTGGAAGCCTCTAAGAGAAATGGTCGGCCTAGAAAACTAAATGCTAGATCAGTTAGATTAATAAAAGTAATTTTGTCCAAAGATCTGTTTAAAACCCCAAGACAAAAATAGACAAAGGAATTGTCAGTGTTTCTACTGAAAACTATGAGTAGAAGTTTAAATGATTTGAAGTTATTTGCACGACGCCGAGTAAGAAGCCGCTAATCTCGACGAAAAACTGTAAGGACCGATTACAATTTGCACGGTTGCATATTGATTGGAGCACCTGTGACTGGAAGAGAGTATGTTTCAGTGACGAATCCAAGTTCAATATGTTTGGATCAGATGTTTATTATGATAGACGTCCTAGTGGACAAAGATTGAACCCCAAGTACACTTTGCCCACTGTTAAACATGGAGGTGGATCTGTTATGGTTTGAGAGAGCTTTTCAGAGTTTGGGATGGGACCTTTACATAGAATAGATGGCATTATGGATAAGTTTGTATACACAGACATACTAAAGCATGTCATGTTACCCTATATGGAAGACAATATGACCCGCAGCACAAACATAAATAATAATATAGTTACTTTGGGTTTGGGTCTAAAGAATAGCATTCTTACTTAGAAGAGTCACCTTATATTTCAAGATTTCATATATTTCAAATTTAACTCTACCTGAGCTTTCTCGTACGCGCGACTTCCAGCACTGAATGGCATTATAGCAGATAGTCGTCCGTAAACAATAAGGCGGTTCGCAAGAGTGGCACTTGTATCTCTTTAAATTGTTATGTTGGATACTGTTAAGACTTATCTCGGGAGGCGGTTCACCAGGTTCATGTTCGTTTATCAAATCGTCCTCGTCGTATTCCTCTTTTAAGTGCGGACTGCGAGATATTTCTCCTAAAAACAGTTCTCGAGTGAGGCGATTCTTTATAACCTAACAGGTTCAAGATTACAAAGTGGAAAATGGATATTGCAGTATTGTATGACTTGTGACTGAGAGTGTGAACGGATTTACCTGCTACCGAAGAAACTAGGCAGGCGATTAATAAACAGTCTACTAATTTTACGGCGGCCATGTTAAATCCTTTAAAAAAAACAAAAATAACCCAGACGTCAGACAGGTCAAACTGAGATCATCTCGTTTCCATTTGAATTAGGTACATCCCAGTATATTCAATAATCGGGTATGGAGTATGGTAATGGCAGCCAAATTTTTGTGTGAAATGTTTATGTTTTTCAAAATAATTTCACGAAACTACAAAAATCCTAAAAACACCCCCGCAAAACTACACTTTTTTGTGTTGTGACATTTTTTATGTCAAACTGACAGCTGTCATAGATGAAGATAGAGGTAGATGTATCACACCGACAAGAATTTGCCATTTTTGTTCCTGCAACATAGTACATCATAACGCCACTTTTCAATCAACGGAGACGTTAAATATAGTTGTATATAGTCAAAATCGGTAAAGATGACTATTACGTCATATCATAAATTGTACAGAAGTAATCAATGGACGTACGTCAATGATAAAATCACGATGTCAGGAACATAATGACAACTAATTTATATTATGATTTTGCGAAGTTAGGTTATTACACTGGTTATTTTTATTTTCACCTTATTTCATGGTTTTGAGTGATACCTTAATAATTTTAGTGGCGAGTTTTTGTTTTGAAAAAAAAACAGTAGACAGGAACATTAAAGACCAAAGGATTATTCGAAAACAACCTAACCTGCTTTAACATAACCTAACTATTCATCCTTCAAATATGATCGATCATGCAACATGAAAACATCGCCTATCTTTGTCAGATACATGCAAATTAGCAATACAGTTTGTTTAGACAATAAAATTCTGTTTGTCTCTGTTTAACATATCTGAAACTTCATTAAAAATATTCCTACAAATCGCTGTCGTTAGTCTTTGCTACTCGGTGTTTGCTACAGACGAAAATGATGATGTAATCGTCATCTTTCATGATTTCGACTATACTTCTTAGAGTAAGGGCCTTTGCACACGCATCGTAAGCGTAGTCGTTTCGTAAGCGTATAGTTACGACCTGCAGTGTTCCACACAAGCATCGTCACGTACTCGTATCCTTTTGTAAGATCTCAGTTGAAGTCATGGCGGCAACGGTACCATATGTTTCTGGTGTATCCATTGATGATCTTACATTTTCTTTAGACGAAGAGGAGTTTTTATTGTTTGATAATGTTAGAAGTAGAAAGCGACGTGCTCATTGGATCCATCCATAGATCGGAAGTAATAAGAAGAAAAGATTGTTTGTTGCTGCACGTGGACTTTCAGAAGATTATAATAAATTCCGAAGCTTTTATTGAATGAGGAAGGAGACATTTCAGCCATATCGAGAGCAATTAAACAAAACTTTTGAATTGTATGCTTGCTTCTACGCCTGCCTGACGCCAGATCGCTTCGATTATCGTAATACGACCGAACATCCCATATACGATGTTTTTCTTAGTGTTTATTTAAGAGTAAATAATAGCGAAATGGTGAAGAATGATACGTGTATTCTTAGTAACAGGTAAGTGTTGCTTCGGTAAAATTCTTATTCTGAGATAATTTGATGTTCTGTGACTTGACGTTTCACCCGTCAAAATTGTCATTTGTCATTGAGTTCCAAAAATACACTGAAGGTAGCGCTACAGTAACCACGTTGCCACGCCATGCAATTATTCCCTATAGTTAGCATTTCTAAGTTTCAAGATCACATTGACTTTGGAGAAGTTTCACACTTTTTAACCCTGAATACTATTTTGCAATATGCTAGAATATCCTAAATAGGCTTATAAAAGAGGGATATATGATGGGTCAAACGACTGAAAATATTTTAGTCTCTCCGAAGAATATTTTTTTACCTTTTGCTACTAAACTATTTTCGATTTGGCAACTGTGACTAGCACCTTGTTTTTGGCGTCACTGTCCATTGAGACGTTTTGACTTTACAATAAATATGAAATAAAAATAATAGCTTATGAATCTACGTCGATGTTGTGTACAACTACTGGTCGTACCCCAGACGAATTACCTTCAAAACTAAAATTATCTTTTTTCCAGAAATAATTCGATAACATGAAAATGAAATTGGTTGATCAAGTCGTACGATCTTTCAGGGTGGCAAAAGTATTCCGGGAAAATACTGATAAAATAAACAGGTAGACTGTTTTACTTTATCATTCACTTCGAACATGATAAGTAACACTTATTTTTACTATTTTCAGTATTGATTTCTCTCCGAATGGCGAAACCCTAATATCATGTAGTGAAGATGATCAGATTGTTATCTACGATTGTGAAAAAGGTACACAAGTGAGAACGGTGAACAGCAAGAAATACGGAGTGGATTTGATACATTTCACTCATGCGAAAAACACTGCAATACACAGTTCCACCAAAGTTGATGATACTATCAGATATTTGTCTTTACATGACAATAAGTATATCAGGTATGGAAGACCGTAATGACTGATTCATAAGAAGTACTTTTCCAAAAGTATAATAAAGCAATCAATTGTATCCAGTTATCTTTAGTATTTACTGTTTTGAAAACTATTTTTCTCAATCATCCCCCAAGCATGTCTAGTCAATAAAACCAAATGTGTTGATAGACCTTTACTATAATAAATGTTTCAATTACAAAGATGATATTTTTCTGTACAATGACAATATTTAATTTATCTCTTTTCCAGGTGACAGTTCACTTATTTTTTATTTTCATTATACATTTTTTACAAATGCAGACTGCCTAAAGTGGTGATTTGTGAATTACATGAGTAATGCTTATATATAGTTTCTTATGTAAACATTGCAAGTAAATAGTCTAGAGGTATGAAATCACAAAATTCAGGTGGCCAATTTATAGTTACAAAATAAGAAATGAGTTGCTACCACACTTTTGTCACAGTAGCCTTGCAGGCTGAGCTGCAAGTTCACCTGCACAGTTTTTTTAAAACCAAATGTGCTGAAGATCTCGCGTGTGAGTTTCAGGTAGCAACCAGTCTCTTATGATAGCCCAATAACAGTTGCCAAATTATCAAATACTGGGACATGTTACTGATTCTTTAATGTTCTGAGATTGACCACATTTTCTGCCGTAACTTCAGACATTTCAAAGAAATATTCTTTCTAAAAAGAGAATCATCGATTAGTTACTGTTTGTTGTTTCTCTAATACCTAAATTTCTTTTTAAGGTACTTCCCAGGTCACACAAAGAAAGTTGTCTCCCTTTGCTTGTCTCCAGTCGAAGATACCTTCCTTTCAGGGTCCTTAGACAAAACTTTGAGGTTGTGGGACCTCAGATCACCAAATTGTCAAGGTTTGATGCATTTATCAGGAAGACCTGTTGCTGCTTATGATCCAGAAGGACTCATCTTTGCTGCTGGAGTAAATTCTGAGAGCATCAAGCTCTATGATTTACGTTCTTTTGATAAGGTACTGATACTACAAGTTGACTTCTTGATCACCTTGAATGTCATTTTTTCTGTCAAGGCCACTTTTAGATTATTCTCAAAATGCAGCAACTTTTAATCATTTTATTCAGTATTTTCTAAACTAGGGTGAGAAGTCAGAAGCTTTTTTTTACAATGCATTCTGGTATGGTAGCGTCTCCATATATGGATTTTATTTTACTTTGCAGGGCCCCTTTGTAACATTCAAGCTAACCCAAGAAAAAGAGTGCGACTGGACAGGTCTGAAATTCTCTCGCGATGGCAAAACGATTCTCATCAGTACCAATGGTTCTATCATCAGATTGATAGATGCTTTCCATGGTACACCTTTGCAAACATTCACTGGTCATTTGAACAATAAGGGCATTCCCATAGAAGCTTCATTCAGTCCTGATTCTCAGTTCATTTTCAGTGGATCTACTGATGGTAGAGTTCATGTATGGAATGCTGACACTGGCTACAAAGTAAGAAAAATTTTTTTATGTCAGATTTTTTATTTTATTATAATTATCATGATGTTTTAGCTTCTTCAGCATGCGAGATAAGGCTCTTATTCATATTTTGTACTTTAACAACTGGTTAAATTCTCCTCAATTCTTTCATAACTATTCCAAAGTTTTACAGCTACTTTTATACAGGGTGGCCCATAAGTCCTTTGAGCTGGAAAAAAAGAATAAAACCAAACTAGTTACATTATGAAGAATTATTATATTTTGTTATCATCTTTATTGAATGGGAATTATGTTTTAAAAATCACATCGTCTAAATGCAATCCATTACGATCACGGCACTCATATAAACGACGCCTAAAATTGTCGATGACTGCGCGGCAAGTCAACACTGTAATGCTTGCCATTTCTCTTCGGATATTTTCTTTCAGGACATCAACTGATCGCGGAGTGGTGTCGTACACTTTACTCTTGAGGTAGCCCCATAAAAAGAAGTCCATTGGGGTCAAATCTGGACTACGTGGTGGCCAGGAAATGTCTCCTCTTCGAGAAATTACTTTGCTGGGAAAAAGTTGACAGATGACGGGCATAGAAGTGTTGGAGGTGTGGGCAGTTGCTCCGTCCTGTTGAAACCAGGTCTGCGAATTATAGCCTGGAAAATTCTGCAACGCTGATGTCAAAAACTCTTCTATCATTGCTACATACGGCTCCGAAGTAACAGTTAATGCGCGACCTCTGTCGTCCTCAAAAAAATAAGGGCCTACGATGCCATGCGCTGACATGGCAGTCCGAACTGTAACTTTAGGGCTGTGTAAGGGCTTCTGATGCTTACGCCTTGGATTTTCGGGGCTCCAATAACGGCAATTTTGTTTATTTACATGCCCGTTTAAATGGAAGTGAGCCTCGTCCGAGAACAACACATTATTGAGCGAAGAAAATCGATTCAACATTTCATTCGCAAAGTTTAGTCTCTGAATAGCGTCATTATCTTTTAATTCCTGCACTAACTGAATTTTGTAAGCGTGCAGACGTAAATCTTTCCTTAAAATCCGCTGTAAAGATGTTCTGGGTACGTTTAGTGCACTGGAACGCTTACGAGTAGACTGAGTAGGACTTTGACGAACAGACTGTGCCACAATGTTGATGTTTTCTTCAATACGAGTTGTCCTTGGTCGACCCCACCGCTGTTTATCTAACGTCGAACCAGTCTCTTCGAACTTAGCAACCCAGTTCTTAATCGTTTGAGCTGTTGGACACTTTGTAAAATTGTGGTATTCTCGATATTTACGCCGCGCAATGGTTGCCGAATCATTATTTTGATAAAACGCGCGCACACAAAAAGCACGATCCGCTCCAGTGAAACACTCCATGGCGACTGAATTCCCAGACACTGAAGATACTGCCCCCACCTCGCCCGCGCCGCTCACGCTCACCCGTTAAATTTTATTCAAATTTGAAATTTCAAAGGACTTATGGACCACCCTGTATATTAGTTCCATGACATAGATATCGCTGATTTTGTATAGTATGAAAATGTTTTTAATAGGAAAGTAAGTGACTGTTTTTTCAGGTGTGTGTCCTAAATGCAGACCATCCAGGTCCAGTGCAATGTGTCCAGTTCAATCCGAAATACATGATGTTAGCATCAGCCTGTACTAACATGGCATTTTGGCTACCTTCTATTGAAGACACATAATTTGTTTGTGAAACGACGTGGAGTCTTCAGCTATGGACTTTCTGATCTATGTATTGTGATTTATTTTTGAAGCACACAAATGAAGACTGGTGATATCAAAATCTTTATCATGCACTTCGAGATTTCATTTTTGTTTAATAAACAGTTCTTCCATTTCCGCCTGTCTACATTTGTGTTCTTAGTTTGAAACTAGGCACATTTTTTGAAATGTGATTTGTTATTTTTGGAATCAAGTTTCTATTGAATCAAATATCTACTTGAGTTGATATTATTGATTAGAAAACATTTAATGTGTTAACTTGTCAGGAAATCAACATAGAATGAGATTTGGTACTGGTATGACATACAGTTCGACTAAAACGTGCAAGTACCCGTAAAATCCTTCCATATTCCCATTCTCTTTAATTGTATTCACTTTTTCACAGAAGTGTATTAGGTATTTTTATTTTTAATACTTGATTTTTGTAATCTAGATTGTAGTGTTGTTTCAATCTTTATATAGCATTTGAAAAAATAAATGGTTCTCTAACTTGGCAGTTTTTCAGTTGCGAATGCATCTAGACGAAAGTCGTGAGGACGCTATTTAGTCTAATCATATTAGACGAAATTACTCCTGGTTTGCGAAATAATTGTAAAGTCTGGTTTTAATGCTGCAAGTTGTTCAAGGGGGTATTCAAAACGTGGACGCATAAAATGGGTACACCAATTTTTGCGGGAAAACTTTTTATTCGACAACAGAATGAGAAAACGTGTTTTTTGGGATTAAATCGAAAGTGTTTTCGATTGAATCCCAAAAAACCCCGAACACTTCCCGGAACGCGTCATCTGGATTAGGTGCGCTTTGGCGCTCTCCGATTTGGTCCATCGTGATTTTTTCTACGGGGTTTGTTTGAAATACCGTCCAAGGACCCTATAAGGTTTGAAGACCAATTTCCAGCAAGTAGCTGCCAAAATAATGCCTGCTATGCTGGCAAGAGTCATGACAAACGTTACAAATCAGTTTATTCAGTGTATGGATAATGTGATATGTTAGGCATGCACCTACATAACAAAAAAACATGTCCTGATTCACCTAATGGGTTTATTAAGTTTTGAAAAACGAAGTTCAACGTATCGAAAAAAAAACTGTCAAACCCAATAGAAATTGTTCGAGGATATTATAGGTATAATTAAAACGAGCACATCAATCCAAAAACCATTTTATTATCTTAAAATATCAATCTGTTAATCAGCTCTTGACAATTGCAATACTGAACTAAATATGAAAAAGAAACAGGATCAGAAGGTTGAAATAAGAAAAAAAAAAGTGATTCAGAAACCAACGTTAGCAATGATAAGCCAATTCAGTTTTAAAGCTATCAAATTAACGTTTAGCTATGTACGGGGCGATTAGAAAAACAATAGCAACATTTCTATATCAGAAAGAACACCCAAACATTACATAAAATATCCCATGACCAACAACAGGGTATTAAAAAAGTTTTTCATTCCCAATTGGTCAAAATATGCGACAGTCCACGCCACTCTTTTAGTTAGAACCTCAAACATTTTTTAATATGATCTTTACCACTGTTGGTACAAAGTTTGCTCTAAAAATATTGCCACTGTCTTTGAATCGCACTGTATGATAAGTTGCGAGTATTAGGGAAAAAAAATAAGAAATATGAAACATTGAATCGATTTTTCTTTACGCCACTTTAAAAAATCTGTTCAACAATTATTATGTCGCATTCGATCTTTGTGTTTTCTGCGGCAACGAGTAACACATTACAATTTTGTTCTTGGTTTTTTGGCGTTACTCTCTCTTATTTCGTCGAGACCTGGTGAAATTTCTTGTAGAAGTGGATGATTGCACCAACTGCCAAACAGGGTTGTCAACAGGGCGACTCCATAACCCGTTGCCCTTTCACCCTGTAAAATAATACACAGATGGTTTGTGATGTATTTGAAGTACCTGCGATGTTTGTTGAATTTTTTTAATTTCGTCATATCTGTGATTTTGTGGTGGTTGTGAATTTTTAGATGCTTGTAGTGTGTATGATGAATTTAATGAGTTTCCTAGAATCTTGTGATGTCTGTGATTGCATGAATCTTGTTTTGTGACGTTTGAGAATTTTGCAAATTCTGCGAGTTTTTGAATTCTGTGGTGTGTGATTTTTCATGTTTGTAAATTTCGGGAAATTTAGAAATTTCATGAATTTCGCGTATTTCATGATGTTTGTGATCCGATGTTTGAAATATCCCTGAATTTAGTGATATTTCTTGAATTATATTTATTTGTGTTGTAAGCGAATTTTGCGGATTTTGTACAACTTTGGGCTGTTCTGAGCTATGCGAGGTCTAAAATTTCGAGTATTATGTTAAATGTTGTTGAACGTCGTTAATTTCGTAATGATGGTGGACTTAGTGTATTTTGTGACTTTTATCTAATTTTGTGATACTTGAGAAGATTGTGATGTATTCGAAGACTGCGATGTTCGTTGCATTTTTTGAATTTCGTCATGTTTGTGATTCTGATTCCAGGGTGGTTGTGAATATTGAGATGCTTGTAGTGCTTCTGATGTCTCTGAATTTAATGGATTTCGAAGAATTTTGTGATATCTGTGATTGCATTAATGTTGTTTTGTGATGTTTGCGATATCTGCATGAATGTTTTGATGTTCGAGAATTTTGCACTGTGATGTTTATGATTTTAGTTGAATTTTGTGGTGTGTGATTTTTTATGTTTGTGAATTTCATTTCATGATGTATGTGATGCGATGTTTGAAATATCCCTGAATTTAGTGAGATTTGTTGAATTATTTTTATTTTGTCTTGTAAGCGAATTTTGTGGATTTTGTACAACTTTGTGCTGTTCTGAGCTTTGTCGTCTGTGATGTCCAAAATTTCGATTATTATGTTAAACGTCGTTAATTTTGTAATGATTGTGGACTTTGTGACGTTTATGTGATTTTGTGAAATTTGCGAATTCTGTGATGTGATTTTTAAAATATCCTTAAGCTTTGTTGACTTGTGAATTTTGTGATGTGAATTATTATTTATTTATTATTTAGCATATGGAGACAATTGGTCTATTTTGTTACTTTCCGAAAACTTTTGATTATGTAAATCATAACATACTATTGAAAAAATTGAGCAACTTCACTCAAATGGTTCAAAACATAGTTAAATAATCGATCACAAATTGTAAGAGTAGCATGATATTGTAATAAATAAATTGAATATACAAACTGGGGTACCTTAAGGATCAGCACTAGTCGAAATCCCATTCTTAGTTTATATAAACGATTTAATAAATGTAGGGTACAGGGGAAAAAGATGAAAGCCACAAAAAGTTTCGAGAAAAATTAATTTAAATGTTTGAAGACCCCTAGACTCGTTGTATATGGTGGGTCAAGGGTATGACACTACCATAGATTCCTTACCATAGAGAATTGAAAAAAAAGTTAAATTATAAATAAATTTATTTTGATATAGGGCAACCGAAAAGTATACCAAACATTTTTTTAATAGAAAATTTACATGTGCCTCCCTAATGATATCAAAAGAATCAACAATTTAAAGATATTTCGATGTAAACTAAAAAACTTGCTGATTGGTGTGTTCATTTTTTGATATCCACATGTAATTTTGTTTAGTTTTGCAATGCGTCGGAAATAATCATGTCCGACTGAATAAATTTCAAAACGTACCGTACAGACAGTATCGGCCATATCGACATGTATCCAAGTTCCAGGATAATCAAAGCCGAGATGCGAGGCGATGAACAGGCCGGCGCAGCTGCTCTGCGAGTTGTTCCTGTCAGCAACGGAGTTCTTCATGTCGGCCATGGCGGAGTTGAACTCGCTGAAGTGCAACTCCGGGCAGTACATCAGAGGGAACACCAGGTCGCCGGAAACTTTGCCAGCCGTCATCATACTATCCTCCCAATCGCCGTTGTTCGTTTGTACGGCACCGTGGTATTTACCGGTGGTTATGCCCTGGAATAAATAAAAGCCGGCTTTGTACTTCGCATGCCAAAGAGGGAATTTGCACGTGATTCAAATGTCTGTTGATTGTTTTTATTTACAGTTCTTAGTGCAAGAAAAACAGCGAATCGCTCAAGTCTTCCGTTACGTTATTTTTGGCGGCGATTACAAATAAGATTGTGTACAACGCAAACATTTATTTCATCCTCAAATATGGACTTATATCAGGTAACCAAATAAGTTCGTAAGTTGAAAAATCTAAATTTTTATTGAGAAACAATAAGACACTATTTTTTTCTTCTTCTATGGTTATTTGCCGTCTAAGATACTATTTAATCGTCGAAGTAATTACCATCACATTCAATGAGAAAAATGACGGTTTCCTTTTTTCTCCTAAACAAATTCAAACATTTCGTATTTGTAAGCAACTGAACAGATTCGGAAAACATAGTTATTATACACATTTTAAAACAAAGCGGATGTGTATACGAAATGTTTGAGTTTACAAGACAAAACGTAACCCATCCTTTTGTGCATAAAAATAACATTTATCTTCCGGAATGGTTTGCGATTCATATCGGCAAGGTAAGCTAGTGTATTTTGCTATAAAATGCACTTTGAACTAACCCTGTATATTGTAAACAATTAGAAATTCTCAAAAACTACTTGACCAACCTACTCCGATTTCGCTGTGGTCATTTAGAAGTACGAATCCTACGAATGTGAAGAATTTCAAATATCTGCGCGGAACCATCGTCGCTTTACCAAGTGCCAACTGAATCCCAAACAACACGTTTTCTCATTATTTGTTGTCGAATAAAAAGTTTTCCCACAAAAATTGGTGGACCCATTTTATGTGTCCGTGTCTTAAATACCCCCTTGAACAAATTGCAGCAATAAAACCAGGGGTATTTTCGTCTAATATGAGCGGTTATGAAACCTAAAGGTACAGTGGCCAATTACCCTCGACATAAACTTACCGCAACAGATACAGTATAATTTTTTTTTAATAAAATACCACATCACATAAGGGTGGACAATAATTATAAAATTTTTGAAAATAGCGTAAAGGAAAATCGTTATACGAGCACTGTCTCAGCGAAGTTGGCCTAACAAAACTACGTCTTTTATGAAATTTGTTATATTAGCGGAAACGTATTAAAAACTAAAATGTATTTCTACTTAATATTAGCTTGAGATACTTTTTTTTTAAATATATGGGGTTGTCCAAAACGGACGCAGGAAAGTAAACGCATATTAAAACAAGAAAGATTGATATTCAAATCAAGTTGGGTACTTTATTTTGAAGGTTCACTTATACCATTTATGTATGAAAAATAATATCGCTCAAATGTTCACCACGACTGGATTTACAGACGTCCACGCGATGGTCGAAATTTTCAATGACATTTTGCAACATGGTCGGTTCTATGGCATTTATCTCGGCAATGATGTTGTTTTTGAGTTCTTGGAGGGTGGCTGGTTTGTTGACGTAGACTTTGCTTTTCAAATATCCCCATAAAAAGAAGTCCAAGGGAGTCAAATCGCACGATCTTGGTGGCCATAGCACATTTCCTCTGCGCGAAATCACGCGATCACCGAAGAAGGACTGCAATCGATGGATATTGACGTTGGTTGTGTGGCATGTTGCACCGTCTTGTTGGAAATAAACATCGTCCATATCCATTCCTTCAAGTTGCGGCAAAAAATAGTGCTCTATCATCACGTGATATCGCTCAGGAATTGACGGTAAGCGGCGTCCCCGGCCGCATTTTCGAAAAAGTAAGGTTCGATGATGCCTTTTGACCACAATGCATACCACACAGTCACTTTTTGAGGATGCATCGGCTGCTCTTGATACTCACGGGGATTTTCGTTCGCCCAGATGCGGCAGTTTTGCTTGTTTACCGTCCCATTCAAAGTGAAATGCGCTTCGTCGCTGAACATGATTTTTGATGAAAAATTGGCGGTGTTCAAGGAGCCAATCTGAGAACGTTCGGCGCGAAAAATGGTCGGCCCGACGCAGCTCTTGCGTCAATTGGATCTTGTAGGCGTGTACATTGAAATCCTTATGGAGAATGCGGAGCAAACTGGTTCTCGAAATGCCCAATTCTTGAGATCGACGCGTTGTTGATTGTTTCGGATCGTCTCTCACACTCTCCTTCACAACAGCAATATTTTCCGGTGTGCGAACGCTCCTTGGCCGGCCAGAGCCTGGCAGATTTGCCATAGAACCTGTTGCCTCGAATTTACGCACCAGACGACCGATGGTTGGTTCGTTTGGGCGGTTGTTGCGACCGAAATGTTCACGAAGCGCGCGAAACGTGTTTTTTATTTTTGCAGCATTTTTGTAGTGCTCTTGAATAACTTTAATGCGGTCTTCAATCGAATACGACTCCATAGCGATCAATGGTAAACATTCAACTAACAAAATGACATGTCGGTGACAGAAAACAAAGATGGCGTCTATGTCAAATTGACGTTTACTTTCCTGCGTCCCTATTGGACAACCCTTTATTACAAATTAAAAAAATCTGCCGATCAATAAAAAACAATGAAACCAAAAAGCAACTAATCACCACTGCGTTACATCGCCTTTTCGACTGATTACTGCTTTGATATGTATTGACATAGTGTCGACTGATGATCGGCAGTAATCTGGGGTAAAACTGTTCTAAGTTTGTTGGAGACGTTTTCGCAATTCTGGAACGGTTCTTGCGAAATTCGATCGGACCAGAAGACATAAAATAGAACTTTTGGAATCTCGACAGAAAATTAACCAACAGAGATTCAAATGGCATATCGAGAGTCATGTCGTCACTGCGAGGCGCACTTAAAGCAACGTCACTGGCATTGCAGCACAGATGGATGAAATATGTGTTTAAGATGTTATATTAAAGTAAATAATCGACAGGGAATAAAACAAATTGTATATTCCCTAATGGCCTATCTTAGAAAAAAATTAGCTACGTAGGGTAAAGAAGAATTATTTTACCTGAGCACCTGTCAACGTCGCCATATCCAAAATTACTTCGGCCTTGAGATCCCTCTGAGCATACACAACACCATCAGCCAATACAAGCCTTCCTTCGGCATCAGTATTGTTAATCTCTACAGTACGTCCTGAGTATAATCGATGAATATCATCTGGTCTACAAGAAAACAGTAATTTCAAAATGATTATTTTCAAGTTTCAAGGAAAATTAAGTCTCCCGATCGAAGCATATTAAAAATACTATGCGCTTTTCTTATACAGGATGAGTCTAAAAAACAATGGCTATATTCATAGAACAGAATTTATATTAAAAAATATGATTATGAAGAGGTTTCAAGTACTGGGTGCGCCATCTATTACTTTTTTTACCTATAAGTTTATGTGTTACCATGTGAGTCAAAAGTCATAACACAACACATTTTATTTATCCAAACTTATTACGAAAACGGACGAAATATAAAAAATACTTTTCGCAAACTTCGCACTAGTTTTGGCCGACATGGACGCCCTACAGAGCCTGGAATTCATTGGATTGTTAATCGTTTTGAGAAAACTCGTTCACCTGAAGGTCGTAAACCATACCAACATGCTCGTCCAGCTCCTACTTGTGAAAACATAGCCGTGAGAAGATGGATTTTCGACCAAAGTGCTCTTTTCTGATGAGGCTCATTTTCACCTCAATGGGTACGTGAATAAGCAAAATTGCAGATTCTGGGGGGCTGAAAATCCACACCAATATCATGAACAACCTCTCGATCCTGAAAAAATGACTGATTGGTGCGGATTATGGGCCGGTGGCACCGTTGGACCATTCTTCTTTGAAGATGCCGAAGAAAAGGCCATTACCGTCAACGGGGAACGTTCTCCCGGCATGTTAACAGACTTTTTGTGGCCACAATTGGATCGTATTGGTGCCGACGATCTTTGGTTTCATCAAGACGGAGCAACGGCTCACACATCTCGCCAAACAATCGCCTTATTGCACACGAAATTTCAAGACCGATAATTTCACGAAATTCAGATGTCCGTTGGCCCCCGAGATCGTGCAATTTAACACCTCTTAACTATGTTCTTTGGGGATTTTTGAAAGGAAAAGTGTATGCGAATTGTCCCCGGACAATTCAAGACCTAAAGCGCAATATTCAGACTGAAATTGCGGCCATAGACCCGGTTATTCTGGGAAAAGTCATTGAAAATTTTGATGTTCGGATGTTGGCCTGTAAACGAAGCCGCGGTGGTCACATGACTGAAGTTATTTTTCATACATAAATGGCATAAACCAAGCTTCATTTATTATTAAAAAAATTAGATTTCTCCTCGAAAAAACCGTGTTGATTTTTCGAATAGAAAAAAAGGTAATAGATGACGCACTCTATATTACCTTGTCGCTTTGGGCCCTATGCTATTTTCAGCAAGGCAGAAAACAGCATGGAGATTATGTTGAAAATTGGCTTTCACAGCTGCATAGAAGGCACCTAAAATACCAGCTGCACCGCCACAGTCTCGTTTCATCCCAGGCATGGTAAGCTGAAATTACATGAATACTGTCAGGGCAAACAGGGCATCATATCCACCACGTAAAATTATTGAAAATGTCCATAGAAACATGAATGTTTCGCAAAAAATTGCATGCTATTGATTTTGGATGAATCATTCTTGTTTTCTCAAAATCTTTTGCTTGAAACTGTCTCTTCGTGTTTTTCATAATGGCAATTACCATTTTTAATAACAACCTGATGTACAAATTAATAAAATTTATTTGAGACAATTTACGTTTTTTACATAGTTTATAGTACATTATCATAAAACACCTAGCTAATTTACCGGCATACGGTAAGCATAAGAGACTTTCAAACATTTTTTTTTACATGTTAATGTATCCTTCAACACCCCATACGTCAAAACTCATATCAGTATTTCAATGTATTTCTGAGAAATTGAAAAACATGAAATGTTGTTTCGTATTTTGCCTTTTTGAACTGAATTTACTCTCCATTTTTCGTGATATTTTGTAATATCCTATACAGGGTCGACAGATAATCACTGAGGTCTCGTATTTAAGGGGCAATGTATGGATACAACTTAATATTGGCTCTTTGTTCGATGCTAATTTTTTGACCCATGCGATGCTAAAAAGGTGTTGTTACTTTGAGCGCGATAAGTTCGTGTGAGGTGATTCGATTGCCATGAAATTTTGACAGGACAAGATGTACCTATCCAACGCTAGTCTCCGATAATAGATGGCGCTACTTGTATCGGATATATTTCAACAGTCCTCCTTACCTTGTGGCATACCTTGTATGTCTATTTTAATTATGCTTTTCATTTGGGTTCTTGTTTAATTCATTACTCTTACTTTGGTATACATATGTTGTGCAACTATTTATTGTTAGTAAGACAAACTGTTATTGTATTTTCTATTGCTATTCCTGTGATGGGTAAAAACTTGGAGTAAATATTATTACTTACTCTTCCTTTAAGACACATGCCACCAGTATCGTACACGATACCTTTTCCAACCCACGCGACAGTCTTCTGAGCATTTGGTGGCGTGTGGCTGAGTATCGCTAAGGCTGGAGGTACTTCGGCTGCTTTACCTACACCATAGATGCCGCCAAGGCCTTTTTCGGCCAGCTGTTCACCACGAATTATAGTCGGGATAAGCTTTAACGCTTTTCCGACCTTCTTGATTTCCTAAAATAATGATATTAAATGATGTCGAGAAGCTCTTAGAAGGAATCACATATGAACAAATTATTGAATATATTGAAGAAAATGACATATTGACCAAATTTCAAGCAGGATTCGGAAAAAATATACTATTGTAACTGCAATTCCAACGGTAATGGAAGAATGGAGGTGAAATATGGATGAAAAAAGGTTTATAGCTACACTGTTCTTGGATTTCAAGAAGGCATTTGAGACTATTGTTAGGGAGAAATTGCATTTTTATGCATTTAAAGGTTCAGTTTTCAACATATTACAAAATTAATTAACCAATAGAAGTCAAAAAACTAAAATTGACAATACACTATCAAGCATTAAAAACATTTCTGTAGGTGTGGCACAGGGTAGCAAATTAGGTCCATTACTATTTATTTTATATACTAACGATATCAAAGATGTTTTACAACACTGCAAAATTGAAATATTTGCTAATGATACATTAATATACATATCAAATAAAGATACTGAAACCTCAATAAAACTGTATGATATGATAAGCAAAATTAATTGGTGGTAGTCCACATTCAAAATAAAATAAGAGGCCTTGATACCAACTTGACGTTTCTTGGGAGATAGGATGTCAAGTGAGCTGTCACGTCATTTCGAAACACGGAATAACCATTGAGGGTTTCTCAAGCATCAAGGGACCTTGAAGAGATGTTTGTGAATGTCACTCTTAATCTATGGTCGAATGCAACATTACGCAATTTTTCTAAAAATTCTTTGGACAAAACAACCCACCTCTAGAAAATGATCCACGTTCATCATGTTGCATGGAGTGTCGACGATCCTAGCAGCCAGTCTAACCCCTTGCGTGATTTCATCTAGCAACGCGACCTCCTCTTCGCTCAACGACTGGTTACCATCAGCTGCGTCATCTTCGTTATCAGGCACAATTACGAATTCTACGGCGACGGTGGTGACAGACGAACTGTCATTTTTCGATTTCATGGTGAACACCGGGAAGGCCCGAGCTACCGCGCACGCGCTGGCTAAAATGTCTCGACGTTGACACACTATCTAGAATCGAAAAGTAAAACGTAGAATCACAAACCTTATCGCACTTTTTTTATTTATCTTAGTTATTCGAATGCTCTGCTTTGTTTATATACTCTTTTAGTGCTTTTTGACATTTTTCCCCCAATGTGATTGTCAATATCAATTTTATTCAATTGTTCATGCTATACTAGTGTTCTTGTTATTTACCTTGAGTGCTTACACTATATTTTTGTTTTAATTTTTCTGTGTATGTATAACTATTACTTATTATCTACAGGGTGACTGAAGCGAGCGAGGGAGGAGGGGGGGACTAGTCTTACTTATCTTTCACTCATATCTTTGTCATTTCTAAACCGGTTTGTGATTTTGATACCTCATTTGAAAGGTAATGGAACGTAGATATTTTAAAATTGTTTTGCCCGAAAAATTTGTAGGTGATTGTTTCTAGTAAATTGAGTTTTTGGGATGAACGAAGATTTTTTTTAACAAAAATTGAACTATCTAGAAGCTTACTGCATGAGATAACGTCAATAATGTACATTTGAGTATCAATTTTCGTATTTTAGAATATTTTTAAAACAAAAAAAAACAAATGAAACACCCAATTTTCAAGTTTTATGACTTGGTTAACTTATAAAGGACGTTAATTTTATAAAATCTTAAAAACTAGTATAATTCGAAAAGGCTAATTTTCGGACAGTAGTTCCTATAGTAAAATCGACTCAGATTGGCTTGTACTATCTACCCCCACCGGCTCCGCATCTATTTTCCCATCACCCTGTATTACACGTTTTTCATAATTCTTTTTTCTTTATATACTTGCAATAATTGTACCTTTAACAACTTTTAATCTTTCTTTTCTCTTTGACGTGTGCAAACCATCAACCAATAAATCATTATTATTATAAATTCGTTTTGCTCTTTTTTCCTTACCACAATAGCTTCATCCAATCCAACCGACTGTGCCTGCACCAACTTCGTGACAGCATGTGCCCTGGATGGCGTGTTATGCCTACTGCATCTTAACGGCAACGCCGCCACCGTTGCCAAGTTTAAGTACAGCGAGCAAGTGTCGGTGGGCGACGGGTGGAGGCTGGAGATGCCCAGCTTGAATGTCTCTTCGGTAACGCGAGGCTCCAGCTTGCATCTGACGTTGTCGAATTTGAGTTGCGTGAGATGGTTCAGTTGACCCAGGATAAGCACTGGGGTTTGCATTGGGTCAGATTTCTGCGGAACGCGATGGAAGAGCAGTTTCGTTGACATTTTGGCTCCTTCAGATTCCATATGGGTCTGTAACATAGGCAGATTTTTGCGTTTTTCTTAGAAAACCTTTATTTCATCACTACACCACTATTTTAGAAATTGAGCACTTGCTCAAGTGTCACCCTTAACGAAAACATACGTTTTTAATCAAAAATCAACATCCACATACATTTTTTTAGATTAACTACTAGTAAGACTATAAAGAAATTCTTCCATTTTTGCAGTTTCAATCAAATGAAAATGGAGATCTACCATATGCTTGAAAAGTCTGATTTTCTTACACTGAATAAAGTAATATTATTGGGTATATGCAGCCTGGGAGAAGATTCATTTTAGGTAAATGAGGCCAGTTTCACGCTGAAAGCAACAAGAGGCATCTGATGTACTATTTCATTACCACACGTAAGACTGAGCCGCTGATACTTTTTGAAATTTTGAAACTACCTTCATTCACTTGAAATCAGAGGACACCAAAATTACATGGGTTGAGTTTCAGATGTTACATAAGATGAAGATAGAAATAATGACCTTATATGAAAGAGAATCAAATGAACTAATATCTGTTTAATGAAAGTGTGGTTATCCCCTTTCACCTTTTGCTCTTGCTTGTATTATACTAAAAAATATTAAAAATTAATGAAATGTAAATAAAGAGAACATACTGTATTTACCTTCACCAGTTCCAGGCATTCAATTGGGAGCACAAAGCATACCTACAGGTGCATGAATTGTACAAGTGATATGATATAATTATTATTTCATTATAAAATAAAATACACACAATTGTTTACACACATTACAGAGATAAGATACAGGAGTAAATCAGACCATCAGGGGATCATTCTTAACAAGAATCTACTTAAAATATGATGAAGGACTTTTGGAGAATGTTAGTTTACAATAATAGAACGAAAAATCTGCCTTTGAGATATTTATATCGAACGGCCTTACAGATATATTTATGATATATATATTTTCCAAATATTCTTAAACTAAAAACAAAATGCTGATAAATAATTTAAAATTATAAATATTCAATTATATTCTAACAATCTACTTACCAAAAATGCAAACAATTAACAGCTGGAACCTGGAGATGAACGTGTCAATTTGGCAAAATAAAATGTTTTGAATACACGAAAAACTCAAAACATGTATGTAGTTTTCTGCTCCTCCAAACTTCAAAACTCGCTTCAAACTACCTTCAAATAACACATCAAAACTGTAAACGTCATTCAAGACCAGTGTTGTCAAATCAGCGTTGCCAGATGGATGAAACAGAATTTCCCCAGAACACATACAAGATTCCCGCAGATTTGCAACTTTGTTAAAAAAATCCCCCGAATCATATTTTACTAGTCGAGGAGGGAGGGGTGAACAGGTTGCACATGCTGGCTAATTGGAAGACCTCGAAGGAGTGGGATATGAAATAAAAAATAATATATCAATAATAATATTTTTCCAACGAATTGAGACTATTTTACCAACTTGTTGGGCCAACTTGTTTCTTGAGCCACGATAAACGATACGAACATTCGCTATCACTTCGCCATTTGGGGTTTTTGAAATCGCAGACCCGTGGAACTGCAAGACGAGCAATCGTTTTGTTTTTTCCCGAAATACGGGTGTGAGATACGGCTAGCTAAATCAAGGCCAGTTTACAACTTATTATTCTTCCGTATTCTTGTGATCTATGACCATGGATGCATGCACGAGAGATGTACGCTACGACCCTGTCTGTGATCAGATAACGTAAATATGCATTTAAGATAAGGCAATGTGGGGTTTTCACACACGTGTTATAGTGTAGTAGATGAAATACTAGTAATGATAGATATCTAGTGTGGATTGTTTGTGACTTGCTTTGACCACATAGTTTCAGACTTTTTCAATGGCTTAATACCAATGAAGTTTCTATTTCAATATTTTTACTTAACATTGAATCGTGTATTACATTCTAAGAATCCTGTATATTTAGTAGAAAAGCTAGTCCCTAGGTGGAGTATAGTATATAACTCGGCATTCCTGGTGCGGGAGCGTTCAATCTTCGGTCCGACTAGAATTACTAATTCACGCAATCTGAGTAGAATCATGTCATATTCTCCGCTAGATTATGCAGAAATGGATTACTATTATGATGCCGCCCTAGGAAATGCTCGGGCAGCTGCTCGCATGTATCGGGAGTATGTGGTTAGAAGAGGTAGACCAAATCCTGGGCGTTGGATAGGTAGAAGTGGACACATACGATGACCTCCAAGTTCACCCGATTTAAATCCTCTAGATTTCTTTATATGGGGGATTTATAAGGGGATAATCTATACATCTGAATATACAAATGTCCGACTTAAGGACAATTTTATTAGAAAGTGTTGCTTGTGTATAGAAAATAATGGAGGCCATTTCGAACATGTTCTTTAAAAGTTAGATAAAATAAATGATTTTCCACATTTGTCGGTAAATCGCCATAAAGAGCGGCTAAACACAATAGGTTCTGTACTTGTAGATGGTAAGGATTCTATTGCGTTTCTTACGTTTATCACATCACAACAACGAATGTGACATGATACACCAATCGTAGCAAGCTTAAATTTTCAGGGTTTATTCTACATGGATTGAAATAGTTTTTACAATAAAATGAATAATGAAATACAACCCGCGCCCCCCTCTAAATCCGCCACTGATCATTTTTTACTGTTTACGTTGAAATATATTCGTATGTGAAATCAGTATTTAGCTTTAGTGCAGTTGAGTGAGTGAGTTCTTGAGGTCTAGACTATAATGCATCATTAGTTATTTACGTATGTTCATGCACTTTATATTCCATGCACGCTGCTATCGGGTTCAGCGTTCACTGGTTCACTCCCACATTGGAATTAATCACAATTAGAAGACAGTAACCAAACCAGCGTAAGATGTGTCTGTTCGGGACTATTTTGAAACAATGGAACAGCTTGAAATATGCGACGGCTCAGTTATCATCATATCAAAGACAATTTAAGGAAGTGTCTATACCAGTTCCGTGGGGGCATGTATCAGGAAAATGGTGGGAACCTTATAATATCAGGCCGATACTTAGCTTACATGGATTGCAAGTGAGTACATTTTTTCTTCCTACGGCTACTGACCAGCAAGTATTGTATACGCGAAAAATTTAGAAATTGAGATATTACGTTTTTTGGATGGGTCTGAGCGTTTTTCCAAAAAAAACTGAGCTGCCAGTAAATGCGTCTGTTTCGTTTTCGATACGCCACCCTGTATATTAAATGAGCAAGAAACTATTTTTTCTTTGAATCCGGTACGGCACTGTTGACTTTGAATTACCTCACTGCACGTCAAAAAATGGAAGTGGCCGGTTATTGGGATGTTATGAAAACTCGTTCATTCCAGTAGTCGGACACAATTTCACTGGCCATAATCCACATTATTTGTTATCTTTGAAACCTACTACAAAGGTATAGGAAGTATGGAGTCAATGTATTCGACACCATTTTTTTTTGCTTTTCGTTGTTAATTTCGACGCCACTATACTGATTTTCAAAAACTACAGTAATTTTGTTCAAATCGACTTTTAGGATAACTGTGGCACCTTTGATAGACTTCTGCCCATGTTAGATAAAAACGTAGGATTTTTAGCTATCGACTTGCCTGGACACGGTCTTTCTTCTAGACTACCTCCTGGAATGTATTATAGCAGCAGTTGTTATTTGATTACTTTGAATTACATAAGAGATTTCTTGCAATGGGACAACATATCTTTCATAGGACATTCATTGGGTAAGTTTAATATTCACCTCCAATGATATGATATTAGGAAGATTTGAAGAATTTTTGGATCCGAATACAAAAGACGCTGGTATCAATAAGCATATGGCTTTACTGGACTACTAGACTTTCTCCATGAATACATGCACTGTTTCAAGTCGTACTGAGCGGTAGACGCGCACTTCGTCTTTGACTTAGAAAATGAGAAACTAAAGGAGATGAAATTTGTACTGATGTGGTAGATGAATCAGGAAGAGATGTTCGTTAACTATCTAGTATTTAATCGGACTCACATTATTCACCAGATTAAGCACATTTTAACTTTAATTTGTTTTCACGCTGTAAAATATGGAGAAACATCTGTGCATTTGATAGGGCAGTTTACATACTTAAATAGATGTCAAAACATCTGGTAAGTGGGCCGAACCACCGCAACCCATAAGGTTTACAGCATTCCAACAAAAACTAGAATAGATCATGAAATAATTTGGAGAAAATCATTTGTTGATTTGATTCTACATATTCTTGCCACTTTTTCTCCTCTACACTAGTTTTCATTTTGGAATCCTGTCTCAAATAAAGACGGGACAAAATTTAAACGAGTGTGCCCCCAGCTAACCGATATCGTATCTCTTACCGTTTCCGAGTTTTACCTCATTCTTTGATCTGCTGTCTGATGTTCATACGAGGAATGTCTTTTAAGTTTTGCATATAGAAACTTAGTAGGCCGCGCGGATCGTACGTCAGTACTGAATCTTAACCTCACTCTTTAGTAAACTTAAATTCAAAGTTTCACAACGATCCATGCAGTGATCTCACTACAGTGAATTTTTAATTGTCACCAAGTCATTAGAAAAATGGAACTCAACCGAGAACATTTTCGCGCCATAATTTATTACAACTTTCAGAGGCAATTATCGCAACAAGAATGTCTTGCTGAGTTACTGTCTGTTTTCGGTAACGAAGCGCCACATCAGTCGACAATTTCCCGTTGGTATGGAGAATTCAAACGTGGACGGGTGAGTCTTAGCGACGATCCCAGTGGGTGCACCAAAAACGGCAGTCACCCAGGAAAACGTCGATGCTGTGCGCAAACTCATCATTGAAGATAGACATGTGACATATCGCGAGATTGAGGCGTCCTTGCAGATCACAAAGACCTCAATTCAAAAAAATTTACATGAAGAATTAGGAGTAAGAAAATTAGTTTCTCGTTGAATACCCCACACAGCCCAAAAAACAAGGCAGTATTTAACGGAAGAAAACGTGGAATTATTGGACCATCCTCCATAGAGTTCCGATCTAAGTCCTAACGTTTTTTTTACTTTCCCGAAAATTAAAAACAGACTGCGTGGTCAAAGGTTCCAGTCACCAGAAGAAGCAGTCGACGTATTCAAAAATGCCGTTTGGATCTACCAGCAAACGAGTGGAATAAGTGCTTCAAAAAATTGGTTCGAGCGCATGCAGATGTGTATTAATCTTCGTGGAGAATACTTCGAAAGACAATAAAGTCATTTCAAACTACCTACCGTGTTGTTTTATTTCCATATGCAAAACTTAAAAGACATCCCTCCTATGAAGGTCAAACAAAACAGTGGAAATTATTAAGTGATTTTTTTAGTATTCTGCTTTTACAGGGGCACTTATAGCATACACATACTGTATGATGCATCAAGATAGGGTGGATTTCCTGATCTGCTTAGATGGATCAAAGCCCCTAGTCACAGAAAATTTCATTAAGCATATGGCTATGTTGTTAGACAAGTTTCTTGAGTACAATAAATTTGCCTTTTCTTTGGAAGAACCACCAAGTTACACTATAGATGAGATTAAACAGAAAATAGCAAAACCAAATGATAATTCAGTCGATTTGGAATATGCCCATTGTTTGATGGAAAGAAGCATAGCTCCTTCGAAACTACATCCAGGTAAGGTATGCTTTCATATTCAACCAGGCCAGACAGCAAAACCTAAAATACCGGTCTTTTGAATTGGTTGTAGATCTAGAAATAGAATAAAAACTACATCCAGTTGTCAACAACATACACGATACGATTTGGCCTTTTGAAACGGCTTGTCTCATCCCTTTTCGGGAGCCGAACATAATCCATTATGAACTGATTGCGAAGATGATGTGTAGAGTCAACCTACTTGACGCCATTATTCAGTAGTCGTTGTACCTCGGTATTTAGGTTTTCGCCTCACAGAAAATGCATTCGATAAAATGAACAAGACACTTTTTTCGCAGGAAAATACTACATCACGAAGGATCCTCGTCTGAGAATCGGAGAAGTAATGTCATTTTCTCACGAACAACTGATCCAAAGTGCTCGATACTTGACGTCTCCAATCTGCATCATCAAAGCGACAGGATCGTCGTATTACGAGGACAAAAATAACTTTTACAAAGTGATAGATTTAGTGAAAAGGGCGAGTAGGGATTTCGACTTTCACTATGTGGATGGGACGCATCATGTGCATTTGAATCATCCTGAAAGAGTGGCTGGAATCGTCAATAGCTTTATTGGGAGGCACAATGTGACTGCCTAGCGAAAATAAAAAAAAAACATTTCGAGGAAAATTATTTTTTACTGATACCCGTCAAGTATTACCCTGGTCCGAAAACTCTGGGAGGCCCAGGTATACCCGACTCGGATTCTCGGGTCCGAAGACCCTAACTGATAATTTTTTTTTGAAAACAATATATTACAAAAAATACAGTATTATAAAATATAATAACATTCAATTCCCTTTCAAAAACACTGGCATCGAGAATAACAACATTCTAAATGTGCTTATTACTAATTACAATATTTAACTACAAATACAATGTGTTATGTGCTCAAATATGATCTTTTAATTTCTTTGCAAAACAGTTAAAGCTATTGCTACTGCTTTTTATTCTATTTGGCAATTTATTGTATGCATTTGATGCTTGCGATATGGGATTATTCAAACCTATGGATGTACTAACATTATACATGTAGATATATCTATATATGTGTTCTAGTATTATATTTGTGTATGTCATTTGTAAATTGAATCTCAGTATTGCACTTTAGGGCTTTAGTAATTACTTTATGAATAAATTTACATTGTTCTAGCTCAAGAAGCTAATTTAAGTTAAAGATTTCAATTCCTTGTACAGCTCAGGTGTATGTGTAAACCAATACAGATTGAATAAAACCTTCAAAGCCTGATTTTCAACCCTTTGTACTTTATTATAATTTACCTTCCCATTATTACCCCATACAGTAAGAAGGGTACATAAGACATGTTAAAAAATAAGCATTGTAAATATTATATTTAACTTTAATTGTAAAAAATTATCTATTTTTATATAGGGCACTAATCATTGAAGTGATTTTTTTTATTACATGTTCATTCCAGTTTAAATTCTCGTCGACCATTAACCCTAAATATTTTATACAGGTAGGTTGTCCTAAACTTACATCATTAATTTTGATCTTTGGTACAACTATACTTTTATTTTTCTGCTTAAACAGCATAAAATTATCTACATTCATCTTCAACTTATTATATAACAGCCATTTATAGTACACATCTAAATCATTATTTATCACAGTTTCCAACCTTACTTTACTATCTCCTGAATATAACAATACAGTATCATCTGCAAAGGTAAAATAGTCACAATTAAGATTAGCACAGCGCAAACTTAAAACATAAAAAGAATATAAAAGAGGTCGCAAGACAGACCCTTGGGGTACACCGTAAGGATTTGATAGATACTGACTGTTGTTATTACGTATTTTGACATATGTCTTTCTATCGACTAGATATGATTCCAATAAATTATATAATGCTCCTCTAAATCCCATACCTTTAAGCTTTTGTAGCAAAATATCAAAACTTACTACATCAAATGCCTTGCTAAGGTCTACAAATATTGCAATTACAATTTTCCTATTATCTAATGGCGTTGCTATTTTATTTACAAGATCCATGGTTGCACTCAATGTATTACTACCTTCTAAAAAACCATACTGAAATTTGCCCATGGTAATGTATTTATTTATAAACGCTAACATTATGTTTTTTATTATAAGTTCTATTATTTTTTAAGTACACTAATCACTGAGATTGGCCTGTAATTGTTCATCAAAGCTTCATTGCCTGATTTGAATATCGGAGTCATTTTACTTATTTTAATAATATCTGGAAAAATACCACTAGTAAGCACACTATTAACCAAATTCATTAACACATCTACAAGATATTCTTTCAGGTTCAATAAATCACTAACAGTGATCCGGTCATGTCCAGGAGCAGATGTTTTCTTGAGGTCCCTAAGTATGTCCAAAATTTTTGTTCTGTTTGTTTTTTCAGTGAAGCAGCTATTACCACAGTGAATTTCATCAAACTTAGAATTTGCACCAATACTTTGTCGATAGATGTCTATATTAGAAACTGTGTTTTTATCAACCTCTGCAAAGTGTTTGTTCAGCTCATTTACTATAGCGACTGGATCCGTAATGGTAACGTTGCTCACTATAAGGGATTCAATACTTGTTTCATTATCTGTTTTTTAGAGCATGCTATTTACTAGTTTCCACTGCTTTTTTGCACTATTACCATCTTCGTTCCATTTCTTTCTAAAGTGATAATTTTTTAGGACTTTTATTTTGTTGTTGACTTATATTGAGATTTGGAAGTGATTCATTGACTAATACTGATCTGGAGATACCTCAGTGTATACAATGTGCGCAATTTATTTAAAAAAACATAGGATGTCAACCTAACACACAAGTAGATGAGGATGCAAGGCTCACCTAGTTTGCTGCACAGGTATCCTGTTTATCTCACAAGAGTTGGAAGTAGACCTAATTTCCATTTTGGAGACACTTGACACCCGCGTCACAACACTAAAACACCACTGAGAGACAATCGAGAACCCTATAGTGAACACCACTACTGAAAAAAAGTAGCTAAAACGGAATAGAGTTCTGCACGGAGCTGTGAATGCGTAGACATTTCACTGCGTCGACGGTTGCCGAGAGACTGAAGACTGATGTACCTCGCTGCGGCAATACAGTCCGGCCGCCGGCCGGTAGTACAGGCACGCCCCTTTCCAGCTCCCACTTCTTATCTGACAGTATACAGTATCACGAAGCGACTCGATGTTTACGTCGACCGGGAGCAGACGCGCGGAGTGGGAGCTGGAAAGGGGCATGGCTGTACTACCCGGTCGTACCGAATCGCCGCAGCGAGATACACCACACACACGCTTCAGTCATTAACGTTCCGCCGCATAGGCGCCAGGCGACACGAAATGTAAATAACAGCTTTTTTTTAGTTTTTTGGCAAACATTGCTATGCTTCAAATTTTATGTATCTCGCTTGGTATTCCTCAATATTTTATTCAAATCTTCTTTTTTTTATAACATTCTAGCAAAATTGTCCAAAGAGCCGGCAACGCCGCAATCTAGATGATAAGAATGCCAAGCTCAACTGCCAAAACGTATGTCTATCCCGGGGTAACGACGGAGTCATTTAGTACGTCAAACGGCATTTTTCCAATCTTCATTTGCATTTTTTAAGCGGTGTGCTAATTGTGGGGTGTCGAACGTTATATACTACGTTGGAAGAATCGTGTGGGGCCCGCATTATCTTTATTCGGGACGATCCGTCGAATAAAAAATCTGCAGTTCTGATCTGTCACCACCAGCGTTCTTAAGAACGTTTTTGTCGACAAACGGCTACTTTACACCCCAGATACATGAATAACTATTGGATACGTCACTGATCGTCAAACGTGACAGTCAAGTCCAAGGTCAAATTTTGACACGTGTTACGTAATTTGGGGTTAAGTTCAAGGTAATACGAGTTTTAACGTTGTTTACATGGCTTCTGTATTTGTAATAATTTAATACGTCTACAAATTGAGCAGAGGCGAACAAAGAATGTTTCCGCTGAGGGTTATTCTTAGAAAATCCTGCAGCTTGAAGGGTGTCGCTCAGCTATCGTCCTATCAAAGACAGTTCAAGGAAATATCTATTCCAGTCCCTTGGGGGCACGTAGCAGGCAAATGGTGGGAGCCATACGATGTCAGGCCGATACTTAGCTTACATGGGTGGCAAGTAAGTATTATGTTTGCAGGTCATTAAACACTATGGGGTATCATGATTCCATAAGCATGTGCGCAGTCTGGGACTCTTTGGATGCCTTGAAGCTACTGCCAGGATTACTTATGAATATTTCTGATCCTGCATGATGAATTTTTGCACATTTAAACTTATAATTTCATTTTTTGGCTACAATGATGCAAACATTTATCTATACTTATTTTCGAAATTATTGATATGGTGTTCATTTTTTATCTATATTGAATCTAAGCTGATAAATTGCTTCATAGTCACCAATCAATGATGCAATTGCAATGACAGTGCATTCTATGATGATTCAGATTTTTTGTGCATAAAAATACCTTGTCAAAAAAGTTATGTTGCAGCTATTTTATTATGTTTGTGATGTTATTCTTGACAGCTTGTATTGTGACAATAAAAAAAATCCTAGTCACAAAATATTTGTATTATGGATTATGCAATGTATCATCTAAACTTATCATGAGATTTTTATGCTGATAAATATCCATATTTCTTGGCTAATAAATAAAAGCACATATGTAGGTATAACTTTTTACCAACATTTTGGCTATCAAGGTTGTGGAACCACATATATGGTATCAGGAAACATGGAGATTTATCCAACTTGGCAAATAGAAAGTCCATTTAAAATTCCATGTGGTTTGTTGGCCCTTTCAATGAATTTTTGAGAATCCTAAATAGTCACTTATAGTGGAACAGATCAGTTCAGTCTGTAGGGTCATATCATTAATTTGTCTGGTTGAATGTATTCAATAGTCTCTGATAGTCAGAGATTCCTTGTTGGAAAGAACCAAATATTTAAGATTAATTTACTTGATAATTTTAGGATAATTGTGGCACTTTTGATAGGTTGCTACCTATGTTAGACAAAAACGTAGGATTTTTGGCTATTGACCATCCTGGACATGGTCTTTCTTCTAGACTGCCTTTTGGAATTTACTACCACTTCAGCAGTTATTTGATCACTATTAACTTCATAAGAACTTTTATGAACTGGGACAGTGTATCATTTTTAGGACATTCACTAGGTAAGATAGTCATATAAAACTTGTACACCAACTTTTGATCAACTATTTTACATCAAAGTTCCACGACTATTTCAACCTGCTGAAAAGTCAGGTAGTATGAATATCTGTTTAGCTGTAGTGGCAACACTGTATGCTTTGTGATATAATTTTTTTTGTGCCAAAATTAAAGTTTCTTAAAAATTTGGTATTAATATTTTAGCAGCATTCTTGTTTTTTGCTACAAAACAGGTTAACACAGATTTTGATGCTACCAGCAAAAACAAGTAGTCTCAATAACGACCGGGGTCTGACTGCTGGATAGACGCACCAGGGTTGCTAGGTTTTTAGTCACGTTGGTCGCCAATTTCTTATAAAAAAATCGCCAGATTTGCCAGCCCTTAAGCCATGCCTGGCAACCCTGAGACGCATGAGTATAGAAATTTCACAGTGTTGTCACTTCACCCTAGTATTCCAAGATCCTTATACTTTTTCTGTCAATCCCAAAAAATACATTCTTATGAGACAAATGCTGCAGATGTTCTAAATGATTATATTCTTTATGAACAGGTGGAATTTTGTCATACACATACAGCATGCTGTATCCAGAAAGAGTAGACTTTGCAATTTGCTTAGACGGTGCAAAGCCTATGGTCAGAACAAACAGCATAAAACGTATGGCTGATGCCTTAGACAAGTTTCACAAATATAGTGCATTTGCTGATTCACTAGAGGAGCCACCCAGTTATACTATAGACGAAATTAAAGAGAAATTAGCAAAGCCCAACAAAAATTCAGTCGAGTTGCAATACACCCATTTTTTGATGGAAAGGAATATAGCACCTTCAAAGAAACATCCTGGTAAGCAAAAAACGTTTATCCAGCGACAGTAATAGCTTTTAGTCAAAATGATAATATATTCTATATTTAACTGTCTTCCAAGTGGACAGTTCACTTGTTTTTACTTCCCAGGCCTACTAGCGGGGAAGCATTGTAATCGCGTAAATTCAGATATTGTTTTTTGTTATATTATTACATGTACATCATGAAAAACTACTTGATAAGTAACCACTTGGATTTTGATGAAATTTTCACAAGAGGTTACTACTATGCCAAGCATGAAAAAGCGTTGTAGTTTTTAAAAATCCGTCTAGTGGTGCCGGAGCTAAGTGCAAAAACACGAACAAAAAAATAAAAATCGCCCAAGCTTCGTTTTTTTGGCGTTTCAGACGATCCTGACTATTTTAGGAAAATGTTTTGTAGGGATTAAAAATTGGGGAGACGGACAATTTGAACAAAGTTTTCAAAGTGGGCAGTAGACGAAATACATTTCAGAACCTCTTAACCTCTTCACAGGCAAATACTACTTCACGAGGGACCCCCGTTTGAAACTTGGTGAACTACTATCATTCTCCCAAGATGAGCTAATAGAGCATGCCCAATATATGACTTCTCCAATCTGCATCATCAAAGCCAAAGGATCGTCATACTACGAAATCAAGGAGAATTTTTACACTGTTCTGGACGTGTTGAAAAGGACGAGCAGGGATTGCGACTTTCAGTATGTGGAAGGAACGCATCACGTTCATTTGAACTACCCTGAAAGAGTGGCTGGGATCGTCAATAGTTTTATAGAGAGGCATAACGTGGCTGACAGAGCTTCAGGGGGTATGGTAGAGAAAATGGTTGTGCAAAATTAAATATTTGAAGGAAATGCGTACACTAATTGAAGCAAATGAATATATATTTTGTCGTACTTCAAAAAGAGGTACAACACAATATGTTCATGAATAACTTTTTCTTGAAGGTCCTCTGATATTTGTATTATCAAAAATATTGTATTTATCAGGCATAACAGATCGCTGAGTTCATCCTAACTGTACTGCTGCCTTTGCGGTTTTTGTTTTGAAGTGGAGGAGTTATGATAAAAAATGGATATCGAAATTAGTTGACGTTGGTCTTGATACCCCATAAAAGCTGCAACGGGAAAGCTAGCCTAACAGGTGGCGCTAGTTAGGCTAGGGGCGATATCCGTCATACCTACAGTATATTCACTGAATCAAACCAGTTACGTCACAACGTCAAATAATGACAGTGACGCACATGGTTGCCACATTACTTAAAAGTACTAGATCCTAGGAAATAAACAATAGCCTTTGTAATTACCTCATTTGCGACAGAAAACTGTTATCAACATAAATGTACCCAGGAAATTCAACCTATACGTACCAATTTAGGATCTATTTTGCATTAATTCAAATTTACTAAATATGGCGTAACTGCTTTATTTCAGTGAAAGGACTATAATGTCCAATACCAATTGCTGATCAGCTCTTTACGTCAATATCTGAAAAAATATCTTACCTTTCTGTCAAATTGTATTTTTGCTATCTTTGTTAGAAGGCTGTGACTTCCAACCACAGAAGCGCCGCCTAGCGTTGTGGGTATTTCAAATGCTAGTTGATATTGCTAACTAGTCATTTTGAGGTATTAACTAAAATCCAGTGTTTTTTGATTAATTGATTAATATGGGAAAGTTAATGTTAGAACAGTATTTTTTCTTTGTGTGTTATTTTATTGTTTTTTGGAAATTGTGGTGCAATGTTGTTGAGCATGTTAGAAAATGTCATACCAAGCAAAAAATGATATTTTTTTATCAAAATGTGTGTGACGTGTTTTAATTTTGAAGAACTAATCATATTTTTGATACGCAAAAAACTTTTTGTACACGTGAAGTCGAGTATCTTAACGAACAACAACACGAAATCTCTAACAATTTTGCTCATTATACGAGTATCTTTGTGATTGTACCTTCTAGTTTTGAGTGCTGAAAAATGTCCAAACTGATAACTTATTTGTAAATATTGTTGACAATAAAATATACGTTGAATAGATATGTTTGTTTTATTTCTGTAACTTGTCTTTTACATCCAGTGTACAATTACATAGTGATCCATAAGACCTGCTTTAAGCCATAACATCTATGTACCATAAATACCTCTGTTTAGGTACTTGACATTGCATTTATAATACACTTAAATACTTACTTTCAATGTGGATATATCTATACGAATTGTACCTAAATTAAAACTAAGTTCAAGGATAAAGATTATTTGATACAGTTATATAAGAGGAAATAAAGGGTAGTCCTAACAAGCACCCAAGTACATGGATTGTAGGTGTGTCTTTGTTGAAGTATACTTGATAATATGTATGTGATAATAATATGTATATACAAGGTGATTCGAAAAACAATGAAAATATTTCTAAAGTCCATAAAAGCTCCTTAAAATATCGGGTTTTCCAATCGGGACTTGACAACTTTGAACTTTCACTGTGAACGCACCTTTAAATCGATTACCGAACTGTCAATGCCAAAACATTCAGTAAAGGAAACATTTTTATCGGATTGGGCTCTAGAAATGTTGCAAGAAAATGACCAACTTCATCGCAAAATCATCTTCAGTGATGAGGCGCATTTTTGGCTAAACGGCTTCGTCAACAAACAAAATAAGCGTTATTGGTCATGTGCTTCAAGAAACACCACTTCATCAACAAAAAATAACTGTATGGTGTGGTGTCATTGGGAAGTTTTTTTGTTCGTTGATGAAAATGGCCGTCACGTTACAGTCAACAGAGATCGCTACAGAGACACGTTGCAACGTTATTTTTCTGGTCAATTGCATCGGCTAGATATTAATGATACGTGTTTTCAACAAGACGGTGTCACAAGCCACACAGCGGGTGAAACAATCGACATATTGAAATCAAAATTCGGTGAACGTTTTATATCGAGAAATGGTCAAGTGGAATGGCCGCCTAGATCGTGTGATTTAACACCTCTAGACTCTTTTTTGTGGGGTGGACGTATGTACGAGGTGGAATTACATACATAAATGTTTAACCAATAATAAAATTTTCGAGATATCTTAAATGGTTTGTGTTTACAAGTTGTCAAGTCCTTAATGGAAAACCCGTTAGATCCCCATCATCAAAATGCAAGGTTTTGTAAATCTGTATGCCACTGGTGATACTCTTTAAGAACAATGCATGAATATGCAATTGCATTCTCCTTGTTCAATGTTGTCGAGTTTAGAAATTTTTTTTTTTTTTGAAATGTGTGAGGTCAAGTGTGTCCAATTTCTAATTCACTGGGGATATTCCAGGACACGTTTTACGAAAATTTTGCATTATTTTTGAACCGACTTTCTGCCATATAAAGTTTTCTGAATCACCCTGTTTAGATCAAAATTAACACAGCATACAACCCCAGCATCTTGAAGGTACAATTCGTTTACAGCAAAAACACGGCAGCGACGCCACAACTATGTGCTTTTTCAGATCTTCGAGCCACAGCAGATCACAATATTATACAAGGTGTTTTTCGCCATTATTTTGACGTCCCTGCCGTATTTCCATACGAACCAATACATTACAAACAACATTTACTGAGAGCATCAATACAATTACCTACGACAATCCACCGTTGACTACTTAAAAAAGAGTATTCGAGCTTAGCATCTGGTTTCGTAAAGGCCGCTTCTGCCGATGTATCGCACCCATTTGATGACGTCATGGTCCGAATAGTTCAGTTTCGGCTCGAACACTTTCAAGTAGCGCACTTTGAAGCCGGAAGGAGCAAACGGTACCTCGAAGTTCATCGAGATCGGGGGACGAGTCCACTTTTTCTTTGTGTCGGTCTCCAGGAGCTCTATCTCGGCCGAGAGTTGCGTTTCTTTCATACCGGCCATCCGTTTTATTCTGGAATGGGTTGGCGTTTTTATTTTGTTCCGCGACCAACAAATTTTGGGGCTTTCAATGATGTTGTCAAGGTCGGAACCTAAATTTGCAAAAATATCGTCGAGGTTTCTGTGAGTTTGCACCTTGAAGATACAGTAATGGACAAAAGTATATAGACAAATTAACTTACGAACGAACAACGCTTGCAAATTATTGAATTTTACTATCAAAATTCATGCTCGGTTAAGAGAGTGCATCGAGCACTGCTTCCAATTTATGGGCAATTTGGTCGGTCTACTCAGGGAGCTATTCGGAAGCTTGTGACTAAATTTCGAACCCAGTTTACAGTATTGGACATTAAACCACCAACACGCAGACGTAGAGTGAGGACTGAAGAAAATATTGCGGCTGTATCCGCCAGTGTTAGTGATGACCGTGAAATGTCGATTCGCCGCCGTTCGCAGCAATTGGGCCTCTGTTACTCCACTACGTGGAAAATTTTGCGACAGGATTTGGGTGTAAAACCTTATAAGATACAGCTGGTGCAAGAATTGAAGCCACACGACCTTCCACAACGTTTCCAATTTGGTGAATGGGCGCTGGCAAAGTTGGAGGAAGATCCACATTTTTATCGAAAAATTGTGTTCAGCGACGAAGCTCATTTCTGGTTGAATGGGTACGTTAACAAGCAAAATTGCCGCATCTGGAGTGAAGACCAGCCAGAAGCATTGCAAGAGCTACCAATGCATCCCGAAAAAATCACTGTTTGGTGTGGATTATGGGCCGGTGGCATCATCGGGCCGTACTTCTTCAAAGACGACAATGGCCGGAACGTACCTGTGAATGGCGAGCGCTACCGTGCGATGATAACAAACTTTTTTTTGCCCAAAATGGAAGAGCTGGACTTGGCTGACATGTGGTTTCAACAAGACGGTGCCACATGCCACACCGCACACGAAACAATGGCCCTATTGAGAGGCAAGTTCGGTGAACAGTTTATCTCACGTTTGGGGCCCGTCAATTGGCCGCCTAGATCGTGGGATTTAACGCCGTTGGTCTATTTCTTGTGGGGCCATGTTAAGGCTAATGTCTACAGGGATAAACCAGCAACGATTGACGCACTGGAAGCCAATATTGAGGCATTTATTCGTGAGATACCGGCCGATATGTTGTAGAGAGTGTGCCAAAATTGGACCTTGCGCATGGGCCATCTAAAGCGGAGCCGCGGCCAACATTTACATGAAATAATCTTTAAATTATATCGACCGTTCTATCGACTCAAATAAAGATTTAATCGTTTTTTTCAAATGCTTTGTGTTTTTTTTTGAAAATCAAATCCTATACCTCTTAAAAAATCATCCGTTAGAACTGCGAAAAGCCTTCTCTTGTAAATTGTTCCACTATCTCGACACTCTGGGGACAAAGCAGCGATCCAGACGTCATGGAGGAGAGGAATGAACGGCTCTTTGGCAGAACTTGGCCATCCATCGAAACCGGATGACGCTGGGACGCTTTTATTTCGTTTTGTGTTTTACAAGCTTTAAACTGTACAAGAAAGTGTGTACGAGGTTTGTTCAATGGATCATAGAATTTGTATTAAATTTTTTGTAAAAAACAACTTGAAGTGCGCGGACCTATTCCAAATGTTGACTGTTGCATACTGCGAAGCTACTTTGGACAAAAGCAACGTTTATCGGTGGTACAAAATGTTCTCAGAGGGCCGAGAAGATGTGAGCGACGAAATGCGTTCCGGACGCCCGATAACGTCAACAACAGACGAAAACATTGATGAGTTCTTGCCGCAGGGTAGAACGGTCAATAAGGAATATTACCTTCAAGTAATTCGCAATTTGCGAGAAGCAATCCGCCAGAAACGCCCGGATTTGTGGAAGAACAAAAATTCGTTTTTGCACCATGATAACGCCCCTGCTCATGCATCGTTACTTGTGCGCGAATTTTTGGCCAAAAAAAACACTTCAATAATCCCCAGACCTGGCCCCCTGTGACTTTTTCTTCTTCCCGAAACAGAAGCGGCCCTTGAAAGGGATAAAGACGGCATCGAAGGAGGAACTGAACAAGATCACAAAAAATTACTTTTCAAAATGCTTCGAGGATTGAAAAAAACGTTATCACAAGTGTATAATGTCTGATGAGGATTACTTTGAAGGGGACAAAATTGATATTCATGAATAAATAAATAATTCTAGCAAAAATATGAAATTCGCGATACTTTTTGAACAAACCTCGTATATAAAAACTAACTTTTAACTTTTACGGCCTTACGCGGAATATGACACGATTTAATTCAGTGACAAAAGCGGAATGTCACATCTGAATTAAAATTTTTCCCAAACTCAAATTGCTGATTTGACCAACCAGCGTCGCCAGTCGTATGTAACTTCCCCTTAAGGGCTACAGTATGAATTCTGGAATTTGGAATAGATCTAAATATCTATAACTAAAAGTAGTAGTAGTAGTACTATACTAAGTGACATATAAATCCGAACACCCAGTTTAAATGGTTTTATTTTAATAAAAGTTGGTGAATGTATTTATCTTACTGTAAATAACAAGTGAAAAAATGTTCAGCCTCATCAGTTGGACATTCCGGTTTTTATACTGCTTTTTTTTTAATTCACTAACGCTCTAAAAATGAATATTTCAGCTGCAGTAAAGAATCAACGTTGGCGGATTTTGGTTCTTGATATCCTTTACGATCGGTTACGATGCCTAGAGTACGGAGACCTGTACGATTTCGTCAACTTAGTGAGTTTGATAGGGGCCGTATAGTGGGACTTCGGGAAGCTGGACTTTCTTTTCGGGCAATTGCAGTTAGAGTGCAAAGAAGTGTAGACACTGTGGTTAGATGTTGTCAGGCATGGCTTCGAGAAGGCCGTACGCAAAGAGCAGGGGGCACTGGACGCCGCCGTAGAACAACGGACCGTGAAGATCGCCGCCTAAGATTATTGGCCTTAAGGGACCGTTTCTCCACTACCAGGTCCATTGCAAATGAATGGTTTGCAGAACATGGAAGACCTATTGGTATGCGAAGTGTTTACCGACGAATGAGAAGTTTTGGCTTGTTTTCATACCGGCCACACTGGGTCCTCCCTTTAACTCGAGAACACCGACGTAATCATCTTGAGTGGTGCAGACAACGGTCACTCTGGGATCAGGAATGGAACAGTATTGTCTTTAGTGACGAGTCTCGATTTTGTTTAAGCATGCACGATGGTCGTGCCAGGGTTAGAAGGCGACGTGGTGAAAGGAGGAATCCACAGTTTTTTGTTGAAAGACATGTTCATCACACTGTTGGAGTTATGGTTTGGGGTGCTATAGCTTATGGTTCCAGGTCACCTTTAATCTTCATCAGAGGTAACATGAACGCGCAGCGTTATATCCACGAAGTTCTAGAACCCCATCTTTTACTCTATCTCGACACCCTGGCAGATCCAACTTTCCAACAAGATAATGCCCGACCACATGTTGCAAGAGTCACAATAGACTTCTTTCAACATAATGATGTCACATTGTTACCATGGCCACCAAGATCTCCCGACTTATCCCCAATTGAGTACGTGTGGGATATGATGGATAGGAGATTGCTCAATTTGCAACGTCCTCCTCAGACTCTACGTAGTCATGCCATAAGTTCTGTCCCTCGTTTTCAAACAAGTGTAGACCTGTTAATACTTGTCCGATTGTTTACATTGTGGTTTCAGTTGATTAAGCGCTTTTCGGGTAATTACATATACCTCAGTTTGTATTGATCTTTCGAAGCATAACGATGGAGTGGGGCAAGGCAGAGAACCGTATTGCAGTGATAGCTTTACATAAGTGTAATCACAGTGCTAGTCAGATTTTTGAACTCTTACGCGGCCTTCAAATATCGCGTAAATTTGTGTCTAGGACCATTCAGCGGTACAATGAGACGTCCTCTGTTGATGACAGGCCAAGAAGCGGAAGACCTCGTCAAGTAAGGACTCCAGCAGCCATCAAAGCCGTAAAAGCCAGGATTCAAAGGAATCCACTCCGGAAGCAGAAGATCCTATCCAGGGAAATGAAGATTCCTGTCCGGACGATGTCGCGCATCATTAAACAAGACCTAGGGCTAGGGGCTTACCGGAGACGTACGGGCCAGCGACTTACGGCCACCTTGCGACACATCAGGGCGACAAGATCCAAGAAGCTCTTGGAGAGGTACGCAGCTGGGGGATTCCGAAAGATTTTGTTCACGGATGAGAAAATCTTCACCATAGAAGAAAAATTCAACCGACAAAATGACAAAGTGTATGCAAGGAGTTCACAGGAAGCTTCGGAGATCATTCCGAGAGTTGAGAGAGGCCACCACCCTGCGTCAGTCATGGTTTGGTGGGGGGTGTCGTACGAAGGGGTCACTCAGCTCCATTTCTGTAAACAGGGCGTGAAAACAAAAGCGGCAAACTATCAGAGCGACATACTGGATCCTATCGTCAAGCCTTTAAGTGTTACATTGTTTGCCAACCAACACTGGGTCTACCAGCAGGATTCCGCCCCCGCTCACAAGGCTAAGAGTACGCAGCGCTGGCTGGAAAGCAATGTGCCAGAGTTCATTGCTGCGGAAGATTGGCCCTCAGGGAGTCCGGACCTCAATCCTTTAGACTACAAGTTGTGGGACCTGCTAGAGCAGTTGGCCTGCTCCAAAGCCCACCGTAATATCGAGTCCCTGAAAGCGGATTTGATCCGATCAGCGGCAGCTATTCCTTTGGAAGCTGTGCGTGCAGTGATAGATGAGTGGCCCGCGAGATTGAAGCAGTGTGTGAAGGCCAAGGGGGGACATTTTGAATAAAACTGTTTGATTATGAATTCTAAAAATGTTGTCGAATAAATAATATCTTTCATATAAATATATCTTATCTTGTTTCATTTTTATCATGAAATTATCATGGGACAGAACTTATGGCACGACTACGTAGAAGCACTTCGAGAGGAGTTGGTGGTTGCCTGGAATGAGATACCACAGGAGGACAATGACCACCTGATCAGAAGCATGCCTAGGCGCGTCAAAGGGCTTTAAAGCAGTGCAATCATTTACTTATTATGCTTCATTAAGTAATTATACAAAATTTTATTAAAATAAAACCATTTAAACTGGGTGTTCGGATTTATATGTCTCTTAATATATTTGTTGGCCATGCTGATACAGGTTTGATTATCTAATTTGTTTTTTTTAATTTCTACGAAAAAAATGCACTCTAGGAAAAAACACAAGAGTAATTATTTGTAGCAAATTGAAGGTAAAATTCGAAAAATAGCGCGTTTAAAAAAAAAACAGTGGCATACTATTTTTATTTGGAAAGATAATGCCACTAATCTCCTGTATCTCCCTCACTGGTGCACATTTATCTTAAGTAGACTTTTGAATGTGGACAATATTTAGGTAATTCTACATACCAAATTTTAGTTCAATCGATTTGACGATTTTGAAGATGTTAAAAAAATTGTTTTTTATTTTCAAACTTCAACACCCCGTATCTTTTTGAAGCCCTAGAGGAAAAAATGTTACATCGAAGACCCCCCTTAAAATGCGGCCCTGTGTATGATTTTGGTCACGACTTGTGTATAAAATACTGCTCAAAGAGCATTTATACACCGAGGATTTGTAAATTATGGAAATTTTGAAAACAGACGCGTATGATTACGTGCGAAGCATCGAGTCAATCTACTTGACTGCAAATACAATTACTTACTTCCAGACGATAGCATTCTCGGAAGCCTTGTACTTGGCTTTCCCTTTCAAGCAAATCAATTGAACGCCGGACGTGTTAAGAGGTGTAGGAATCTTGACTTCGATTTTTTGCCCTAACAACGACGGCTTGAAGTTACTCTTCAGTACCACCTTGACCTCCATCTTGGTGCGACCGACTTCGCGCACCAATGGGATTACTCTGAACGGTAGCGAAATGTCCTTGGTCGTACGATATCTGAAAAAAAAAAATGCGTTATGAAACCCTTGTATTATCGTAAGTTATGTACTTTGGCTCGTTCTGTACAATATAATTATTATTGCATCATGTTGGTGTCATTTCATATCCTTCTGCTATGTAGTAGTTATTAGATTCATTTGAGGAAAATAAAGTGGTTTCTTAAAAACCCCCGTTCGCCCCTGGCAATCAATTGGTACAGGGTCCGTCAGAAAGGACGCATGCTTTTTAAATGAGTACTACCGTCAAAATAAGTATGGGGAAAATATTTTATTATATCAAAATACTCAGAAATACATGCTATTTTTTTGAGTAAAACAAAATTTACGTTCTAAAAACTATGTCGGCCATATGGTGCCCTTGAGCCGAAATGCAGCAATCAAGCCTCTCCCGAAATGAGCCCGTTGCGTCGGCGAGCATCCGTGCAGGAATTTGGGTTACTTCACTTCTAATTTCCTCCTTCAAATCGACGAGGGTCCGAGGCTTGCTTTGGCAAACTTTTGATTTCAGGAAGCCCCATAAAAAAAATCACACGTTGACAGGTCCGGGGAGCGAGGGGGCCTTGGTATATCGCCATGACGTCCCGGGAACTTTTGCCGAAGAAGTTCGACCGAAGTGCGAGCTGTGCGAGATGTTGCCCCGTCTTGTTGGAACCACACTGTTCTGAGACGGTCACGTCGACGTCGAAGTTCCGAAAAAAAAGTTGTTCAGCATGTGGATGTAACGCTCTGACTACACGGCAACTGTTGGGGGTTCACTGGAGACGAATATCGGCAATTTTGTTTATTGACGTATCCATGTAAATGAAAATGAGCTGTGCAGAATTAACACGTTGTGCATAATCCCCTGGCATCAGTTGTTGATTGGATTTTGTAAGGATGGAACACTAAATCCTTCATCAAGATGCGACGTACAGAGGTCGCGTGGATTCCTAGGGAACTGGCACGCAAACAGACGGAACGATTCGGGCTTTGCAGCGTGTCAACTCTCACTCTGTCTATGTTTTCGGGGGTTCTAACAGTACGGTTTCGCCATACGGCTCTTTTTTTTCATCACATTACCTGTTGTGTTGAATGCTTCCACTCATCTCAAAATGGTGTTATGGTCTGGTAATGTCCCACGACGTGGAACACTAAAGTGAACGCGAAACTCACGTTGTGTTCGAACGTCATACTCGCCATTTTGAATTTACCGACGTACAGTGAACACACGATGCCCAACGTTCCAAACCATCTTGCCAACTAAAACGGCACTTCTCCCACTATCCAACATGCGTTCTTTCTGACGGATCCCGTATAAATATTTTTAGGCCATGATTCACATATTCCTCAAGAAGATACTCAGATTCACAGGGTCCGGTACAAAGGTTGGACGGTTTTTGGACAATCACAATTCGGTTTCACAATGAAACAGCGTTTGTCACAAATCAAGGGTGGAAATCAGTCATGTGGTGACCGTTTTTGACAATGCATTGCTGGAGGCGTTTTTGAAAGTTCGCGTAGACTCTCTAAAACATCGTTCTCTCAACTTCGGCGACTTCCACGCGAATTGCTTCCTTAAACTCGTCTAGAGTTAGGGGTTTGCGCTCGTATACTCGAGAATTGAGGTGTCCCCATAGGAAAAAATCGCAGATGGGTAAATCTGGGGACTGAGGAGGCCCACGAACATCACCTGGAAATAAGGCGACCACGGAAGGGAGGGCGAATAACGTTCATAGTTGCTCTGGCTGTGTGGGCAATCCTTTGTGCGGGACCCTGTATAAAACGTCATTTTTCGGCAGGCTATATGAGATTATTCAACTTTGATGTAAAAAATCACGATACTAGCTTAGGTATTATGAAAAGTTACCTCATCAGTTCGAATTCTCCGTCCGGCGGTATAAAACTAATGGAATGTTCAGTTTCAAACTTGCTCAGTTTGACACATTGATGGAACTGGCAATCGTCGATCACAACGACTGGTTTACCAGAACGCGCTGAATCAGAGTCCGGACCACTACCTGTTACGCCTACTCCACCTAAATAAAATGAGAAACATAAGAACATACACTTCTTCATTATAATTTGCTATACAGACGGGTCCAAACATCTGTCACACAAACATAATGATCCTCATGTCTTATTTTGATATGTACAAAAATCTGGAGGTTTTGGCAATGCAAAAATTATACTATTTGAAAATTCGTCAGTTGTTTATGTAAGTATAGTAAATCAGTGGAAATAAATATATTTAGTATTTACCTTTTCCTTTGGCTTCCATGACAATCTTGTCATTGATGCCAAATTTGCATTCTGGCATACCCGATAAATAGGATTTCATGACCACCTTGCCAGCAACATGAGCAGATAGAACTTGACCTGAAAACAAAATATGTTTTTATAATTTTGAAAAGTACCAAGGTGGTATTCAGTACCTTGTGGTGACATGAGCAAGTTCACATACTCCAATACATCGAGGAAGAGCTCATTTCGTCTATATTTGATTCCTTCTCTCCTCCATCCAATCTGTCCAGTGACCTGAGATGTGATTTGAGCTTGTTCCTCCTTAGTAGCTGATTTTATGCCTTGTTGGGTGATGAACGTCTTCAAAACCCCTGTGTCTGTATTTTGGGGATAGCCAAAATCCAGTATTTCTAAAAAGACAAGATTCTAGCTTAGATAAATATATTTTTTATTCATAATCCATAGTCTGTTGTGAATCAAAGTTAAATTTAAGTTGCTTTGTATAACTTACCATCAAGCAATTCATAAATGAGGACAAAGTTGTTCTTGATATTTTCTTCTGAAATCTTTCCAAAATATGACTGCATTACTTCAATGATTTTAAGGAGAAACTCAAAAACCATTGCAGCATTAACATTCTGTTTTGTTACTGCTGCAATCCAGATATTGGCTCTCTAGAAAAAAAAGTGATACTGTAATGGGGCAAATTTTACAATTTTATCTTCTATCATTACAAGCAAATGAAAATTGGTACAATTAGGTGCTCTATCAAATTAACTTCAGAATTGCAATCTGCAAACTTGATTTACATGGGAGACAAGTTTTTATCCAAACAACAGAGTGGTTAATGGAAATTTTTACAGGAGAAATCTAGAAAAAACAAACAGGAATTTGTTGGACAAAATGTCTATTTTCACTTCCTGTCATTACAAGCAAATATAATTTTGTATCCATATAATTTGGAGTGATAAATGCATATGCAGAACCAGATTTCAGACAGAAAATAAATCTTTTGGGATCACCCATGCATTTTACCATAAAATTTATATTGTATTCAGAATCTAAGCACCTTATTTACCCTGCAGTGATAGGGCAATAATCCAGTATCCAAATGTTACACATACTGTTAATATTTACCTTTATATGGAAAAAAGAAGTGCGAGCAATGTTTGTGACCGGAGACCTAACTTGCTGTCTAGCATGGATAACATTAACTCTGAAGGCATCTACAGCATTTCTGCCAATATCATCTCGATACACCCTGGATATCAACACCTCGCCTTTGTGGTTGTAGACAAAAAGGCCCCCAATCATTTTGTTGGTTTCAGTATAGCCCTTATCTGGAAAATCAGGTTGCTACATGATACGTAAATCCTTACCAAAACCGTCACAGATGATGTTTGAGTTTTTTATAAACCCTTATTTACAAAACCAGTGCAATCTGCTTGATTAATGCAATAGGATATTGATACGCCCTACGAAAATACGCTATACAGGAAACAGGGCAAGTACCAAGAACTTGCAAGATTTCGGATCTAATTTAAAATATAGATAATAGTACTTACATGTCAGAAAAATACTGTAAATAACATATTACTGGAAAATATTTAATTCAATTTTCATGAAATTCGGCATCCAATTTTAGCGATTTTGACACATTTTAATCAATTCTTGACAATTTGTGGCCGATATGACACGTCGATTGCTCAAGTATCAACCGGCATCTAGAAAAAGAGGCGTGGTTAATGTGAGAAAAACGAGTGGTTAACAGGAAAAGGAGGCGTGGTGTATGGGACACTATGTCTCTACGCCCATTTTTCTACTTGACCATATGGAATAGATCAAACTGTGTCTAGAGATGGGACATTCTGAAATTAGGTATTATTTGTCTTTCTAGCTAGAAACAGGCATACGGTTGGGTTCTAAGCAAATATTCAGATTAATTGCAATATGCACTCGATGCAATGACGTATACGGTGTTCTTGGCTTTCGCACATGGAATAATCGGCGAAAAAAAAAGAAGGAAAATCGAGTCCTAACTCCGGCAACAGCGCATGAGTCGTGCCGCATAACGTCTATCCGTCGCTTGTCAACTTCAACTGTCATTTTGAAACTTCCCACGTCCACGAGCCTGTCATTTTGAGGTTAGAACTTCAGCGAAAGCGAAATATTTTTACAATTAAAAGCGATAGTTGCAAGAAAAATATAATTTTCAGGTATTTTCACCCAAAACAGCAATCATGGCGTCGAATGAAACTTCGGGCGTGACCACAGGGCAGCCGAATCTGCACAAGCAAGACTTGTCCAAACTAGACGTTACCAAACTGACCCCTCTGTCCCCAGAGGTAATCAGTAGGCAGGCTACCATTAACATAGGTACCATTGGGCACGTAGCCCACGGTAAATCCACCGTAGTGAAAGCTGTATCTGGGGTACAGACTGTCAGATTCAAGAATGAATTGGAGAGAAACATTACTATCAAGTTGGGATACGCTAACGCCAAGATATATAAGTGTGATAACCCAAAATGCCCTAGACCAGCTTGCTATATCTCTGGGAGCTCTTCAAAAGACGACAGGTACCTTTACACGCATTCAGAAGTTCAATTAAAACAACTAATTTTATCCATAGTTTTCCTTGCCTGAGACCTGCATGTTCTGGAAGATTTCAACTGGTACGTCACGTTAGTTTTGTGGACTGCCCTGGTCACGACATCCTTATGGCAACCATGTTGAACGGAGCAGCTGTGATGGATGCTGCTCTGCTGTTAATTGCAGGCAATGAATCATGTCCCCAGCCACAAACTAGCGAACATTTGGCAGCCATTGAAATCATGAAGCTCAAGCATATTATCATTTTGCAGAACAAGATTGATTTGGTTAAGGAGGGGCAGGCTAAGGAACAGCATGAGCAGATTGTTAAATTTGTGCAGGGGACTGTGGCAGAAGGTGAGTGGCATTATCTTTAAAAATGGTGCCTCCAGTTTAACCTTGATGATTGAGGGCTTTAGAAATGGATGCATTGTGATCTATAAAAAAATGATGGATGCAGTTTTAACTTAAAAAAATGATGGGTGCATTCTTATTTTTTGAATATTGGTGGAAGTTCCAAACTAAAAAATGTTGAATGCTATCTGGCCTTAGGAATATTTGATGATGATGAATAATGATTAGTGATTTAAAAAAATGGTGGATGCAGTATGACCTTTGAAAAAATTATCCATTCAGCCAGCTCTTACAAAAATGGTGGATGTGTTATGTCCTTTAAAAATGGTAGATGTGGTCAGACCTTTAAAAAAAATGGTGCTAAATCTTTAGAAAGTGGTGGATGCATTGTCCTTTAAAAATGGTGAATGCTTTATGTTTTAAAAAAATGTGAATGATATCTGACCTTAGGAATATTAAATGGAAGGTGATCTTTAAAAAACTGCTGGATGATGGATTTGTTTGTTTGTTGTAGATTTATTTAGTATTAATATTCTTTGTCTTCAAGTCTTCATAACCACAAAACCTCACTACACAGTCTCTGAAAAAACAAGGGATTCAGTTTGATCTTTAAAAGACAGTGGTTGTCATTTGACCTTAACAAATTGATGAATGCAGTTTGACCTTTGAAAATGGTGGATGTAGCTTGGTTTAAAAAAAAATGATCTATGCATTATTACCATTTAAAGATTGTGAATATTGACACGGGTGAATACAGTGTTTCATTCACAAATAGTCTTTGTGATCAGACCTTAAAAAATAGTGATTAGTGATTTAAAAAAAATGGTGGATGCAGTACGACCTTTGAAAAAAATTATCCATTCAGCCAGCTCTTACGAAAATGATGGATGTGTTATGTCCTTTAAAAATGGTGGATGTGGTCAGACCTTTAAAAAAAATGGTGCTAAACCTTTAGAAAGTGGTGGATGCATTATGTCCTTTAAAAATGGTGAATGCTTTATGTTTTAAAAAAATGTGAATGATATCTGACCTTAGGAATATTAAATGGAAGGTGATCTTTAAAAAACTGCTGGATGATGGATTTGTTTGTTTGTTGTAGATTGAGTATTAATATTTTTTGTCTTCAAGTCTTCATAACCACAAAACCTCACTACACAGTCTCTGAAAAAACAAGGGATTCAGTTTGATCTTTAGAAGATAGTGGTTGTCATTTGACCTTCAAAAATTGATGGCTGCAGTTTGACCTTTGAAAATGGTGGATGTGGCTTGATTTTTAAAAAATGTCTTTGTGATCAGACCTTTAAAAAATAGTGATTGGTGATTTAAAAAATTGGTGGATATAGTATGACCTTTGAACAAATTGTGTATTCAGCCAGCTCTTACAAAAATGGTGGATGTGTTATGTCCTTTAAAAATGGTTGATGTGATCAGACCTTAAAAAAAAAAAATGTGCTAAATCTTTAGAAAGTGGTGGATGCATTATGTCCTTTAAAAATGGTGAATGCTGAAACAGTTTAAAAAAAAATGGCAAATGCGGCTAGATCTTGTCCTTTAAAAATGTGGAACCAATCTGACCTACAAAAAATGATGGATGAGGTCTAACCTCTGGAAGAATTGTGGAAGCAATCTGATTAAAAAAAGATCAAAATAGAAAAACAGGCTGAGCATAAAAATGGAATTCATGTATAGTAACTTTGAGTAATGCTGATTTCAATACTAATACAGATTTTTTTACTTCACTATGTTATTTTTTTTTAGGTGCTCCAATCATCCCAATTTCAGCCCAGCTGAAGTATAACATAGAGGTGCTTTGCGAATATATAGTTAAGAAAATTCCTATCCCACAAAGGGACTTTACATCAGAACCAAGGCTGATTGTAATTAGGTCATTCGATGTAAACAAACCTGGATGTGAAGTCAACGATTTGAAAGGTATTTGAAATATGAACTAAAGAATGTTATTCGAATGTTAATCTGTGTCACTCTGTCTTTCAGAAATTTTCATATTTGTATGTAATGACATCATGAAGTTTTTTTTTCTACAGTCAATTGCAAAGTTTGTGGTGTTACTTGAAGCAGTATTATTTGCAGTCAGAAAAAATAGTACCAGGATTTTTTCATTGTGCCCTAGGAGCATATCAATGAATTCTCCATAATGGATAATGGCTGGAGCATCCCTTGACACAGATGCCTATAAATTTTACAGTGTTGCCACCTGATCGATATGTGGAAATATCCTGAGACTAGACTTTTTAGCTAATAATAAAGTACCACATTTGGGAGTATAATGTCATATAAGGATATTCAGATGACTATACATTAATTGATGTCAATTGGTCCATAGGTGGCGTTGCCGGTGGTAGTATTCTGCGAGGTGTCTTAAAAGTAGGTCAGGAAATCGAAGTAAGACCCGGATTGGTCAGTAAAGATGCTGAAGGCAAACTCACCTGTAAACCGATCTTCTCGAGGATCGTCTCTCTCTACACTGAGCAAAATGAGCTTCAATTTGCTGTTCCTGGAGGCCTAATTGGTGTAGGAACAAAAATTGAGCCTACACTTTGTAGGGCTGACAGATTGGTGGGACAGGTAAACATTTTTACTAATTTACACTGATAACTCTTTTTGAAAATGTTCCCTTTGTGTTTTGTCTCAGGCATAGAGATAGTCGTTAATGTGTTCCACAGGGTTCATGTTGGGGGCTCAAAGTTTGAATGATTTATATGTATCTTGGTTTTAGGTGCTTGGTGCAGTGGGTGCATTGCCCAACATTTTCATAGAACTTGAAGTGAGTTACTATCTTCTGAAACGTCTGCTTGGCGTGCGTACTGAGGGAGATAAAAAAGGAGCAAAAGTACAGAGGTTGACAAAGAGTGAAGTATTACTAGTTAATATTGGATCTCTTAGCACAGGTAAAATTAAATTCTTCAGGTTATCTCACAAAATAGTAAATAACATTAGAATCTTAGTGAAAATGTTCAATTTACCTTTAAAAATTGTTCGTTATTCAGACACAATCCTAGTCTTTAATGGTATTCCACAAGGCTCATTTTTGGTACCTTTTGGTCTGTCTTTGATAATAGATCATATTGGAATTTTTTTGTTTCAATATTATTTTTTGATATCTTGCATGATGTATTTATATTTTAGGTGGTCGAGTGGTAGCGACAAAGGTCGATTTGTGCAAAATCGCCCTGACGAGTCCCGTGTGTACGGAAAGAGGCGAGAAGATCGCTCTTAGCAGAAGAGTCGAGAAGCACTGGCGTCTGATTGGTTGGGGTCAAATCCGCGGAGGGGAGACCATCGAACCAACCAAGTAGACTTTGGGTGGATCAACTTAGAATTTATATTCAATTGGTACACACAGAAAGACAAGAGAACAAAGTCTATTGATTTATTTCAGATAACATCGTTTGTGTAATTGCTCTTCATGCTGGTTTTGAATAAAAATCCGCATCATATTAGTAATATTTACAAATCGTTGTTTTTTCTTAGACCCCCCCCCCCCCCCCCTCCCGCCCTTCATATGAATTTTTACACTGGCTAAGCCAAGCAATGGGAGTAAAGAATGTCGAGAATAATCGGCGAATCGCCACAATACCCTGTTTGGAAGTAGATTTTTCTCTCCAAAGGCAAATAATGATAAAAAACCTAGGTAAATAATAACAATGGAACTATTTAAATTTAGACAGTCGAATGTGAAAAAAAATCAATACGTACCTTGTTTGAGGAATCTGTCACATTACATCGCTCAGCGCTTTACTAACAGTAGCTTACTTCTCTACCTAGCTACGTAATGTACTATTAATAATGCTGAAATACTGAAGTTTCTGATTTTTGGAGAATGTTTGTTTACATCGGCAACATCGCGCCACCTATCGACCACTTTTGCAGGTCATCGCTGACCTTGTCCAACCAAAATTCGTCCTGGACAATAAGCGCCACCCTTGAACTACTCCTACGCTCGCGATTCGCTGAAATTTGCGAACGTGACGTCACATCCGTCAGCGTCTGTGCGCATGTCCGTTCTGTTCCCATAGACAAATATTGTGTCATCATAGCGTGTGCTAGAAAGAGAGGAAATGTGATTTACTGGTCGAATGGAACAGGTATTGCCGCATTTCAGGGTTTCAGCGAAAAAATTAGGCCTGTTTCCGTTCTTTCCCCAACAGGACGTCGAAGAGGTAAGTAGTGAAGTGGAATTGATTTTAGTTAAATAAATTGAATGAAACACGTGTATTTATAACGCAGGTTTAATATATAATTTAGTATCACATCATCCTTGAGCGGGGTGACGTATTTCAAACAAACCAAATATATTTTTTCGATTTTCAGATTTCTAATCTCTTCCCTGTCCGATAAAACCACATTTATAAGCTATTTTGAACAACACCAGCAAAGTAGCGTGAAGGAAAGTTACAAGAACATCAAAGAAACGCAAAAAATCAGCGAAGATGTAAGTACCTAACACGTGGATAATTTGAATAATTTTCGTAATCATTTGGCTACGTATTCGCCATATTTAAACCTTGCGGTAATTCTGTATTGATTTTCTGTTCTGGATGTCTCTAGAAACATGTAGTAGTTTCTGTCGATAATTTTAAATAATAAATTCTAACCGATCGATGTTTGGAAGAGGCAGCATTTGGGGTCATTATTCTATGTATTTTACTAGCACATCCATTAGAGCATGACGAGAATATAGACGTATTTTTCATTTTACTTGATATAATTACTCTGTTTGAGCTTGCAAAGTCCCCTCTATAGCTAAAGAGCAGGAGAGATGTTGCTAGAGGATTAAGAATTTGGAAACAAATTTAATGCACTTTGGGACCCCATAAACCGCGTTCTGGGGCTCCTAGTGTATCAGGGACTGATGCACAAAGTTGTGATCTGTCCCTGTTCATATTCTTGTAAGGTTCAGAAAAATATCTTGCCTGTGTTGAATTCTTTCTCAGTAATTAGCAGTTTTTGGTTGTGTAATGATAGTGCTTTATCTCTGATGAAAAATTCCATCAACTCTTATCATGGCCTTCTTTATTGTTCATGTTTGAATCACATTTGTAGTGTCTAGCTAATATCCAGTGATAAGCTTTTTGAGAATGTAAGCACTGTGATTTTTGCAGAATCCTGATATAATCTATAATGCTGTCTGAATGTTCTTTCTGTTACTTATTTATAGTGTTTTGGCAATGTTCTTTTATAATCCTTCAGTGAGGTCTTCCTGTGGGCTGTGATAAATAATTGTTGACAGTATAGTTCTGACACATTTTTAGGTTATGTTATGTTTAACCCCCCTCCCCACAAATTTTTTGAAAACTTTTTTTTATAGAAAAATATATAGAAAATTTCATGAATGCAATCAACTGAAAATACCACTTTTTATGCTTGTGAAAAAAATTATAACAAACATTTGTCCTCAGGACTTACGATAAAGAATACCGCAACAACTTTCCAAGTAAAGGGGGTAGTGGTGGTAGCTATGGCCAAAAGCTGGGCGGCAGCTTTAAACGTAATGGAAACGGTGGCGGAGGCGGCTTCCAGAATGGCAGGGGAAACCGTTTTGGGGGCGGTCAACGCAACGGAGGCGGGCTGAGGGCGGTCGAATGGTCCACCAAACGGCTGCAGCCGTTCAAGAAGGACTTCTACGTGCCGCATCCCGCTGTCGCTAACCGGTCCGACTTTGAGGTAAGCAGTCAAAATTCGTTATATTCACAATTTAAATGGGAGTATCAATGTTTGTCAGCAATTTTGAGGCCTTGTTATTATTTAAAAACACTCTAGATTAATCTTAGATTAAAATTGCAACAAACTAATATCAATTATGTAAAATATGTAAAATTCCTTGCTGTGTATTTAGATTCCTATATGGAGTGGAAGCAGCACTGTGACTACGTAATAATGAGACTTACTTCATTAATTATCTATTATTGAATTTAAGAGATACTCTACCATTAAATCAATTAGTTTGTATCATTCACAGGTGATTCTCTCATGAGATATTGTTGTTGTTGTTTAAGATTTATTTAGCATGATTGCTACTATTATATTCTTCTAAAAAACTAAACAATTACATAACATACACATATTTAGAAAAAAAATTGCATCTATGAATTTTCATTTTGCTTTATTCCTTTAATTGTCGTTTATATATCTTTAAATTACAAGTATATTTTATATCATTATTTAGTTTATTTAATTCAAGTAATCTTTTGTGAAATATTGATTTGCTAGCCAAATTACTATTACAATTTTGTAAATGAAAATCTATATTTCCTCTTGTATCATAATTGTGATAATGATTATTCAATTCTAAGTAGTGTTCTAAATGTTCTGGCAAAAGATGAATTTTTATTTTAAATATAAAAATAAGAACCAAATATGATATGAACTTTTTTATATTCAACCACAGCAATTCTTGTAACATAGATTTTATTTTTGTGTACTTATTTTTATTCAATATTATTCTCATAGCTTTATTTTGCAAGACTTGTAATTTTCAATGATTTCTCCATTTACCCAGTATTTTCATTTAGGTATTTCTCTATTAGCATACATTTTGTTTTAGAAGTATTCAATTTTAGTTTATTTACATTTAACCAATTAACGATATTTGCCAAGTCAGAATTTAGCACTTTTAAAGCAGTGTCTATATTTTCATCTGATATGAATATTAATGTAGCATCAGCAAATATCTGAAGTTTACAATAACCTAAAATATTACAAATGTCATCAATGTATAAAATAAATAGTAGTGGACCTAGTTTACTACCTTGTGATATACCAACAGAAATATGATAATGTAGATCCAATTTTGGTTTTTTGACTTCTGTCAATCCTTTGAATCCGTAGTGATGCAATTTTTTAAGTAATTTATCCCTGTCGATAGTTTCGAACGCCCTTTTGAAGTACAAAAACATTGTTACTGTAGTGTTCCTATTGTCCATACATCTCCTCCAGTCCTCTAAAACCATTTTTGTTGCCATTTCAGTTGAGTGTTTCTTCCTGATTCCACCTTGAAATTTGGTTAAAATGTTATTTACCTCAATAAATTTGATGATCTGTTCATAAATTATTTCTTCAGAAACTTTTTCAACATCTGGCAGAACATTTATTGGTCGCATATTGGTGTACAACTCAGAATAATTAACTTTAGAAACAGGAGTTATGGTAGAACACTTGGAAATTTGCCATATCATTTTTGGGGATCTCTACTAATTCACAGGATTTGTTCAAACAAAACAAAAAAGAATTATCAGGTGGTGCTAGAACATGGGGATATCTGTTTATACATACTGGAAAAATTTAGGTTTCAAACTTCCATGCAAGCAGTGTCAGAGAATAGGGTAACATTATAAAATGTAAATTAGTGTTTGAAAAAACGAATGAAAACATGAAGAGCATAAAGTAAAAAATAAATTAAAACAATGAATAGAAAAAAAAAAACTACAAAAAGAAATAAGCAATAGAAACGAATGGTTGTGAAATCTTGCAAACAAAGTGAAAAAGAGGAAAAATAATAAAAAAAGAATTAGTTAAACAATAATCTCATGTTGGATGGCACAAGGTTCTCCCATTCCTTTTTGGCGCCTCTCTAATGCCTATTTCAATTGGGCATCTTCAGGTGGTATACATTATCAATGCCTAAAGATACCTAATTATAATTGGTATTCAAATGGTGTTGAAAAAAGAATTGGACATCCTAGCGGCATTTGTGAGATAGTAGCAGAACCTAACACTCAATTTTCATTTTTGTGTTCCACTACTGCCTTCAGGTTCTTTTTTGAGCGCCAGATACAGAACCAGACACTCTTTTCAAAGAGGATTTCAAAATTTATTTTTTTGTTCTGCTATTATCTCATACTATCTCCCCCAATAAGGTGTTTCAAATGTAGTGTACTGAAGGCACATATGACGTCCATTTTGTGCAACATAAGCCTGCAGCCTGTTTGAATGGAACATCAAATTTGTTTCTATGTCTACACTTATTGAATCGTGACTGGATATGTTGATTTTGTTGCAGGTTGAACAGTACAGAAACTCTAAAGAAATCGCAGTTGAAGGAAATGCACCAAATCCTATTCAGAACTTTGGGGAGGCTAACTTCCCTGATTATGTCATGGCAGAAATCAAAAACCAAGGCAAGTTTTATAATGTGATTACACCATATTTTTGGCATTTAATTCATCATCTACATGCCACTTATTTTTGATTCTTGTTCTAGGCTATGAATATCCAACAGCAATCCAAGCCCAAGGCTGGCCCATTGCCATGAGCGGCCAAGACATGATTGGCGTAGCTCAAACAGGCTCAGGCAAAACCTTGGCTTACACTCTACCAGCCATTGTTCACATCAACAACCAGCCACAGATCAGCAGGGGTGAAGGGCCTATTGCTCTTATTTTGGCGCCTACCAGAGAGCTTGCCCAACAAATTCAACAGGTAAAAACACTATTTTTAGTAGCTGTTGAAAAATGTGCGGTTAAATTCTCTTACAGGGTGTGGCAGCATAAGTTCCTTTTTTCCAAACTTAATAAAACCATGAATTAGAACATTTTTATTTGCTTTTTTATAATTTGTATAATTTTTTATAAAGTGTCGTCCCCCATTCTCCATTGAGCAAACTCATTTCTGGCGTACTTACCAGCATACCAGGCGTTATGTTGTCTATTTTTTTCTGGATGTTGGTCTTCAATTCTTGTAGGATCACATAAATACAGGATTTCGAAAAACACTGTAGAAAAAATCACAAGGTGCTAAATCGGGAGAGCGAGCTGGCCTCTTCAAATCACCAAATGGCAGCAAATGACTCGAACACCTGAGTTTTTCCCATAGCATCATCCTTGTAAGCTACTTTCAACATTAAAACAGTTTCAGCAGCATTTTTACCATTTAGAAAGCAAAATTTCACAGCTGCACGTTGCTCACTGAAGCGTGTCATCGTAAAAAACGAAACAGCTACAGCGAAAATAATGACTACAGAGCAATGCTATTCCGGTTATTTTTGGGTATCTCCTCGTATGAAGTCTAGACTTGGCAATAATTTCGTTTTTGCATCTCGTTTTTATTACAAGTAGTAAATTATATGCAGTTAGATTCTTATATGATCTAATTCGGGAATCATTTTTTTTTAGGTTGCCAAAGATTTCGGTAGCTCATCGTACATCCGTAGCACCTGCATCTTTGGCGGAGCTCCCAAAGGGGGTCAAGCCAGGGATTTGGAAAGGGGTGTGGAGATCTGCATTGCTACTCCTGGCAGACTGATTGATTTCTTGGAAAAAGGCACCACCAATTTGGAGAGATGCACATACCTTGTATTGGATGAAGCTGACAGGTGAATATCATACCAAAAGGGCATCAGAAGTGGGATTGAATTTTCATATTACCTTTTCAGAGCCGAGTTTTTGTTGAATTTTATTTTTAAATTTATCCCACTTTTGATGTGAGATGTATATTATTATTTTTTTTATAGGATGTTGGACATGGGTTTTGAGCCCCAGATACGCAAGATTCTGAGTCAAATCAGACCCGACAAGCAAACTTTGATGTGGTCTGCTACATGGCCGAAAGAAGTAAGGAAACTCGCTGCAGATTTCATGAATAACCCCATTCAGATCAATGTAGGATCAGCCAATCTATCAGCCAACCACAACATTCTTCAGATTGTCGACATCTGCCAGGAATCTGAAAAGGAACATAAGTAAGTGCAACATTCGTCGTCTTTACATTTTTAGTTTCTTCTCGCAATCAACACTTTTTGTGATTGTTTTCGTCCTTCGTCTCTGTGCCGTCGGTTTTGTAAAGTTGTTTTTAAGATGTGTTAGAAGAAGGTGTCGAATAACTAAGAAAAGAATAAGTTGTTTCTACTTTGTCATCTGCCAATAGATAGACAATCACATTCATGTAGTGCCATATTTATACAGGGTGTCCCAAGCAGCAAACTGGCGTTAGGCCAAGTCAGAATAGTTCACAGAAAAATATAAAAAAGTTGTGTACTTTTCAAATTGAAATGTTAAAAAAAATTCGGAAAATCTACACTCTGTTTCTGTGAACGATTATGATTTGGTGTATCCCCCGTTTCCGGCTTGATGTCGACTTATTTGTATAGAAGATTATTACTTAAAAACAAACTTCCAGACTGGGCGCCCTCCTCAACGAAATTGGTTCTAACGGAGATCCAGGCGCGAAGATCATCATTTTCGTTGAAACTAAAAGGAAAGTTGAAGGCATCACGAGGAACATCAAACGGTACGGATGGCCGGTTGTTTGTATGCACGGAGACAAGACCCAACAGGAGAGAGACTACGTGCTTAAGGAGTTCAGGAATGGACAAGCCCAGATTTTGGTTGCTACTGATGTTGCTGCTAGAGGATTGGGTGAGTTTTCCAGACTTTTATGATGCTCGTAAAATATTTAGTTATAGTTGGTAGGTCTTATTGGGAGTCGCAATTTTTAGCAAATCACATGGATTAAAAAAATTGTTTGTTGGTGCATCTACAGGGTGACTTCGAAGTTGAGTCATTTATTTTAACAGTGAGTAGATCTGATCAAAAGAAATGTTTTTTTCCTTTACCATTTTTCTGGTAAAATTAAAGTAACAGTTATAGCCCTTTGGAAGTTTGAGTACCGCCCTGTCTCAATAATAATGTCATGTGCTTGTGTTTGGCAACAACGGATATAATCCACCTTATCGGTTCATCGCATCGGAAACAAAAAAGCGAAAGAATTTGGAACGAGTTTTTTACAATTATTTCAGTCAGTTCAGTTATACATTCAATCAGTGTCAGTCGCGTGTGAATAGTGTCTGTTGCGTGGCTCAAACGAAATAAAAAATGGCACATGTTTATGCGGATCGGTTTCCCAATCTAGTGCAACCAACCCCTCGTGCCTTTGTTAATGTAGTACAACGGGCTCGTGAATCAGGTGACTTAAGACTTCACAGGGGACCTCACGATCAAATACAGGTCCGCACTGAAATACTTGTCGGGAGGATACTTTATAAAACAAGGCAAAAATTTTTTTTTATTTTTTTTTTATTTTTACACACATATTTTGGTTTATCTTCCTTCTACAATCATTATCTGAAAATTAATGACTCAACTTCAAAGTCACCCTGTATAGTTATTTTCAATTTTCCCATGTACATGGAATCAATACATAAAACCTATGTTTTAAGCACCCAAATATTTTTAAAGTGCTAAGAAATTTTAAAAAAGATGTAAAACATAGTTTAAATTTTTTTTCTACTTCCTAAGGATAACTAAAGAATTGTAAAACATACAAAAAAATAAGTTTAGGGCAATCTAAGGTATGATTTTTGGCCATAGAAGTTGTTGGGATATTTTGCCAAATATTTTTTACAGAGGTGTTCTATAGGGTTTAGATCCGGGGTTTGTGCAGGTCATGTAAGAACATAATCATTTTTTAGTCTTAACCAGTCCCCTACGAATTTTGAGGTCGTTATCTTGCTGGAATGCCCATCATAAAACACAATCGGTTTTTTTCGGTCTTCCGCACATGGGCCGCGTTGCTGTTGATCCGTATTCTTGATATTTACTAATAATTTTCGAAATCGTCCGTTTGTTCATTTTTAATCTTTGAGAAATGTCAACGTTTCTGACACCACTTCTAAATAATTCAATTACTTTGTCTCTTAGATGTTGAGACAATTCTATTGTATTTACCGCACCGAATATCAGAGTATCGCAGAACAAATCAATACGGCAAAACTGACATGTTGAATTTGAATATTGATAAGATAAACCTTGTATTGGTACGAGAGACAAAGGTAGACTTTGATATTTATATTATCTCTTCCTTCACAATTTTAATTTAGGTATACGAAATAGTTTATACTAATGTTAATATTTGTTTCCAAACTTTTGTACGCTACTGTACGTTTGAAATAACAAAGTTGATATGCGGTAAAACAGCACCGAAAACGTGAAAAAGAAATTGCGAGAAAAATACTTATTTATTTGGTACGAAATTTTAAGTACCGTCCTCTTACATTTTGTTTGTAATTAAGTTCGTGAGTTATAAATTTGGGGCTGTCCGTGTCATCCACTGTGTATCCACCCAGTTGGCTTTTGCACAATACAAATAAACGTACGCAGCTCTGTTGGAACTATCGAGGACGAGGACGACGTTCTGAATACTCGAATACACTCGCGGAGTATCAATATATTCTTGAAAATGCTCATAGTGTTTAAACATTAACTGCGCAAATACAATGTTTAAAACTATAGCAAATACCATTTAATATGGCAAACTCTTAATATTAATCAGTCTGGTGATCCTTCTTTGTTTCAGAGGCACATGCAGGATGAATTTATAAAAAAAAAAAATTCAAACGAAGCACGGATGAACAGGTGGATTGATAAAAAAGATGCGTCCTGGATTTCAAAAATAAAAGAAAATCCAAACCACCGACTTGCCCGTGCAGTTGCTTTTCTTGCATTGCCTCTGCCTCAGCCTAAGCCTACCTCAGAAGATTGATAGAGATAGACAAGAGTGAGACGGACATATAAATTGTTGCACACTTCGCGGGAATCTCCTCTTGCTTCTTGATTATTTTGCTGGCTTGAAATAGCCAAAAAATACTGCGGGTCAGTTGGACCTGGAAAAAAAGATCTTTATCACTGAAGCAGGCCGGTTGTTGGAACAATTTCTGTAACAGAAAGCCACCATTCTGACGCCTGTCATTTATCTTCGTTGTGTATTGTGAGTATATCTCAATTTTTGTTTCTAGTTTTTATGCTGTTACAGTATTGAGATGACTTGACGAACTCATGTGATGAAGTGGTTGGGAACTATGCAATTTCATATAAAGTTGGATGTTTGAATTTTGTCAAAAGTAGCATAATTTTTCTACAGCAAGAAAACAGCTTGCAGAAACAGAAAATGTATCCTTCATATATTTCGTTTCACAACCATTTTACTGTTTCCGATTCCATGTTCCTGATTTTTACGAGGTTTGTGCGGAAAATACGTATAAAAGACCCAAGTGCCGCCCTCGAAGCACCTTTTTGCATTTTGGGAACAGGAAACAGTCGCAAGGAGCTAAATCGAGACAATAAGGCGGGTGTTTGTTACGGTGATTGAGCTTCGGCCCAAAGGCGCGTTGTCGTGAAGAAGGATTCACCTGCCCCCTTGTGTCTAATCCGGTCGAACTCTGGCCGCACGAGCTCTCAAAAGGATTACTTTCAGGAAGCACACGTAAATCCTACTTATTCGCAGAGCTCGACCTGAGCTTAGGGGGAATTGCATAGAGAGAGAGAGAGAGAACCACCGGGCCACCCCTCCACAAAGCCCCGAATTTTTTATACGTATTTTCTGGACAAACCTCGTATATGATACATTGATAATACAGCTTGTATTGTGATACTTCTCAACTATTTTCTTTCATCGTTGCCCACTATCATACTAACATCCTGTTGACAGAGACTTACCGGACGATGCTTTTAAATACTTTTGAGTTTCATCAATAAAAAAGACGAAACGCTTTTGTATTGTGAGTCACAAAGTAGGCTCAACTAATCCCTGCTCGAACGGACATTGTTAAAAATTCCATAAGCGTCGGAGGAATCGTCCAGTGGGTCCATTTTAAATTCTTATTAAATTAACCGTACATTTTTGATCGATCTAGATGTGGATGGAATCAAGTATGTGGTGAACTACGACTATCCTAACTCATCAGAGGATTACATTCATAGAATAGGCAGAACGGGAAGATCAGACACCACAGGCACGTCATACGCTTTCTTCACACCGTCCAACTACAAACAAGCTAAGGACCTCGTATCTGTGCTTACTGAGGCCAAACAGGTAAGGCATTATCGTTTTAGTTGGATGACAGTAAATCATTGCATGCATGGAGTGGAGTATTTTACAGCATCAGTAGCTTTAAATATGATCCTGTTTTGGTAAAATCGACGAATGGAAATTTCGAGAGGTCTAAGAGATGGCAAATGTCATTTGATGCAGAACATTGCATGATAAATATTGGTACCTCAAGGATCAGTATTGGGCCTGATCCTACTCATAATTTATAATGGTCTAAAAATTTACATGTGTCTCCCTGATGCTATCAAAAGAATTAGCAATTTAAAGATATTCCACCGTGAACTTGAAAATAAATGTCTGAATATGTAAACTATATGCGAGTTCTACAGTTCACTAAAGGTGCAATTTTACTATAGTCTAGTTTTAAGAATGATTGTATCTTTCAGACAATAAAGCATATCTATCTATATTGTTTGATTTACAGACTGTGAATCCCAAGTTGGCAGAGATCGCCAGCAAATCCGGTGGCTACGGAGGCGGCAGAGGTGGCGGCCGATGGGGCTACGGAAACGGAGGAGGATATAGAGGTGGAAGGGAAAACTCCGGGCCTAGACAGCATATCAAGTTTGGCGGAAACAGCAATGGCGGCGGTTATAATAATAGAGGTGAGTTCAGTCAAATTTTGTCAAATCCATTTTAGCACTCTCACTGCCAAAACTGTTCTAATCTTTCCTTGAAGATGCTACCATAACGAATTACGCGTCAGGTTCTGAAAACTGTTTTGGTAAGAGGTAAATCTGTGTAGTGCTTTTATTTGCCACACAACAATGCTTCTGGATAAGGTCTATGTTGAAATGGAACTTTCAATGACTGTCACATGGACCCGGTCTTTAGTTGAATTTGGTATCTCTTGATGAAATGTTAATTAATGGTTTTAGTTAGTTAGGGGCTAAATATGGCCCTAGTTAAGTTTTACTTCGCTACTTAGTACTATTAGGCCTAATGCACGTAAGTAGAAATTACATTTTACTGACGTTTCGTCCACCACGAGGGCCTTTTTCAAGGTACAAATTAATGACAATGCGTTTCATATTTGTAATGTGGAAATTATCGTTCTGAGAAGGTTCCATTTATATGGATTTCCATAAGGCCTTCTTGATCAAGAAATGCTATTGAATAAACTCGTGGATTCTATATCAAACGCCTTATCTTTTACTGTTGAATCAGGTGTACCTCAGGGATCTCCCTGTGGTCCCAGGTCATTCCTTGTTTCCGTTTATGATATTAGCCGCCTTTTCAAATCAAATTATTATTATACTTTAAGCTGATGATTCAAAACTTTTTTGATGTGCTTAGATTCAGTCAGGACTGCGAGATGATTTATTTTGGTACAGTGGTGTCAGTTGAATAATTTTAACTGTTTTGAGTATACCTGACCAAAAACAGTGTATCTAGTGATTTAGACACTTGAATCGAATGGTCAAGATTTTTGCCTCATTTGTAAGATAGTTATTGGAATATTGGCCAACCATCTGAAGCCCATATTACAAGGTTCAGAAAAAATGCAGTGAGACCATACAAGTTTTTAATGATTCAAAGATTAATGTCATTGTTCCTTATTAATTTTGTATTTTGAAAAGTGTGGTGGCTGGAACATCAGTAATAAGTAATTTATACTTTTGGCCAGAAAATCATGGAGTTCTATCAGCATGAAAACCACTGCATAAGCTTCAAGTGTTACATTTTTTTCTTTGTTTCAGCATATTAAAAATGTGCGGCAGCACTGACAACCAAGTTCCAGTATTCTCTCTCCAGTGCATTCCATGCACAAGTCTTTTCCTGTATTTTCATTTAAGTTAGTTTTTTTATACGATGCTTATTTGACGTATTTCATGGAAATATAACGTTGTCGTTTTTGTTGCACATGTATTTATGTCTAACATAATCTTATATACTCACTGATGATAAATGTGTGTATTTCTGTGATAGAAAACGTAGAAGTTTTGTTTTTTTTTTGTGTCAGGGAATATGAATCTTTATCTGCCGCTAATGAACCAAAATTTAATGTTAATAAAAGTCTTTCTAAGATATATCGAGTTTGATTGTGTACTTCCTATGCCTCGTAGAGATTTTCTGACCAGCATGTCAGATTTTGCAAAATAGGTTTGAGAACATTTGAGCCTGGATGAAACGTGTTTCGGTGTTTTGTTCACTTGAATCTTTGGACAACAAAACGAAATTTTAAACGCTGAAAGTCCTATATTTTGAGTTTATGAGAAACATTCGAAAAGCCGACAAGGATTTGTTAGCTGGGATGTTAGTTAATAATAATAATAATAATAATAACGTCTTTATTGGATAACCCGGAGGGACATAAACAGCGAAGTTTAGCCAAGGCTACTCTTACACTTAACTGTTTATGTCGGTTACATCTGATGTTCAAAACATGGAAAAAATATATATATATAAGAACAATGAAAAAAAGAACACATATATACCTAAGTATAAAATACAAATAGACACAATCTATATCTGTAGCAGAAATGCGTATTTAATCAATAGCTAGCAACATGCTTTTAGTATGTTTACGAAAACTTTCCAAAGACATCAATTTAATACTGTTGTCCAACTGATTATAAAATAGTGCTGCATTATATGTAAATCCTCGTTGGAATAATGCAGAAGTGTGTGGGGTGGTTCTGATACTATAACGATTCCTAACAGCCCTGTCATGCACTTCGTAATTAAATCTTAACTTAGCTCTTAGATATTCAGGCTTTGATGACAATATTATTTTATGAACTAAAACTAAGAATTTATGCTTAACCAAACTTCCTAACCTAAGCCAGTTCAATTCCCTATATTTATCACTTACGTGATCGTATTTACGCAACCCATAAATAAAGCGAACACAGTTATTTTGGATGATTTGAAGACGATTTTTGGTCAATTGATCCAAACATGGATAATAAACGACATCACAGTAACTGAGCATTGACATCACCAAAGATTCGCACAGTTTTTTTCTCAGCTTAAAGTTAAGCAAGTAGCGATTGGAATAAAGAGCCCTAGAACACAGGTAAGTTTTTTTCATCAAATTAGCTATTTGGCTGCGGAATCTTAATTTTGTGTCAATTTCCACTCCTAGTACCTTAGCTGTTTGAGTATGCTGTAATGTTATGCCACCAATAGTCAGATGGAAAGAATCTTCGACAGTTTTCCTCTTCTGATCAGAACAAAACAATAACACTTGTGTCTTATCTGGATTAATAGTAAGATTATGTTCCATAGAAAACTGATGTACCTTATCTAAATCAAGCTGTAAAATGTCTGATGAATTTTGCGTATCTGAGGCGTCGAAATGGAATATTATTTGAGTATCGTCAGCAAATGTTTGTATCCCTGAATTGTCAACTGCTTTATGCAGGTCACACGTGTAAATCAAAAAGAGCACAGGTCCCAAAAGTGAGCCTTGCGGAACTCCTGACGGAATAGTCGTAATATTGGATTGACCGTTATTGATTGCGACACATTGCGTGCGACCGGACAAATAGCTACGGAAAAAACTGACAGCAGCATCATCGAAGCCTATATACCTCAGTTTGGCGCACAAAAGTTTATGATTTATTCGATCGAATGCTTTGGAATAGTCAATTGATACCACTGCTGTTGCTAACTTTTTGTCAACTGCCCTAATAACATTATCACAAAGATCTAACAGTGCCGAGGTGGTACTATGGTGCTTCCTGAAGCCCGATTGACATGACGATATTATTTTTAGTTCCTCTATGTAATGGACAACTTGTTGCTGTATAATTTTTTCCAAAATTTTCGATAGCACCGGCAACAAACTAATGGGTCTAAGATGCTTAAGTTCAGTAGGTTTAGATATTTTAGGGACAGGTATAATTAGAGCCAGCTTCCACAGCTTAGGGTGGTAGCCATTTTCCAAACATGAATTTATTATGTGGGTGATATGGAAAAAAGTTACGGGAAGACTTACTTTGACCATGGTTAGTGAGAGGGTGTCAATTCCTTTTGCATCTGATTTGATATCTTTGATTGCCTTCAATATTTCCACCGGCTCGACAACTCGCAAAGAAAAACGATTTCGATTGTCCAATTTGTTGCTGTCATAAAACCGACATACATTTTCTGAGACACTGTCGTAACTATAAACTGACATAAAATAATTGTTAATACTATTTGCATCGGCTAGCTCATCTGGTATTGTTTGTTTTGAACGAGATTTTATGTTAAGCTTATTCAGCCCAGACCATAAAGTTTTTAGATTATTTTGATCAGTTAGATTCTGAATATACTCTTTCTTTTTCATTCGAATTTTATGTAGTGCCTTATTCCTCAGCTGTTTGAATTTATCAAGGTCTTCAAGTGATTTACTAGCTTTATATTTGGTAAAAGCTGAATCTTTTTCTTTGATAAGCTTTTTCATTCCCTCATCCAACCAAGGAGATGGCGGTTTATTAACACGTAGTGTCTTAATCGGAGCATGTTTGTTATAAATATTTGTGAGGGTTGTCGTCAGATGTTCCACTTTAGCATCTATGTTATTCATAAAATATAAGTCATCAAGATTAGAGGTACACAGATCTGAAATGAAAGCTGCCTCATCAAACTCACGGAAGTCTCTCACGCATATGAATTTTTGATGCATCTTGCCAGCACTAAGTTTCAGAGTACACATAACAAGCTTATGGTCAGATATTTCATGAGCATCAAGTACCAAACAGCCAGTGACAAGTTCCGGCTGATTAGTGAAAAATGGATCAAGCAATGAAGCGGTGTCGTTTGTCACCCGTGTAGGAGATGTAACTAACTGTGAAAAGCCAGTTACCTCAAAACTCGAGGATATGATATTAGTTGAATTCAGAAAATCGTGATTCAAATCACCCAAAACAATAACATTGTCAAAATCATTAACGATGACGGGTAGCAAATTATCTAAGACATTAGCACAGTCCAAAAGACTTTGCGACGGCGGACGATACAAAACGCCAACCGCGAATTTATGTTTATCTACATTCACTTGCACAAAAAGAGTCTCTAAACATACAACACGAATATCAACATTAATAACTTTTGCATTCAAATGCGATTTAATATAAATGCCAACACCACCGCCTCGTGAGGCTCGATCACAACGGAAAAAATTGTATCCATCGACACGTACAATGTTATCAGGGATGTCGCTAGAGAGCCATGTCTCACTTACTGCTAAGAAATCAAAATTCTCAGTTTTCAGTATAGTTGTGAAAGCATCAAAATCTGATAAAAGAGACCGTATGTTTAAATGTCCAATTCTTAACTCTTTAATCTTCATAATTAACCCTATCCCTAAGATTATGATAATGAGAAATATATACTGGACATGACTTATCACCTGCCTTATGGGCTACATCAAATTTTGTATGAAACTTGATATTATGGTTAACACAGTTTTTACATTTTTGCGTGCTAGCTTGGCAGTCTCTAATACTATGGCTTTCTGCACATTTAATGCAAGATACGGTCTGCACTCTGCAGTTTTTCGAACCATGACCATACGCACAACAATTAAGGCACTGTAAGACATTGATATGGTCAGATACATAATGCTTCATCCATCCCAGGTAGACAAACCCCTTATCAATGATATTCTTTCTTACCGTTGGTGGAACTTCGATTACCAGATGCACTTGATTACTCTTTCTCGTTTTCAGCCTTGTGACTATCTTCATAGTTGACAAATTCTCCTCATCTAGGTTATTCAGCATCACAACCTTACGGAGTATACTTGCATCGTCGCCCAGATCGTCATCCAGTGTAACATTCTTGACAAGCAATCGAGGGTTGTACTTTTCAGACTTTTTTATTTGATACCCACTGCCTAATTTAGACTTTAGGGCAGCACTGAGTTTTTCTAAGTCAGATCCATCCCTACAGTAAACTGCTGCACCTTGTTTCGTTTTCCTAGTTCCATCTATTCTAATGTCCAGATTTTCCAGGTTCACGCTGCTTTTTATTGATTTAATCACATCAGTATTTCCGTTATTGCTATCCGTTTTTACTAGGACAGCTGATTGTTTGTTTACATGTTTTTTCAACACACTGCTATACGATACATTCTGAGAAGTGGAAATACCATGAGAAACTGCTACAGTTTTTGACGCAGCTGTTTCAGAATTTGATTCTAGTTTTGATTTTAATAACGTGTTTGAATATTCAAGCTCGTTTAATAATTTTTCTAGCAGCTGTTTTTCTCGCCTCAGGCATTCTATTTCCTTGATGTAGATAGGTAATTCGGAATTCTGCTCACTGGGATTCTTGAAGGATTTTTTGCACTTGTCACATAACCAAAACACATTTTCACTTTTTTGTTCTAAAGACGATTTACATTACGTTCAAGAGACAACAGGTCCCAATATGTCGGTCAAATTAACCAAAACCACTCTTCTCGATAGAGCAAATAGTAAAATCTCATTATAGTGACTTGGACAGACTATATCTTGTGACCCATTGAGTTTTTTATTAAGGACGCCGAGGCACATAACAAAAAAAACACTTTCTTGAGGCGTTACCGGGACCTTTTCGGGGGCAAAATTTTCCGGGCGATTCGTTTGGGGCTGGTTGAACCTTTTAGCTATATTCTGGGTATCTGATTTTGTTTTTAACCATGTGAAACTAGCCCCTGGCATATTCGAATAAGGCGCCCCAAATTAGTATCACGAAATTTGTAATTCACTTTATTTTGACCATAAAAACAATTAGGCAACAGTACAAAACCATAATTAATCTGACATTTCATCACTCATATTCTGATCTTCATCACTTGTAACATCAGGATCACCAGCTTGCTCTGAACATTTCGGACATTTGCATTGAAACAGATAGTTCTTCGTCAGTTCTTTTTGTCTGGAATGCCTTGATCTAGTTAGTGTACATTCATCCAAGTAACTGATTAGAATTTCTTCACCTTCAAGTATATCTCTGACAGCAATCAATGATAGCCTAAAAAAGCATAAGGAGCAAGATTATATGAGGATGAAAGAAACCCTTGAAGATTTTAGAGATGAGATGTTCCTAGGCTTCTTAAGAAGCTCGAAATGTCCTCTCAATTTTGTGCTGGTTGTTTACCTGTGATTATTGTGGAGAAAACTGGGCTCTGCATTGGGTATACAACTGTGGTTACAAGCACTTTGCAAAGTATATAAGGCAACCCCTTCATTGTTGAGAAATTGTCCTACATTCTCCTCCATCTGGTCATACAGCCAGTCAATAAACTTATCTATTCCTTTCCTTTCCATTTCAGGCAACTCCATTTCTGTTACGTTTTTTACCCATTGACTTATAGCACTAGTGCCAACTCCTTGACCATTTGTCCCTGAAACACATTCCCAATTTTCATGTTAATAAAAAAAAATATGTTATACAGAATGTGTCAGCCATTTGGCATTGGAATGCAAAGATCTAAAAAAGACCAGCTTAAAGCATTGAAAATTATTACTATTATAATTTTCAATGAAAAATAATGAAACAGTACTAGCAAAACATTATGGTATAAAGTAGCAAAATTAAAGGCTGTAACTGGTGCTCTCTACAAACTATAATAAATCATGTTCATTAGAAACCACCGATTCTGAATGTTCATCTTTATATCCCAAAAACAGCTTCAGTTATAGAGGAAAAACGATTCTGCATATTAAACTTTAACACCTAGAGACAAGATCATTATTTTTAACAGTTCAATCCAAGATTGTTTTTTATTATGAACCACCCTGTACAACTATATAATGAGTTTACCTATCAGGGCAAGGAGACTTTGAAATCCTTCCAGGGTCAAGAACTGCTCAATGCCTTCATTTGGTACTGCTTTCACTAACAAGTCGTGCAGTATTGAGATATGCTGTGCAAATTCTGAACCCAAAAACTTGTGTGCCAGATCCTTATCTTCATTTACTGATCTATGACAGAAGCTTAGCATTTGCTGAATTGCAGCTGACCTATCTGGAGCCTGTAATATACGTGCTAGAAGTCTCACTATTAACAGTACGCTACTTGTTTCTGGGGGATAATGCATTTGCCTAAAAAAGTATTTTTTTACAATTCTGATTCATCTAAACCAACCAACCAATATAAAATAATCTTGGTTTTGAGCTTGAAATGAAGATTCAGATCTAGATCTGGACCTTATAGTTAAGACTTTAACCAATGGTAATAGGTGCATTTTCGATGCTTCCAAGGTCAAATGACATAACCAAATGTGCCTTTAAATAAATTTCAAGGTCACTATTTTATGATTTTTCCAAAGTAATGATTATATATTGACTTTCCATCATGGAATCTACACATATAGACAAACAACAAACGGACCTCTAAAATGACGCGGAAAATAAATACGTCTTGGCGTCGACGCAATTCTATACACCTGAAACTTGCATCAGCATGGCCGACTCGGCGTCGTGGCCCGCCGACCAAAATGAGATTCCAGGCTCTGCATTGCCGCAAGCAGCAACTGATGCCCAATACAAGATTCAGTATCACACACACGGTTTATATTTTTAATGCAATTCACCCAAAATCCTAGGTTAGAGCTAGATCTGTGCTTTTAAATAAACCCCCAGTCCAGCATTTTTTAAAGCAATTTACATAATAATATTAGGTTACTTTAAGATACATGGGCAGTGTGAATTTTAGCTTCTGTAGCTTTTGTTTTTTATTTCAAAAACCTCACCAGTTGATTGACAAATCTATGCCAAAGTAAACATGCGATATTAGAAAAATTATTAAAAAAAAGTGTTTTTCTTACTTCCAAGTCTCTTCTAGCTTTAACAATGGATGAATATCAACATTTCTTTCAGTTGTTTGTAGACACAGTACCCTATGATGTTGATTTAAAGCTTCTGTTTGACATATCTCAGAGCAGTATTCCACACCACAATCTGGGCATGAAACTATTTTCGATTTATCTGTTGTACAGCACTCTGGATAAGGCATTTCTTCAACCTGCCCAGCTGTTAATCTTTGTGCATTTTCTAGAGCTGTTTCAAGTGGTCTAGAAAAAAACAATCTTTAATTAGCATACTACTTGGGGGAAAGAAGCAATATGTTTTAAACCTCAAGCAATTATCACATGCTTTATATCCATAAGCAGCGTTCCAAGAGAACTGACAGGACACCAACGGGTCTTCTTCAAGAATCACGCTGTCTTTGGTAATCTTTTCCTTGGCGTAAAGCCCTTTTCCCTGAAAGAAACGTGATTGTACACATGTTCAAGTGAAGATTTGCCATTGCGATACCTTGGATTCGTCTACAATTCGCACTTCTACCTTTGAGTCATCAATCATATTGGAATGTTAACTTATTGTTTATTTATCTGAAAAGAAACGCTGTTTTTTAAAGCTGTTAAACGGAACATAACCTCACGATTCACACCACATGAGACGTGACACTGACAGTCAGATATCGAATGATTCACGCGCTGTTGCCAGAGTTACTGATCGAATGTTCTTTTAGACCTTTAGAATTCCTCATTTTTATGCGAAATTATCCATGTTATCTCATATTGGTTGATAAACATGAGGGCGAAAATCAAATTTGTTCTTTTCGTTTTTAAGAGCAAATGCGGGTTTAATAGTTTGCTACATCGCCATCTATATGAGACACTAGACTCTTCAAAGTAGATTCCTATTTATTGCGGAGAAAGATAGCTGTGAAAAAAGCTCATAGATGACTCTACAGTATCTCATTTCATCTCGGATTTTTTGGACGACGAATATAGTATTAGGTTGGTTATCTTCTAGTAGAAGATGATTTAAGTTTAATTTTGAACGTGGGATGATGCCTTATTAACGTGTTGTACCCAGTTAAGTGTTCAAATGATCTCAAATTTTATCCCTACATTGATAGGTACTTAAAAACGTCCTCCGACTTATATTGTATGATATTTGGGGTGTATCAGTTGAAAGAGCGGTAATTATTGCTTCATATTCTGAAGAAAACCATGGCGTCATCTGGTGGTCAATTAATGAGTTGAAATAGAATGTTCTTTCGCACAGATTAACATAATGAAATAGCATTAAAAAATATATGAATATTTAACTGTTAATAAATTGGATATTTTTAATCGTGGTTGGGTAAGCAAGGAAATATGTTTTACTCTGTTTAGTTGGGTGTTCAGCATTTGTATTTCTCATATGTTCACTGATATTTCTTACTTTTTAAAAGAGCTTTGCAACTACAAAGTCACAGTGCATTTTAAAGCTAATATCGTCATCAAAATAAATTCCAAAGAATTCATTTATTGTCCCTTGTTAACAACCACTCAGCGATATCTCTGAGTGCATCTCACTACACTGCAGATGCCAGGGTTGCACGGATCGAAAAGCTGCTCGAAATTAAAAGAGTATCAGATTAACATCAGATAGATGGATACAGACGTGGATCTCATCTACCGTGAAAAGAGCCTAGATTTGTTTATGGTTGTTTTGTTTTCGGTAGTTGTGACCAGAACAATGAGTGCCCATTAGGCCGGACATTGGTTTTAACGGATTTGTGGATTGGTACTACCTACCGATTGTTTTCTTTCCACCTGCTGCGAGACAGGTGAAAAGGGTTCGTCTCGTCTTAGGGATGCCAAACTTGCTATGTGGTTGATTTTCGTCGGAAATATAAAATTGGTTCATTGTGTGGAGCATCTTCAAAGTGGAGAAATACGAGTGATATTTTTGCCTCCTAATTTAACGTCATAGATTCAGCCAGTGGATCGAGGAGTTTTAGAAAATTTAAAACGCAATTACAGACGTTTGTTATCTGAGCAAATTTTAGATCAAGTTGATAATGGTTGTAACCTCGCTGATTGTTTAAAAAAGAATTACCTCAAGAATGTGGCATATTGGATAGCAGGGTGTGAAAGTCTTACCCAAGAAGATGTTGGTGAGTGGATTAATGGTGATGAAGTGCTGGGAGAATTAACTGATACCTACAGAACTAGTAAAAACTGTTTGTAACAATGGCGATGAGACAGTTTTAGGCGATGCTAGTGATAATGAGACCGAAATCTCTGCCAAATATCACATTCTGAGGGATTAGAAGCTCTATACAAGGCGTTGACTTACGTCGAACAACAAGAAAATGCGACAGCAGCTGATATGCTACTTATCAAACGTTGGAGGGATATTGCTGCCAAAAATAGGAACAATGCAAAACGTGTACAGATAAAAAGTACTACCTTTGTTACTAAGGCCCGTATCGTCAGTCGTCCCTAAAATTGTAGGGCGCCTTTATAGCCTCCTTGATTGTCATAGTTTTCTACTTCTCCGGGTCAGCGCTCTATTTTGAGGTTATGTCACAAACATCTATTTGCATCAAATTGTGCTTGCTTTTGAGTTATATCATGTTTTATCAGCCTGAAATTTCCTACAATGTAAAAAGAAAACATATCTTCACAATAGGAGAGCGCTGACGCTGACACGGGACAAGTGTAATCTAGAAATTTTTGAAGGAGAGAAAGGAATATGACAATCAAGGAGGCCATAAACGCGCCCTACAATTGTAGGGACGACTGACGATGCGGGCCTAAATACTCGTAAATAGGTATGTTTGTATCCACATGTTTATATTTTACGTAACTTTATATATGGTATATACTCACTTTACAAACATTTACTTTTTTCAATAAAAGCATTATGAGCCTAAATATTTATTTCCGTTTTATCCGACATCCGGGGTTCTACTGTAACAATAAACTAGTTATTAGTATTTGAATATCTACTTTACTTTACTGTTCTTTGAAAGTCTACACATATATTTTCTTTGTAGATAAGCGTTGACTTTTCAATATTGACGTCTTGTTGTCGTAAAAATGGCGTCAATAAAGATGTTTCCGATCAAAAATGACCGAATAATAACGTCATCATGTTCACTGGGTGCTACCCTAGGAATATTGCCACGTCTCTCTGAAACACCCTGTACATGTTGTCAGTGCGCGTGGGAAGTAAAAAATCGGAAATGTTCGTGATTATAATACTCTTACACCGCTTATTTCTGGGAAGTAAAACGTTTGTGCGAAATAGGCAGGCTTCGCATCGGATATCGCTTTCCTCTTTTACGGATCGCTTCCAATATACCTACCCCCTGCTGAGGTGTATACACTCGTCCCACAGCGGTGCAAGGGAGGTATCAATTTCACAAAATAGAAGCCGCAAAATTAAACTGGCAAATACAATGAGCGCAGGGAAATTGATACTGAATGGGAGGATGATTATATCATGAGTTCCCATGCAGATCGATACAAGCAGATTATATCCAGAATATGTGGAATACTAACAGTTCCATGATCGAAATCAAAATCAATTTATTATTGGTGTTTCTGTCGTATTATTTAAACAGGTCAGGAATGTACAAGTTATACTAGTATAGACTATACGTATCATAAACAGATCTTGAAATTTAATATAAACTGGTGGACATGGAAAATTTTAACCAAATTCAAATCTCGATATTTTCGGAATGGAAAGAGATATCGAGTTACGGTATTCGGGAGGTTCTTAAACAACTCTTTGAGAAAACGTACAGGGTTCGATCGGTATATTTCTTTTATTTATCCACTTATACGAGGTGAGCAAAGGAAGCTATGATTTTTAGGGCTATGTCAGATTTTCATTGTTTGATCTGGGAAATTTTTCTATGCATCTTTTTCTTTTTTGGACTATCTAGAAAAAAGTAATTTCTCAAATTTCTCGAAAGTTGGCTATAACTCAAATTATTGAATTATTAAAAATTGTTACATTTATCCCTAAAAAAGAGACTTTTTTGGGGTTTTTCTTGAGAATGGGTATTTTTACTCTTCGTGCACCCCAGAAAAGATTGAGGCACTCATTGAACGTTATTACCTCCAGTGGCGTGCTGTAAAAATTTGCTACTTTGTCATTACGAAATTTAAACCGAATTTATAAATTTTGCTGTGTAATTTAACAGCTTAATGAACAAATCCAAGTTACCACTCTTAATATACCCCACACATCGATCACAGCCTGTGATCCATGCTGAATGCAAATATCCCTAAGCTCATATCGATTTTGGGACCATTGACCGTTGATATCTTAAGACGCAGTCACAACATTTTCTGAGACTTTTGAGGCCACTTTTAAAATGACAAAATAAACGTTTCTTCGAGTGTATAGATTACATCAATACGAGTATTTGAATATTTCCTCTGGTATGATCTATTCGTTTTTTATTATAAAGGATTTTCGTATGAGGTCGGTTTGGTTATATGTCATTTGTGAACGGTGGAAATAGATGGATATGCAGTTTCATTAACGTATAATTTAATCATGTTAGTATCTGTACATTGACAAATACGATTACCCACAAAATATGATACATAACGTACGTTTATGCATCAGAATCAGGACACACTGGTGCAGTTGGATAATCAAGATAGCACAGTTACAATAACCTGGAAAACAGTCCCTTCTTCCATACTTATCCCTACTACTACTAACATTACAAAAGAAACGTGGAATATTTACAAACGATGAAACTTTGTTTTATGTTTTTGGTAATGTTGGGCATGTTTGAAGGCACGGGTATCACGTATCTTGAAAAGTGACATTATGCCGATTTTTTGTGACATTATGCTGTTTTTTTTTGATATTATGTAGGTTTTTCGTCGAGACGCTGACTCAGCACTTAGTTGTACGTGTTGCCTAAACGTCGTGAGGCTTGTTATCAATATTTGGCTCCGATGTGATGTAAAATCTGCTTCTGAGATGGCATTGCTGGAGGTCTAAGCTGTAAGTTGTATGTGTTGATGATCATTACATTGGGTTCTTGTCTCAAATACACTTAATTGAGATGCAAAGCTAGAAATTAGTTGCGCATCCACTTTTTCTTATCCATTCTGGAAATTACATATACAAATTTGCTGAGTTTCAAAAATGAAAGAGTTAAGAACTAATTATATTCACTGTACACTGTCGAATTACAAGCCATATGCATGCTAACAGTTATTACACACAACGCGGGCGCGGTGATGATTTCTCGTGATTCTCCTCAGTTTTTCGTAATTTATAACTTTGAACATAACCTCTCTTCAGAAAGCACAACATAAAACTAAACCGTCGCCAATAATGCGTGTAATTTAGTTGAGTGATTCCTCCATAGATGGACCTTCACAACGATCCTAGTGAGCAAACGTGGAATGACTGCTTGCGCCCTAAAAACTAACTAGTTTGCAAGATGACATCTTATAGGTTTTTTACATGATACCCATGCGGAGCTGTACTTAGACCATTTTCATCAAAAAATGAGTAATTATTTTTTTGATGGTCACGTTATGTTGACCGGTGTCACATTCCATATAGAATGAAATATATGTAACCCTCAAATGAAAAATAAATAAAAAATTACAGCTTATGCACAACATGTTTGTTTTATTTGACTATATAATATCAATCATTCCCTACTGGGAAAGCAACAGTTTTACCCTTAATTTCTTTAAACATACGTAGTTTCAATTAAAAGCCAGCAGAATTGAACAAATGCGTGGGTAATACTGCGTGATCTGTCCCTGGATTCTAAATACCGACTGCACC